TTTGACGTTGAATACAATCTTGGCCGGCTCTCCTGGTGCTTGTTTTTGGTAATCCTAGCTGGGGTGGGCTAGAATATTCATGTCCATTGGTTCGTCATATTCTGACATACATATCCCGTACCCTCGGGTACGCGACGATACTCTAATTCGAATTACGTGAAGGTATGGTAAAAGGTAATGATATATGCCGTGTGGATGAAAATGGATGTGAAGGTAGCCGAATTTGTACGTTCGTAATCAACAATCATGTGTCTACATGCAGGATAAAACACATTAGATCGCAAATGATTACCTATTAGATATACTATATACGTCAGTAATTACCTATTTTAGGTGCACGTAAAGAACAAGCTACTTGGGATAGGGCATTAAGAAAAAAGAGTCTCGAAAGTTCGGTAAGGAAGAAAGAATCAGTACCAGGTAATAGGATAAATGCTGTGTCAGCCGGATTAGCTAATTATATTATATCATGTTATGCCTGCATTTTATTCCTGCGGGTTTGCGGGTTAATATGTACATATCTGGGTAGCCTTTGGAAGTTACCTGTTTGATGCGGCTACTGCCCGATAACTGGGTTAGGTACCTGGTCACAAACACCGAACCCGGTCCACTTTTTCACAAATCTAATCCTTCCGAATTGTTCCTCCTATTGTAACCTACGATGTTTGGAATTGCAATCGCCGTAGATCCGGTATCATTCGGCATCGCTAACGCCGCGATTCGGGACGCCATATCTTTATTCAGCCGGCTGTCTACCTTGGGGACGTCGGAATAACGAACTCCGCTATCCTGATAGCCGACGATGCCGGAAGACCGATCCTGCTCCTATTTTATCTAGTATTTAAACTACCTACCTCATAACCCCCTCATATCCTTTCTCATAATCGTTTTTAGTGTTTCTTTCTTCTTCGAAATATATGGAACTATATACATTAGGTACTCATTTGGTGAGTTTTTATCTCTATTTCATCTAGCTAAACTTTCCTAGAGAATTTCCCTAAAGAACTACATACAATGTATGCTGTCGCCTTTGGCGTCTGGAGCTAGACATTAGAAATTAAACAGCATATTTGAATTATGCGAGCAAATTGAACCTCATATGATTACATCATATTCGTTGACTCTAAACTATTTCAATTCCGTATCCCCGTATGCTCCGGTTAGAAGCTTAGCCGTCTATGTTTGGCCGGCGTTACCGAGTTTCATTGTCCGGGCTATTTTGGGAATACCCAACGAAACAAAATGATACAACTTACTCATTCCTGTGGGTGGTATATCGATGACCAATATATCGGCTTCGGTAATGATATTGGTTCTCAACATAATCGGTTACGGCTATCGAAACCCTACCTACTCTCGCTCGGGAGGAACCCCTGAGTCTAAGCGATAGGGTGTCAGTACGATGGGCACGTTACAGTGGTATACTTGGGGTGACCGAAGAAGAGTCGCTAGGTTGACCCTAGTGGAAATATACTTGCGTCACTGACGGAACAGCCGCCCAGTGCCAAGTTCGTCATTAAGATTGGATATAGACATGGGACCTTTTTACGGGATGGCTGGACGTGTTCCCGATACCATTGAACAACCAAGACGTGGAATACCGGAACATGTTCCCCAAGTCTGCTGAGAATGGACGGAGCTAGCTAGTAGCTAGATGAACAAGGCGTTACTGGATTTCCAAGATGGCTATATAAAGCGATCGCTAACGAGCATTTTAGAAACACTTAGAGTCAGGATCGAGGCACGGTGAAAAGGGCAACCTCGTGGTACATTATCGACTAAAATACAGCGACTACTTCACTCTATCGGCATTGCTATTAACAGTGCTTCCTTTCTATCAAGTTCTCAGGTATCGTCTTAGCCGGTCTTACATCGACCCTCATACCCGCCATCCAATAATATGGCTTACTGGACTTCACCAAGCGGGAAGTGGCAGCTCACCTGTTTGACATTAACCAACTCTGGTATATACTGTTCACCGCTATGTTGCTAGTATAACGAGTAACATATGGCAGTCTCAATGGCACACTTTGGTTACGACCAGGTTGTTACTACCCGTGTTCTCCGTATCGTATTGATGGTTAGCTCACATCCAACTCAGGGGATCTTTGCTGGCGCCCTCATATCGGCAGATTTTATTAAGACTTTTCCAGAAACCAAGGATCCAGCTATCTCGGGTATTACATCCAGCTGTTTCTCGGTGGGTCATGACGCTTGACAATGCTAATCACGAATGCTGACCATTGCATGAGCTCGGTGCTTTCTTCGGCTGCCTCGCATCATTTCTATTTGGTGATAGGCTGGGAAGGAAGAAGTCCGTATATGTTGGGCTCGCGGTCAACGTTATTGGAGTAGTTCTGCAGATTGCAGCTTACCATTTGCCGCAGATGATCGTTGGCCGCATCATCAATGGTTTTGGCAGTAGGTTGACCCCTGGAGACTTAAGAGCTCTCCACTCTTAGCTCGCCCATCTGCTCGAGAATCTGCTTAAAATTCTATCCCGTTACATACGGCCCCATCTAGTCACTTGCCGTTCCGTGTATGCTAACCCCTTAGTCCAGTGGGGATCACCTCTTCAACTTGCCCTGTATTCGTTGCGGAGGCCTCGCCAACCAATATTAGGGGTAAGCTTGTGGTGCTAGGCTCGTTGTGCATCACAGCGGGATTCTGTGTAGCAAATTGGATGAGTTACGCTTTATTTGATAGCAGTGGAGCATTTCAATGGCGGTTCCCCTTAGCTTTCCAGCTCGTATACCCAGCTGTTGTAGTAACATTTCTGCCGCTTACCGTTGAGTCACCACGATGGCTATTACTACGAGGAAGATTCGAGGAGGCTCGAGTAGCTCTCGCTCAACTCCGAGGATTATTACATAACCTTGATGATAAGAATTTGAAGGATGACCTTAGTTCTATTCAGAGTGCCCTTGAGAAAGAACGCGAGGCTCGTGTGCCTCTGATGGATGCTATACTAGGCCGAGATCCACTACAAAATGCTCGCCGTTTGGTGCTGAGGCAAGTCGCCTTATAGGTATACCGGGCTAATCCGCCATGATGCTGACCCTTTAAAGCTGCGGGACGCAGCTAATGCAACAGTTCAGCGGCGTTAATGCCTTGGGCTACTACCTTCCCACTCTCTTGATCGAGTCGGTAGGAGTTTCTAGTTCATATGCAAGATTGTTGGCCGGAGCAAATGCCAGCCTATACTTGGGTGCGGCTTTTCTATGTCTGGTTCTAGTCGACCTGGTCGGAAGACGCAAGTAAGGCCCATACTCCACATCTTTCTCTGCCTTACCGGCAAATAGTAATGCTTATGGTTCCATAGACTTATGATGTATGGTTCTATTACGACTGGATCTTGCTATTTCGTTGCCTCTATGACATTGAGAGAGGCTACTCTTCATCCGGAAAACAAGTCCGATCTTGGCAAAGTAACGGTGGCTATGTTCTTTCTTTACTATTTCTGCTATGGTACTAGCTTTGCTAAGGTCCCTTGGGTTTATAATTCTGAAATCAACAGCCTCGGGTGGCGGACAAGGGGAGCTGCCGCCGCCACCGCAACGAATTGGTTAAGCGGTTTCGCCATAGTACAGTTCACAAAGGTCGGTGTGGATAACCTTGGATGGAGGTTCTACCTTCGTAAGGACTCGTCTCTATCAGACACTATGTCGGGGTCTAACCTTGTGCACTGAATAGTCTTTGCGGTATTCTGCTGGTCATACTTACCTATTGTATTCCTCTTCTATCCAGAGACCTCCCTTCGAACACTCGAAGATATGGACGAGATATTCGAGCGCCATAGAGGCCCATTCGTGTTCAGGGACAAAGCCCTTACCCAACGGAACCGCCCGCAAGAATTTACAGAGGCCGAACAGAGGCGCATCACCGAAACCTCCCCTCTTGCTGAGGCATTTCGAAGTGTTTAAATCATATCACGCCGTCTAATATTCACCACGGACGCTAGCGTACTACCGCTGATGAATGGTTTTAATATACCGTATAATTCTTCGTACGTGGGCGATTCGCTTCTGCCCTATGATGCTATGTCTTGGACATAGTATCCGCTTAAACAAAGAGACGAGTGGGCTTAAATTAGGTTCACGATGGAAGTAACTATATGCTTGAACAATCCCCGTTGTATCTTTTCAATAGATCTCCAGCCTTAAGCATCGTCTATCTCTTCAGTCGGCACAACGACACATCGACACATCCAGTACGAACGGAGCAGCATAGGGAATTTTTACAACTGTCATTATCTCCTGAAATACGATTTTCACACATTTATAAACCCGAATAGCCCGGATAGCTAGGAATTAAATTTACGCCACGGATATATGAGACTCTTCTCTTAACCTACCTATGTATTTCTAGTTTCTTCAATTACATATAGCCTACTTCAGATGAGGTCAGATAGTGTCACACGAACTGACTGCTTGCACGGCCATCACCTAAGCCTGCTATTTAGCCTACTCGAAATATTGGCTCATAAGCTATGAATTACAATTCCTTGTATCTCCCGTTTACCTTTGCTGGGAATATGTCCAATTATGCATAGATGATACTGAGTACCTAGGTTAGATACTTGGGAGTATTGGTTCGCATCCTAGGCGTTATACACGTCGTAAAGGAATACACTCTGTATGAATACTGAATGTGTCCCAATATCTGATATATAGTACTTCTCTCTAGGTTATTATAGTTCTAGCGAACCAGTAGCCAGATTGATTCCACTTTAGTATAACCCAAGGTGGTTCGGTAAGTGGCAGGTGCCGGTTCGATCTACTCAAGGCTCTGACCTCTTGTGGATTTCCGTGTTGGGTCTATTCCAGCAGCCCCTGATGAACTGTGATCACACTCTGTCATAATAGTACATACAATAGTTCACAAATGGACAAACCCGTAACTTTCCCCAATTTGAAACCGTCTTTCCGAACGCCAACAATCCTTGATCGATTGTGAATGCATCTCTTCTTACACTGTATTCTGTCAATACATAATCAAGATTAGACCTCGCCGAAGTCATTCGCCTTGCTGGATACGAGGAGACCGACGATCAAACCGAAGAGACCTAGGACGGAACTGAAGATTTCGATGACGAGAATCTTGACGAAACTGATAGCCTTTGTTAGCATTACTATATGGCCGAGGGGAATGGAGCTGAGGCATACAGAGAAGGATCCGCAGCATCTGCTAGAGCAGCTCCACTGCCGTTGATGCCAACAGCAACACCACAAACCAGGTTACATCCTCCTACCGTTATGCCAGCCCAGAACAAGGCGAAACCGGTGTAGTAACTGTTGGGGTCAAAGACTTCGTCGGGGCTTGCGTAGTTGACCTTGGAGGAGAATACGATGGCCATGATGACACCGTAGATGGCAACAACTTCGCAGAAGATGATGGAGATCAAGTTCTTGGTTCGGATTCGAGGGGCCTTAACACCACCACCGAGGATGGAAGAACCCGTGATGAAGATACCCCTGAATACTTGTTAATCGTGATACGTTCGATTGGGATGATAGCTTGAGCTGGGGGGCGTGTCATACCATGCTGCGCCGACGACTGATAGACCAATGCAAAGCGCAATACCTAAATCCGCCCATACGTACGGCGATACTGTTTCGAGGAAAGCTCCGACCTAGAAGATAATTAGGATATGGTGTAATTAATTATTGCGTATTATCGAGACGAACATTAAATGATTCACCGCTACCGGTAAAGAGCATGTCTACAAACAATCAGCCTCTCGATCTCAATCTCGATCTCACGTACGCTCTTGAGCGCGAATGTTTCACATACACAATCCAACAATTGTTATGAAAGAGGAGAGTCCTCCAGCGCCGTATGTTAGAGCGCCCATATTTATAGAATTCGGATGGGAGTAATTGTTTGGTAATTCCGGGGTAGTTTTGGATAGATGTTGTCGACACAGCTCAGGGGAGCTAATGAATGTTAAGGAAAGTCGCGATTGACGTTTATTAGTAGGCTGACTTTCTACAAGCTTGGAGAGCTTTGGGGGTTGCAGCCGCGCAGCCCGTTGTTACCATCCCTGGAAAGCGTTAGGTGGATCCCGGCCCGATCTAGTTCCGACTTTTAGACTTTAAATGCAATTAAAAGTCTAAATATATCTTTATTCAAGTAACAGTAATATTACGTGATCAATTATCACCCCGCCTTATGTTGAAGTAAATGAGTCAATTCGATGGAGGGGCATTTGAATTTCGAAAGCTTCAAAAAATTCATATCCAAACCGAACCCCTCCATTAATTACTTGACGCCAAAATCCTAGTTACTTCTCAACACCGTATTTCTCTGCGACCCTGTCTTAGTTACAGCTGGGTAAAAAACCATCAAGCTGTCACTGCTTCGCGTTATTCGCCCTCTTTCACGAGGCATCTTTTCCCGAACATTTACCATGGCCGCCCTTAATTCCCAGAAGCTTACTCCTACCGAGGAGACTGAGGTTCAACAATGGATCACCACTTCGGAACGGCTAAGGAGCTCGCCATCGGATACATCAATCCTTGAGAAGCTTAACTCTCACCTGACCTCCCGAACTACTCTTCTCGGCACTAAGCCCTCTAAGGCTGACATCGCTATCTACGAGTCCCTGGCTCCTACCGTCAAGTCGTGGACCCCTGAGCAGCGAACCGGCGAACAAGGTCACCCTCATATCCTCCGCCACCTCGACTTTGTCCAGAACTCGGGCGTCTTTGGCCTGAATGTCAACGATACGGACAAGATCAAGGTTGATCTTGACGAGGTCCTTTATGTCAAGCCGCCCGTCGACGCCAAGGCTGAGAAGGAGCGCTTAAAGAAGGAGAAGGCTGCCGCTGCTGCTGCTGCCGCCGGTGGTGATGGCGGGGTTGCTGCGACGTTAGTTGACCGAACGAAGGCAGCGGCTGAGGCTGTCAAGGATGCAGCCGTTGAAGCTGGTAGCAAGGCTGCAGCCGCAGTGGGCGTTGCCACCGAGAAGCCCAAGAAGGAGAAGAAGGAGAAGGCTCCCAAACCCCAAAAGGCTCCGGCCGTTACTACGCCCCCGTCGCCCCATCTAATCGATCTCCGAGTGGGTCACATTCTGAAGGCTATCAAGCACCCGGAAGCCGACAGTCTGTTTGTTTCTACGATTGCCATGGGCGACAAGCCCGGCACCGAGGATACCACCGAGTACGAAGGCCAGGTCTGCAGGACTGTCTGCTCCGGGCTGAACGGTCTGATTCCTCTAGAAGAGATGCAAAACCGCAAGGTTGTCGTAGTCGCCAATCTGAAGCCCGTCAAGATGCGGGGAATTAAGTCATGCGCTATGGTCCTAGCCGCGTCACCGAAGTTGAAGGAGGGCGAGGTAGATGATCACAAGGGACCCGTTGAGTTAGTCACTCCACCTCCCGATGCGAAGACCGGTGAGCGCGTGTGCTTTGACGGATGGAGGGGCGAGCCTGAGGGTGTTCTCAACCCCAAGAAGAAGGTCTGGGAGACATTCCAGCCCGGATTTACTACAACGGATAGCTTAGAAGTTGCTTTCGACGGTCACCTAGTTAAGGAGGCGGGTAAAGAAGAAATTGGAAAGCTGACTACGGCTAGTGGAGGTGTATGCACAGTCCCAAGTTTAAAGGGGGCTACAGTACGATAATCGCGAAACTTACACAGTGGTCTAGAAATCAAAAATTAAGCTGTATTGAAGAGCTACAGGCTACATTGCTTTTACCCTCAGTTCCTTCGATCTAAACCTAGATCTTCCTCTCATACATACTAATTCTCAAGAGAACCGGGCGTGTTCCACGGCGGGGTCTCGATCGTCACAGATGTAATAGTAGGTGTACCAGCACATCCGGTCGTGTAAGTGATCCATTCAGTTGGGATAGGGCAAGGATCGCAAGTGGGACACGCGCCATTTGCTACATACGATGTTGACGTCGTCGGGCAGCAGTCCGTAGAGCATGGCACGGTAACGCTTGAGACCTTGATGTAGAGCGGGCAGACTACATCTGTTGGCCTGGATGGGCATGATAAGGTAGGGCAAGTAGCTGGGCATGTAATCAGTAACTTGCATGTTCAATGCTAGTGTGCAAGGAGAGACTTACAGGACTGGATAGTTCTGGTGTAAGTGTAGCATTCGTGAGTCTTGACCCAAGCAGTAGTATGCTCAAAGTCGTCCATCGTAGTTGAACAGTGTCCGGGGATCGTCGGGCTGGGTACTTCTGCTACAGGGGATGCTACTGCTACATTGCTGTGATGTCTTATGTTAACATATGTTGTTGTGTCAAGGTAGATGTTATGAGTAGACGGTGACTTACCAGAGAGCCAGCAGGGCAGCGGCTCCGGAGATGAGAGCTCGAGGTGAGAACAACATTGTTGAGATGTGATTATGTAGATGAATTTTACTTGATGAACTTGGTTTAAGTGAATCAATCTTATGATATTGTTGATGAAAGGAGGAGTCGAGCTTCTCTTTTTATACCTAATACGATATGCGTGTACGTACATAGGTAGGTATATAGTATACAACCATAAACACGAGCCTCGACGTCACTCCCTTCTCCTATCCGTTGCCAAGAGGAATAAGAAGAAGAAAAGAAAAAAAAAAGCAAATCACAAGATCAAACCAGCCAAGGAGGCTTGGGAGGGGGGCTGACATAAAAGGGAGTAGGACTCCGTTCGTCCCTTCCGTTTTCCTCGCTATTTCTCGAATGAGAAAGCTGGGGTCGGTGTACATACTTCATCTCGCGTCGCACGGGGAGATCCTGCTTTCCTGCTACCGTGGTTCGCCCCTTTTATGTAAGTATACATTAAGGTATACATATATGTATGCATCATACATTTATTTATGTAAGTTATGTATTATATACGCCTACCTACATAATATAATGTAGGTATCCTTGCCGGCACCCGGGTCAACAATACATTAACAAACGCGAAAGAAGGATAACTAGAAGAAGAAAAAAAAGAAAAAAGAAGAAAGAGAATCGTTGCTAAAAGGGGAATAATTCTACGATGGCTGAACCGCCTCACCTCAGCCCTACCTCGTATGAGCTCACCGCATCTCGGACCGGTCTAAAGCATCAGCGAATGAGATGCGGGGATAGCTACGTCTAGGCTACCGTATCCAGCTCTCCTCATTTCTTGGTCCGCATATCGACCAGCCGAGCGAACCGAGAGGAGATAGATCTCAAGACGGTCACACACTGACACCTATGTATATAGAAGTGAGCGCATAGTCACAACACTCGTTCTCCTTTCCCCGCAAAACTACTTCATACATCATACGTTAGGTACCTACCTATCTTTTACATATGTAGGTATATACATATTAAATGCGACTCATCTAAAAATATATCTAACCTTAAGTACCTTAAGTAACCCCGGATATTAAAACCTAGCTTCCTTCCGGCATTCTAGAATCCCGCCGCGAAGATCCTATAGGTTGGTCTAGGGCCTCGCTCACCTCGTAGCTGCAATGTGATAAATAGCCTCAATATTCTCTCACCTCTCTGGTGTTACACTGCGTCCCTTACTGAGATCCGGATAGGAGAAAGACTGGCTGCTGACTTCATTTAGGTCTTGTGTTTGGGAGTACACAGTAGCCTATCAATTCGTATTATCAACGATACTAGATTTGATGGATAAGCTCTGCATATATGTAGAAGGGGAGGGGTTTTAGTCTTGCTATGATCGTAAGACATGGGTATACTCACGCGAATAGAAAGTCTTGACAATATCCAATATTCTCGGATTGACTGCTACTAAATTTGTACACTATTGGAGTGGATGACTCTCGCTTTGTTCCCATCCGTCCCTAATTTGTTCCATAGTCCATTCTCCAAGACTACCTCCTCCCGTGTACTATACAGATTGATACAGGAGCCTCTCCATATACAATATAATGCCTCTAATGTTCCTAATCATCCGCCATGCGCCACTAAGCACTTTTTTTATCACCAAACGCCGTATGATGCATTCGCTCATAATATAATAAACATGATCATAACCCCATCGACCTTCTAGCCATTGTAAACCCTCGGGCTCCTTGCCGAGCTCAACTAAGCCCACCCAAGCTCACGAGAAGAAGTACTGACTATCCCTAAGCCGTGAGACATCGAAATCGCCCTGAGAATACTAATTAGCCTTATGCCCATCTACTAAATTATATGCTGGAATAACTAACCTTTTTAGGGACCTCGGGGAAAACAAGCGGAAGCCACACGTTAATCATTGCAGGTTTAGCCTTAGCCTTGGCCTTGGCTGCTTTTTGGTTGCTTCCGTTGAGCTCTAATTCGAAACGGCTGATGTTTACCCCAGCCAGTAGTTGTTCCATCGCCTCTTTCGTCGGAGAATTCGTGTCTAAATTCATGTCCGATTCGGTAGTTTTATTAACATTGGCCTTGACGGGTTCTGAAGCTAATGGTAAATCGTCCTCGTCGTTTTCGTCGACTGTTCGCATTGTGTTGGCTAGTATCTCGTTTACATCGGGAATGTCGCCTAATGTCATGCCTTCCATGTCTTCCGCGCTGGACAAGGGTTGGGGGGCCGACAACTCTTCAAAGATGCTGGCAGGCGTCTGCATCTCTTGACCTTTCTTGACCTCCTCAGGGTCTGGAGATGCTAACAATCGTATTCTCTCTCGCTCTTCGAGAAGTTCATCTTTCAAATTCAATCTCTTCTCCTTGCGAAGTGCAACTATCAATTTGCCAAGCTTGCTACCTCGTTCGACCTTAGATAGATAGAGAGAACCTTTATATCGGGCCTCAAATTCGGATGCAAGACGCCCGATGACATCTTCGCTATGTATACGAATGAAACTGTCCCGAAGCACATCGTTCATAACGTCAACATCAGAAGCGTGTGTCCAGAAGGAATCGTGTACAGCCGCAAACGAGAGACCACGCTCATCACACTGTAATGCTGAGAGGAGCATGTGGCTAGCGTCTAAAGAATGGATGAAGTTGGGGGGGAAAGCCTGCAATTGCTTCCGTCGATTGACGGGATCCGAACGCTCGGGAACCTGCAGGGTAAGATCCTGCATCGAGGTATTGATCACACGAGTTCCATTTTTGCGGTATGGTTGGACAATAGGCATGCGGAGGGGGGTCGTCCAGACGACTGTCGATCTGAACTGACTGAGAACCTCGTCGGTAGTGCTCTTCGGTTTTGGCGTCTTCGCCCTACCTGTTGTCTTAGGCGCTGGTGCTTCTCCACTGGCAATTCGATCCATCTGCTCTGGGGTAAGCGCGCGACAGACTCTGCCCGCGCACTCTCCGAGCCAGTATTGAATATCATGAGCTCCGCGAAACATAGTAGACAGAGCCCCAAACACTTTCGTAGCGACGTAAGAAGCGAGAAGACTTACCGGTATGCCTGTTTCTTGTCGGATATTAGGATAAGCCGCCTCGAGTTGTTTTTGTACTTGAGCTTTGGCGCCAACAAAGGTAACACCGTATACATTGGTCATGACAGTTTGCTTCACCACTTTTCTTGTTATTTTGCCATCAACCGCCTTCGCGATGATATTCTCAGACTCTTGTAAATCCTTCGCGATTCCTTCCTTTACTAGGTCGGCTACTGCAGAATACACATCTGCGGGGCGGTCTCCGGGTTCTAGATTCACTTGTTGGGCACCCCAAATATCACCACCGAGAGCCGCATAATGCTGCAGTCCGTTGCATGTGCCATCTTGGTGAACTGGGAGGTGTGACACGAATTTAGTAGGATCAGGAGACTCGAGAGCTGCCTTCAGTTCAAAGGAAGTCGCCAGGCATTGCCATGCATCCTCGGCCTGGAGCCACCACCGGTTCCCTGTTAGAGGGTTGGCGACGGAATCGTATATATCGGCAAGGTGATCGGTCACGAACTCTTCTCGTTCCTTCAAGCTCGCCTTATCGTAGCCAAAAACATTTGCTAGGTGGATCTTAAGCCATCGCAACCCATTCTCACCAAGCTCTTTCCCCTTGGCAAAACGAAGCAAGCCTCGAACATGGTCTGCGCCCATATGGTTGAGATATGTTGGGATCGGATAAGCTCGGCCCCGGAAATCCATGTTATGCGGGAAATAAAAGGTCTGGTCTTTGAAAGCCCTGGCAATTTCAAGTTGGAAATTCATGAAGCAACGCTCGGAGTGTAGACCTGACTTTTCGTTCTCTACGGCTTTCACGGCATTCAGCCATTCACGCCGCTGTAGAGGATCATCAGATGCTTCTGGTTCTGGGGGTATGGGAATTTGGGGATCCAATGGAGGAATGTTCGCTATCGGGTTGCCACTGTTCCACGCTTCAAGCATTACATCGAAGACAGGTCTGTTAATTCGCCATCCTGTTCGACCAAGAACATCCAAACCTTTGCTAACCTGCTCCATGTCTCCCCTCTGCACGGCTGCTTCGGTATACACCCTTTGGTCCTTCTCGCCGTTCTTAATTCGTACAAGATGAGCAGGATACTCAATGAAGCCCCCTTTGTCGAATTTTGTCCAGGGTTCCGGTTCAACAAGCATAGGTAGGTGCCTAGCAAGGAAATCCGCAGGAGGCTCTCGCTTCATAATTTCAACTAAGAATTTGTTCGGCATGACTAGCCCAATCTTCCTTCCTTTTCTGTTTATCGTAGTATGAGCCATAGCGGGTTGCCGTTGGCTAACGAGAGTCTTGGTTTCGGGGTGCTCCCGGACCACATTCATTTTTGCAGTATCTATCAAAGCAGATAGTAGAACAACGCCGACTTTGGTTTTAATTAATGTAGGCCACGACTTAACCTCGAAGGAAGGTGTTCCTACATCATTAGATTCCGTCTCAGAATGGGTTGTGTCGGCCGTCTCGGTCGGTGGCTGAGCTGTCGATGAGCTTGCTTCACCGTTCTGCTTCAACTTTAGTCTGGTATTCCGGGCTTTATCTTTACGCTTAGCTTCCTCTATGCGTTTCTGCCGTATTATATGTCTAATATCCTCCTCTACTGCCTTGGAGACATGGCTGAGTAAAGTAGATAGCTGAATACCCCCGTCGACACCTACAGATGACATGGCATTTAAGACGCTTATAATTGTGACGGCCGCCAGCCTCGTCGGTGTTGATTGCCCTAGGAACGGGCCATATACGCAGCGATCCTGATCCGCATCATTCTTTCTTTCGCGGGTTTCTGACTCTTCAAATAGCGAGAATTCCTCCTCTAGCTTGCTTTCTAGAGCACATTGCCATTCATATAGCTGGGAATTCAAGGCGCTCGTAGACAATGATGTGTTCAAGCCCATTTTCATGAGAGCCTGATTTTCTTCTCTCCATCGGTTGATAGCAGCATCAACACAATCATGCTCTAGCCGAGCCTGAATTTCCCGGCGCTCTGCGTACGTCAGCTTCGAGAGATCCCGTCCCTCGACCTTGGAAAAGAAAGACAAGACGCCACGTAATGATTTGAGGCCTAATCCTTTTTGAGGTACGGCTAAAACTTCGGGCGTATCTTTCATCTCCGATTTCATCTCAGAAAGGTTTACCGGTTCAGCTAAGTTGACTTCCGTGTCTAACGACTGTGATTCCCCGTCTTCTAGTGAAGGCGCCCAATCTTCCAGAAGATCAGAAGCGGGCTGATAAATGCTGGCTATGATGCCGACGTCTTGCTGGGTCAAAATATCCTCTTCCGATAAGACTTGGTATATAGCGTCCCCAGGCATCAGATCCATGTACCGGGCCACAAGCCGTTCTAGTCGTGGTCCTTGGGTCGATAAGAGCGAAATCTTCAACATGCAAGCAACGGTCTCGGGTGTTTGAGGAATATTTTTGCCTCTAATATTTAACTCGTACCATTTATGTAAAGACTGAGCCCATTCAGAGTCTGGTTGTTCAAAAGCTTTGTCAATGGCTGCGCGAAGGTATTGGTTGTGAAGCTCAGTCAGAGCAGAACGCTGTAGTGTGCCGCCGTCACTAAGGCGAGTAATGACAAGAGCCGCTCTATCTAGCTTGCCGACCTGTAAGCACGCATCGAAAACTGAAATCATCTCATCGACACCACCAGGTATGCCATGGCTATTAATCCTGGAGCGAGGAAAAGGATCCTCTGCGGGTTTGATGAGCAATGGCGAAGAAGGGTCGAAGGGTCGTATATCGTATAAACGAGGAGGAAATGGTTGATACATGTAATTTTTAGGGAGTTGGTCGTAAGGAATTCCATCTTTTTGTAAAGGGTCGCTTATAGCCGTAGCCAAAGACCTCTGGAAGATTGACCCATGAGCGTCCTGCGAGCTCTTTCTCCTCCTCGGTAACAATTCGACTCGGGTAGTTAAAAGTCTACGACTCGACGTATGGAAGGAATGAAGTGGCGGGTGTCTGGCAACCAATTGTTGTCGCCTCACTGCATTGAGTCGAGGTAAGGAAAGGCTCTGTCGAGCCGGAAGAGGTCGCACAAGCATCGCGACGGCTTGGGTATAAGTATTTGGGAGGAGGGGAAAAGGAAAAGCTATTCCCAACAAACTCTTTTAAAAGCTGCCGAGAATTTTGCTGAACTATTATTATAACATGAAATTTAAAGGAATAGGTAAAACCGAGGAGGCGATCCTATATGTACGAACCTAGCCTATGCAGGAAGAAAGACCCGACTTGAGGTCGAATTTGAACAGGATAATTAAGTATTTGGGAGGCGAGCTTTTTCACCAAGATCCAACTCCGAAATTTTTGCCATTACGAACGTATTTTTTTAGTCCCCCTCAGTTAGGCTTAGATAAAACGATAAGTGCGATAAGAATTGATAGGTATCTGAATTGGTAATTTCTAATTGGCTTGAAGCTTATAAATGCCCCACTTAACAAATCTAACAACCAAATTCGCCTCCATTAAAGGTTATACCCTACCTAAGGTTAGAGGTTATCAGGTATCACATGCCCACTATGAGATCGCAACTTTAGAACCTTAAAAGTTAAACGTCTTAACTTGCAGATTTAGTCTTATTCTGAATTATTACATCAAGACTGGATGACAGTTCAAATTCATTGACTACCGGTAGAAAGTTTAGAATAAAGGGTCGGCAACCATTTTTATCATCTCGACGTCATCTAGCCGACGGCATGGTAACTCGACATGCAGTAGCCACAGTGGCCTGCTCTCACTGCCGTCTGGCTGCTTTAAAATTATTTGCTTCTTCTACGAATACTTTGCCCGCTATAAGATCTAGCCCTTTACAGTGTCGACCGCGAATAGTCACTGGGATGCCAATTCGGACATTCTCATCTCGGTTATCTCAAAATGACATCTCAAATAGCACGGTGTTGACCGAAATAGACCAAGAAAAGGACGACATACTTGATGATCAGAGTCATGAGACTACCACGGGGAGCACAAGTCTAACCAGTACCCCTTGGTATCTTCAAGTCGAGCCTCCAAGACATGTGGCTACTATTGAGCCGCCGCCATTGCCGGAAGTTCCTTCAGACTCTCCAGAGATCATTGGCGCATTATTAAAATATGTTTCCGAGGAGTTGGGCCTTGACGAACTTTCTCTATTAGATCTTAGGGACCTAGACCCTCCAGCAGCACTAGGCCCGAATCTTTTTATGTTGTTTGGTACAGCACGGAGTGAGCGCCATCTCAACGTATCCTCTGGGCGGCTGTTACGATGGCTACGAGCTAAGCATCATATCTGGGCTCACGCTGACGGCTTGCTCGGACCAAATGAGCGTAAGACAAAACTGCGTCGGATAGCTAAGCGGGCAAAGCTCCTAGGAGGTGTTGCGGATACCGATGACGGCATTAGAACTGGCTGGATATGTGTTAATTTAGGGACTATAGACCACGGCAAAGAGGTGTCTGCAGTTGTTGCCGGCGATGGACGTGTTGCTGGTTTTGGTGCTGCTCAAGATGGATCTACAATTGTCGTTCAGATTATGACAGAATCTCGAAGAGCCGAAATGGGCCTTGAAGCCTTATGGAAACGAAGTCTAGGTCAACCCGTCGACAGCGTCGTAAAATCGGAGGATAAGCCCGTAGAACCGGACCATAGGCCTACAAAATCCGAGCATAGGCCTATAAAGTCTGAGCATAGGCCCGTAAAATCGCATCATAGGCGGCCAAAGTCAGAGGCGAAGGACATGGAAGACCTCCACCCGTTGGAAAAGGCTATTCTCGCCAGTTCGCGCCGGCATACAACTTCTGGAAACAATCACTTCAACGATACGTCAAGGAATACGCCTTTTGAGCAGACACGGTTTTATTCAACACAGCGGACGATCGGAGACGAAGAACCGGTGGTCAAGTCACTGTTTAATATCGAATCGGAACAGGCACTTGAGCAGAGTCTAAAATTTGATGTTCATCAGAAATCCAATATTCTATCTCTACTGGAAGCTCGGCTTGATCATCCATCTGTCATCTCTACTTCGGATGAAGGGCGATCCTTCTCAAAGTCTTTCCTTCGATTATCTCAGCTTGCGTGCCAAGGCCTCCATCCATTTGAAACCTGGGGGTTTCGTCTCGCAGTTCACACGAAGGCATGTGAGCTTGGCATGGATAATCTCACTGAGTTTCCAGACGACGCACGGCAACTAGTTGAAGAAATGTGCCTTCATGGCATCCTTTTCACGCGGCAGCAGTGTCTGCAGCTTTTGACGTGCATTTATACTTCGGATATTGGGGGATTAGATGAACAAACTAAACTAGCCTTACGACTCTTGAAAACGGTTCAGCAACGTGGACAGCCAGTCCTCGCTAGTGATATTATTGTCACTATTATCGAAGCAGCAGCTCGATCTTATAAGCGATCCGCGTCCCGAGATTACGTAGAACTCATGAAGCGACTGGAAGACGTCTTAGTGCAAGCAGATTTATCCCAACTAGAGGAACCGCAGATCATGAGACTCATGAAAGTATACATCGAAATGGGCGATTGGAAAAGATTTCAGAACGTATGGGGCATACCTGCGAGACACCTACGCCCGCGTTCAGCAGCTATGTATATTCATGCCTATGATCTGGCATCTGCTACGGGTTCACATTCGGTTTGCAGAGCGATGCTAAGATTGTGCTTTCAGGAGATGCTCTCAGAGAACCCGCCTGTGCTACCTCGTGGTATGGTGTTGGAGGCCATTAAAAGGTGCATTGATATAGCCGATAAAGCTGCCCAGGAGATTTTCACGTCCATACTGAAAAATCCCCACTCTCATGAAACTCGAAGAGGAAAAGAATTTGTTAGGCTTTTGAGTAGCATACATTTGATAAATCTAACCGGTGGGCGATAGGCTTAAGGATGGGCGATGCATAATCTTGGAGTTAACATCGGCATATGAACTTATAAGTTAACTCGTCTCTACGGATATTTTGGAAGCTGTCGACCAAGATTTGCAAAATCAATGTATCTTCCATGTAAATTAGTTGAATATATTAAACCTATGGCCTCTCTTACTTTTGCACGAGGTCGTATAGGTAATTCGCTTTCACCCTTTGATTGGAATCTCCAGCTGTGCCAATCCTAACAACCTTCCCTTTCCGGAAACCCCGGCCTCCATTGTATATCCGCTGAATCGTAAGCATGGGTGTAGACAAGTTGGAGCATTACGTTAAATCAAACCGTATATTCAAGCTTTTATACCTAGGTAGTTACCTGACTCCATAATCATGTTTCGCTAAATCTAACGATAATAATAATCAACTAACCTACCGTCAACACCGACTCAAGCATATATAATTGCCAACTACGAAATATAAATCTCTGCCAAGATCAACTACCGAGAAATTCCAAGTCGGTTTTCCTCCAGAGGTCCTTAACCGAATTGCGGGAGGATTAGAACTTTAGATCCGCATCTCACCGAAATCCAATCAAGGCAGGTCATAGGCAGCGGGTCTGGACTAAAAAGGCAAGCTCTCTAGCATGGGCCAACCACTATCGCGGAGAGCATCCTCAGCAATGCCAAGGAGTACCGGTTCCTGGCCAACGTGCCTTGCTTGATTGGATGCGCCCCGAGATAAGGGTACCTACGACGCAGCTGAGTGGCGATCAGAACAAACCACCTTCTGTAAACTTGGTGTCGTTCGACGCTAGATTCGCATCGTGTTGCTGGATGTATGCTATATCTCCGTTATCTCGCCTTAGATTGAGGGCTTAGAGAGCGTTTGGAAAGGTAATTGGCTTGCTTGGTGTGGGTTTTGTTAAATCAAGCTGATACCCCGGTGTATATACACACGTGTAAATAAGTGAAGATATGAGGTTGGACTGAGCAGGGAAGTTATTTATGTATATAATATCTTCATATCATATCTTGGCATCCTAACTTCTCGTCGTCGTCGTCTTTCCCGTCACTACAATATCTTCAATCCGTAAGAAGGAAATTGACTGCCTAGGTACTCACCATGACGCGCATCGCATCTCTCGCTCTCCTATCCGTCGCGGCCCTTCCCGGCGCCATGGCCTGGGGCGCCATGGGCCATGAGACAGTCGCCTATGTCGCGAGCAACTACGTCAGCGCATCCACCAAGTCCTTCTTCCAGGACCTGCTGGGCGATACTTCAGCGGACTACCTAGCCGGCGTAGCCTCCTGGGCCGACAGCTACCGGTACACGAGCGCGGGCAAGTTCTCGGCGTCGTTCCACTATATCGACGCCAATGATGACCCGCCGTCTAGCTGTGGTGTTGACTTGGATCGCGACTGCGGTACCGAGGGCTGCATCGTGCGCGCTCTCCAGAATTACACGACTATTCTGATCGGCCAGAAGGCGACCGATGCTAATTTGCAGATTGCGGCTAAGGTAAGCACATCTACTACTTCGTACTCTACTCAAGAATATCCTGCTTAGGCGGGTATACTTGAGTACGTACCTAGGTAAATGAGTATTAACGACCGCAATTATAGATGATCATCCACGTAAGAAATTACCAAGGGGACGTCAGACGAAGTAGCGCACTCAGACGGAGGAATTAACATAACATGACAGTTCGTCGGCGATATAGGACAACCTTTGCATTGCGAGGCTTTAGAAATCGGCGGCAACGATATCGATGTGCAATACGACGGCGACGACACAAATTTGCACGCGGCTTGGGACAGCAACATCCCTGAGTCTATTTCTGGCGGGTCCTCGCAGTCGTCGGCGAAGTCGTGGGCCTCGGATTTGATAAAGGGTAACGTACCTGTCTCTTTTACTCTATTCATTCCTCTTTTCTTTATTTCCCCTATTCCAGATAGAAAAACAAAAACAGCCATAACCCTCTAACAATAAACCCCAGAAATTGACTCCGGCTCCTACAAATCCCAAGCAGCAAGCTGGGTCAGCGGCCTCAGCGTCGCTTCGGCAGACAAGCAGACGTCGACGGCGCTAAAATGGGCTACGGAGAGCAACGCATACGTGTGCTCGACGGTACTGGCGGACGGCGTAAGCGCGGTCGAGAATAAGGACTTGAGCGGGCAGTACACGACGACCGCGCAGCCAGTCGTCGATCTGCAGATAGCGAAGCAGGGGTACCGGCTCGCGAAGTGGCTGGACGCTATCGTCGCTGCAATTTGATGAGTTTGACAATACTAGAGAGGTTGAGTCGATTACGATGAATCGGAGTTATGGTAAACATGAAAAAAAAAAAAAAAAGGTAGAAAAAGAAATGGGACTCTAAGTGTAGGTAGGTAGGTATCTAACTATTGAATTCTAATGCTACCTTACTTGTCCTCGTTCATCTACGCGATGCATGTCTTTTCAAGACCTCTACTCTAATATGCTAGATGCTAGTCCTCTATTCCCCTATTCCTTCTTGACCCCCTTTAACGCCTCTCTCAGCATAGGCGCGATCTGCTTACGACTATGCTCGACTCTCGCCTGCGTCCAGCATCGTCTCCAGCCACTTCCCCCATCTTCTTCCAGATCAAGTTTTCCATCTCCCCATGTACCAAGGCCCAACTTATCCTTTCCATTCTTCTCCGCAAACGCCTTCACAGCATTTACAACCCCCAAACCACCCCGCGCCCAAACTAGCAACTCCCGCTTAAATTCTCCATCATCTTTCGCCGTAGTAAGCACCGCCATAATATCAATGCTCTTTTCCTCACACCACTTCTCCAACTCTTTAGCGAACGCCTCCTCGCCCCCGGCCTTGCGCACCAGAAATGCGAAGGCCTGCGGTACGGACGACGTACCTAGTTTCAGCTGGCCCTCATCCCACTCCTTATAATCCTTGCGGAATATATCACGGAACGACATGTACGAGACGTCCTCCTTAAGGGCCGTAACCTCGGCGAAGAATGCATTGCGGTCGTATCCGCTCCCGGTACCACTACCCCTGCTCTCGGAGCCGGCACGGATATGAGCTTCGGCAGTTGCTACGGCGCGCTCGTCATGGGCCGTCGTTTTATCCTTGTTGCCGAGGTTCGTGGTGTCTATGAGGATGGGCGCGAGGGCTAGATATGCAAGTTGCGCATTAATATGCGCAGCTTCCTTGCTGCCACTGTCCTGCTTCGCTAACGCCTCCCATGCCTCGCTACATTGTTCCACGACTAAGCTCATGCAGCTACCGCACTTCTCAATGACGCGGGGCTCGGCATCAGTGGGGACCTTGCCTTCGTCATCGTGGTGGTCGACACATCCGATAACTCTGCTGCCATAAGTCTGACCTAGCGGACCTGTCATGACATTGTGGTCGACGAGCAGCCAGCGCGTATCCTCGGGCTTCAGACCGTTATCACCGCTAGGCAGCTCAGTTAGCGTCAACACGTTGTCGGGGGTGACGGCAGCATGTTTTAGCACGGAAGTAAATTCCGGCCGTAGCGTGAGGTCATCACGGGGTAAATGGCACAGAGGTATATGCAAGATATGCGGTGGTGAGTGAGTCCTGAGATAGGCTAAGAATAGCGTAGAGCATAGGGAGTCGAGATCTAGTTACATTTCGTATTAGCCTCTAGGCCCGAAGACAGATAGGAAGATAATACGTGCCAGCTGATTCATTACCCACAACAAAGTGCAACGGAGCCGAGCGTTTAGATGGCGGGGCAGTTAATGCGGCCCGGGCTGTGGCCAGAAAGGCCTGCAGCGTTTTCTGTGGTGGCATTTTTAAGAATTTACTTTATGTGCCATCCATAAGTGTTACACTCAAATACTCTTCTATGAATGGTATACTTAGACGTTAGATATTAAAGGTACCAAGTGTTTTGTTTGTATGTTTAGGTATACATTAGGTAGGTAGGTCCATATGCAAAAGTGTAACGTCATACTTGTTTCTCTTCTCGCCCCCGCAGTTTTTTCTCCTATCAATGGTGTAACAACGTCTTGCATTAGCTCCCGATACGTTAGTATAATTGTACCTGGTACTAGGTACATCATGTATCAATTTAAACATGCATGTACGTACCTAGGTATGTACCTAGGTACTATATTACCAAGATATAGTCAAGTTAAAGAGGTATCTATTCCATTTTGTTCCATACAATACTTACTACACAAGCATATGACCTTGTCGTTTCCAGGGTCTTTGAGCCTTAATTACGCCCGTAATTTAATCTACCTAAGGTTATCCTGCCTTAATCGAAGCCATACCTAGGAAGCCATACCTAGAACGCCCACCTGTAGTAACATCTATTACTTTTACTGGAACACAAAGATGACCCCTGACCTATCTACGCTAACAGTCATCGTGTAAGGCATTTCCAATACCGCCACGTCTAGGATCGAATCTAAATGACTTCTGAGTAGCTGTCCCTGCTCGGCCGATATGACCGCGTGTCTGGGTGGCTTTTCTCTGCTGCTCGTAGCCTTGCTACTCTTACCACCTTTCTGATCTGCACCCATCGCATTACCTCCCTTTGGTAGCCTTTCCACGTTAAGAGTAAGCCCAGGCTGGTTTGGTGTGTTGACCGTGCTGAAAATCGGTCTGGCATCTTCGCCATGGAGTCCGCTGAACACGCATGAATTCTCGACTCGCATTAGGTCCCAAAAACGTAATTTCTTGTCCGATCCGCCTGTCAGGATATATCCGTACCGTACTTCGCGCTGGTCTTCCATAGCACCCGAACCAGCAACCATGGCTCGGACGCCACGATCTCCACTGCCGTTGGCGGTTGGCTCGATATTTGTTGCGAAACGGTCGAGCATGCCTTCGGGTTTGTCTTCGTCAACGTCCCATGGTTTGTATCCTTTAGGTCCATCTTTAGATGCGCCCGCCCGATAAATTTCCCTGCATTGTATCTTCTCCAGATCCCAGACGGTAACCTCGCCAAGGCTAGTACCGCCTGCTACGCATACCCACTTCCCGCGGCCTTTGGTCGGATGAAGACAAAGGCGGTGGATAGCTGATTTGCCTGGTACTCCCCAACCCTTCAGCCTCATCTTGAATCGTAAGTCCCACAAGTCCAAAACCCCGTGCGACGTGCCAAGTAGGAGCCAGTTACGCTTCCGATCAACACAGAAACAAGTGGGAGTACCGTGGTGTACCGGATTTTCGAGAACGTATAAAAGCGTCATTGTACGAAGGTCAATACCTAAGACTCGAGACCGGTTGGTTGCAAGTACCAGCACGGAATTCAGCTCCTGCTTGAAGTGCTCACACCAAACAGCATACTCATCTGCTGGAAGCTGGTACTCACGAAGTAACCGCAATCGGATATACTTAGTAGCTCCGGTGGTGATTGCCGTGTCGACCTTTACTATATGAACGCTGCCATCACTAGCGCAACTAACGAACGTATGCGTGTTCTCAATGAAACAGAGGGAGATGACCTTCGCGCCCGAGGCGTGCTTATGCGTCTGGCGTGAACGATGTGTGACATTGCGCTCCAGCCTAGAGGAGTCCCACACCTTCACACAGCCATCATCACTACCTGTAATGAAAAAGAGATGGTCTGGCGATGGAAGAACACGGTTGATCGCCCCCGTATGTTCCGAGAAGGTAGCGACAAGACTACCACTCGGCTTCCACGCCTCCTCGCCGCTTTGTCCCGCCGCTTTACTTACTTTTCTCCTTGTTATTGGAGAAACGAGTGGTCCAAATTGGGCTATATCGTGTGGGTAGTTATCGATATACATGTTATCGAGCATTTTTAGTATATTAGGGTCATTGCCCTCATATGTATGCGAAGCACGCGGTCGACCTCCTGGCATCCCATTCTCTGTGACGGCACTAGGAATTATTATTTGCGGTGGCGGATTCTGTGCGAATGGGCCCTCGACTTGACCAAACGCATTCGCTTCAGTCGTCCCCGTCTCTGCGATAGATCTACCACTATCTTTTCGATTTAAAAGGTCCAGAGCACTTGACTGGTGCCGAATGGCTCTCCTGGTGGAGTATGGAGAATCAGAGATAGAGGCATCATCATCCTGAGAAGTCGGTCCACGTGTTGTAGAGGAAGCACGACGCGACTCGTTAAAACCTGTGCCGTTAACTGGAGAAGACGCCCGAGACTCCATTGGCGATAACGCTCGGCCATCTTTCGTCCTTGGTGATATTGCTCCTCCACGACTACTCAGATGCGAGCGATGATTATTCATGGCAGCACGACGCCGCTTCCCGACGGGCTCATCTATTGTCATTGACGCATCTAACAGCGCATCAGCAATAGTATAAGGACCTTTATCCGAAGCTAAAATTCGCTGTCGCTGCCATGCGAGCTCATCTTCGGCAGGAGCTTCGTCGAACATGATCGTCTGCAATTTGACATTGAGACTTCGTAAAGGAATAATACTGTTCAAGGATGTGGTGATGTTATCTTGTGCGAGCAAGTCGCGGTTCCTCATTTGACTCAAGCGCCAGATAAATTCTCTAAGAACAAGCAGCTTGAATTCATCTTCGGATGCCATCCCCATGTTCCGTAGTCTGGTAAGCCATTGTTCATCTTCGTCATTCCGTTGGACTTTATTAAGTGTTTGCGGCTGTACCTCCCGAGACGAACGGATTGCTAATGCCGTAGACGCAATAGTAAATGTAGACTGCTTCTGTTGTTTGACAGCTTTCCAAAACAGCCCTTTATCAGTTTTCTGTGCCCAGGATAATGCCAAGTCGAAGACCGTTCTCGATAGGGGTTTCTTCAAAGCGTCTAACAATTCAAGCTCAGAAAAGTCGGGAATTATTGCTGGCTTTAGGAATGGCCTAACAAGAGGTAAAACGATGCATCTAATATCAGCGGGAGACAGCAACTTTGCAGCACTAGAAATGTATTCTGCAGCAGATTCTCGGATCCACAGATTCGGATGCATTGTGAAGCGACCAACCACATCTATAAGCTCCCAAGTTTTTGCTTTTGATAATAGACCCAAACTTGCAAGCTCAGCCAAAGAGTGTAATGCGGCCTGTACCACATGCTCTTCCGGATCGGTCACAGCCTGTATCATCAGAGGAAGGCTAAATTCTTCCAGGCTAGTGCTACCTAGGAAAGCAGCAATGCCTACGATCGTATCGAAGAATGCACATTTTAGCATCCAGTCTCGGTCGTTGAGATACGTATTAAGATGAGTGAGGATAATATCATTAGACTCCGCACTGCCGAAAAACATGCATAGTTCTGGGACGGAACTGAGAAACGCCCGACGCACAGAGGCGTCCGAGTCTTCGACTAGAGCTTTGGCATGAGTCTCGAATAGTTCAACAAGCTCGCTTTGCGCGTTATCAAAAAGTCCATCGAATGCAGCATCGGGGTCGCTGCCAGCTTCGACTTCTGGATCAGCTGTACTGATCGATCCTTCTGCTCTCAAGATGGCTGTCAACTCTAAGAATTTCGAAGCATTGGTCGCAAGACTGCCTAGGCAGGACGCATATGTAGCTCGAACTAGGGCGCTTGGCTCCCTGCGTTCCTTTCCCATAATAGGTTGTCTAGAGGCACCTGACAGAAATACCTGCATCCTGGGCATAATGTATTCGGGGAAAACGTGGGCATTAACCGGCGTGACCACCGTTACAAGAGCCAGAAGTTGAGTGACAGATCTAAGAGCTGCGATAGCAACTAGATCACTATCATCATTCAGCATTGTCATTAAATATGGCAGAACCCGATCGAGCTTCGCTTCGTCAGACAGCCTCTCGGAGAAAGCTAATAATATATCACAGGCTCTGATCTTTGAAGCTGCTCGGGCTGTATTTCTGAGGGAAGCTGCGACAAGAGTGAGAAATATTAAAGTACCGTCGTCGGTAGGAGGTTGCTTTCCTGCAGACGTAAAATGTTCATTATTGGGTATGTTTAGTCGTATGGGAAAAAGTCCTAAACCGAGGCGAGGCGTAAAATGAGTAAGCTGGGACGACTCTTTATCGTCCCGATAACCTAAGAAATATGATATTTTGTCAAAGTCGTAGAAAACTCGGTCTATCCGATCATCGGCCTCGCCTAGATTCTTCACAGGCCCTGAAACCAGCGCCCTGCCTGAACTTGGATCGGTGACAAGTTCCATATACTGGTGGAGGAAGTTGTAAAAGTACTCGGGAAAGACCTTGGCTTTGTAGAAATCCAAGTATTGCTCTGCGGAGTATCGTTTTTGGGGGTCAAGCTGGATCATGCTGGACAGCATCTCCCTCAAGCCCTGATCCGGTATCCTACTAAGATGCGAGATCACTGGGTCGTACTCACCACGGCGGTATTTGAACATTTGGCTAAGGCTGAATATTGGGGTCTCGAGAAAAAGCTCAGCGATTACACAGCCAGCGCTAAATATGTCCATGGACCAGGTAAGCTTATGGCCCTGGAGTTGCGCCTGGGGGTTTTCGATATGCTCGATAAACCTCTCTGGGGCAATATAACACGTACGCCGGCCGGACAGGTCGAAAAAATAAGAGTAAAACATAGGGTTATCATCGGGCAGCATCGTAGGCTTAAAAGAGCCAGTGAAATCGGTCAGGTAAAGCCAGTTCCAAGACGTCACCATAATATTCTCTGTCTTCAGATCGCCATGGTATATGTCCCGGCTGTGGCAGTCTCGCAGTGCGCATAGCAACTGGAATGCAAGCCATTTCTTCTCTATATCTTCGAGGAAAGGTCGCGTCGACATGCGGTCGTAAAGGGAGCTGTATATGTATTGTCGCACAAGGTAGGCGTTTCCCTCGGTTTCAAAGGCACGTTCGAAGCCTAGGGCGTTAGGAACATCTCTCAATTTATCCCTTTCCTCTTGTGATCTAGTTAGCTAAAGTAGTACGCAAAAGAAACAATCGTGACTGACGCAGTATCTTGTCGCCATAATCTCGTAGAGATAGCGGGGTATAGGGCTTCACTGTGACCTTTGCCAAAACTACACCATCATTATGACGAGCACGGATACTCTTCATGAACCGGGCACTCCCGATCGACCTTTCGTGCACCAAGTCGGCTAACTCTGGTATATCGATTCCAGCAGAGCCGGCGTACGGCGTAGTGAGGGAGTAGCTGTTACCCATCACGCAAACATGTGATAGTGCTACCTAGCCAAGTTTGTAAGACGAAAGGAATTGACCATCTTCGAGGGATTCCACAAGATTTATTAGTAGGTAGATAAAAACAAAATTGTAATGCGTGCACTATTGGTAATCGTGTTGGGGGATGAAATAATCACGTCGACTTGCTCACGCGGCAGCTGGCAAGGCTGCGTGATCTTTAATGACGGCAATATGTAAGTGGGAAACTGGGAGTAGGCAGGTTCCATAGGTCGGTAGGCGGGCGGTCACTAATGCTTAGAAGCTAGAGTGGGTCATAACCTGACGCACAGCCTAAAATGGTACTACCTTAAGGTATTAACCTCTAGGAGGTAGGTACCTACATGTATTTAAAGGTCTTAGGTCTTAGGTCTAGACCCAAACTACTATGTACATTACAGAATACACACGTCATGTACCTGAATGTATAATTCCATATCTACGGCTTTTCAATATTCCATATAAGCATACACATGTAGGGACTCATTTTCGGGGAAAGTTTCTATATTCGATAATTAAGATGGTAGGCTTACGATATTGACTAAGACGAACCTCAGTAACATCATTATGCCAGGTATCTAGGCTAAGGCTCTTCGTACCATACCATTGAAGATATTATCAGAATTCTCTCTCCTCATCTCCTTGCTCGTCTAGTAGCCATATAGGTAGCATCATATGCGTTGTCCAGCTCCAGTCCAGTCTCACACGGCTCCCCTCCCTAAGAAGTAATTACACAACAATGGCCCTCCCCGACAGCATCCACTCCAAACACCTTTGCTAACACACCGGGTATATCGAATGAACAATCGAATAGAATGGGGAGGGCTCAAATGCATGTGGTCGTCATATTAATATAATCGCGTCTCTTCATATCAAAAGTCCCAGGACAACATGGTAAACACCACCACCAGAAGTCCTGCGGTCAAATCCTTGATCCGAGGCGATGCGTCATCCGAAAAGAATTAAATGCGTATTATGGAATCGAAAGCATTAAGCGTATCAATCGCGATAATGCGAACTATCGTGTCTATGTGCAGGATGAAGGTGGGAAGACGGGCAGCAAGCCAGTGGTGATTAACCTAGACGTTTCTCGGCCATATATCGAGGGTACACCGGGAGGAAGAGTGACGCCAGGTATCGTGCTGTGCTCGGACCGAAAGTTGCGCCTAAGTCAGAAGTCCCTGAACGCCAGAGCAATGCAAACGCAGGCAAGCTTCATCAATCTATCAAATATAAGTGAATAGCGTAATATGTCGTTATCGGCTTCAGGTAAGGTGGCCGCCGTGATGGGCACTCGAGCCAGTCTCTGTGGACCCGTCACCTTCGATAGTTTTCCTCCAATGCTCAGGGAGGCAGACGCAGACCAATGGGAAAGCCTTTATCTCTCCGCTAGCAGGAGGTGATGTATCTCGTCCACGACCCGAGGTGTGCGATACACCACTGTCTCTCTGGGCCTGTTTTCGTGCCTCCCACTCGTCTGCCCTTTCGTCTAACAAAACGCCCGTTGCCCATCCATCATCCCAGATACCAACCACCTTCAACATATCGCCACGCTCCAAGGCAAATTCATCGGCTGCGCGCGGTTGATATGCCCATAGAACCGCGACGCGCTCGCCTGGATGGACATCGTCTTGTGAATAATAGTCCTTAAAGAATGGCAATTGCTCGGATTGTTGGCTGTTGACACCGGGAGGGGATGACATACCCCCGGCACTAGTCGGAGATTGAGGATCCTCACCAGCGAGTACAGAACTACTGGATAACGAACCGTGCCTGCGAATGTTCATAGGGGGTGGGCGTAAGATAGCTGCACGTGGTTCTGACCTGGGGCTATCACCAAATGAATCCGAAGATGAGTGATTGTCTCCTGCCCTCCGCCTTGCAGTCATATATCCAGCAGCGGCGCCTGCTGCTGCTGCGCCTGCTGAACCCCCACGCTTTGATTCTCCACGTCTCGAGGACGGATCTCCTGTATGGCCTTCCAATGCGGACATGCGAGCTATTCTTCCTCCGGGGAGAACTTCGTAGTCTTGGGGTGGCGCTGCCACGTTTGCGGGTATCTGAGCTGTCTGGAGTCCTTTTCTAGAGGGTGAAGGCTGGTTGAAAATGCTTCCTTTTTGACTACCGCGCCTCCGTCGGGCAAGTCTAATGCACATCAAGAGGAGGAAAATCAAGAGAGCCAGACCGGCGACAGATCCGACTACAATTCCAGCTATAGCACCGCCAGAAAGGCCACTATTGCCTGAGGAAGCTACCGGTACCGGAGTGGCCGTCGAGCTTGCAGAGGAGCTTGCGGTTGGTAAGGTCATCGTCGGTGTGATCGTGGGTAGGACTACATTAGCACATCTTGCCTCAATATCGGAGTTGTAACAACAGGTGTCGGTCGAATTAATGCCACCCGAGGCGCAGTATGAGCACAATCCAATAGTGCTACCTCCATATCCACAGTTTTCTGGCTCGTTAGCTATGCCTTGTACGCAACTACCAGGTGTCAATGAGCGTGGTGGTACGGAACAATCGATAAAATCAGCTCTTATCTGCTCCTGACGACGATCGCTGGTGCCAGGACAAATATTGGTGTCGGCTGCCAAATAGGCTTCGCTCTCAGCGAAGTCGGTGCAAGAGTCGGCACATAAGGGTAATGAGGCCTGGTCCGACAGGCCACAGGGCTCAATGGATTTCTGAATGATAACATTACAGATCTTCGAGGTGGTGAAGCGGGCATATAAATCAGTAGTATTGACAAGGTCGATGTTACCACATCCTAGAAGATTCTGATATCTATGATAGTGTAAGTTTAGGCTACCAATATAGAGTTATTTTACTTACTGTTCTTGAACATAGGTCGTTCGAACGTACTGGCTTAACTGCTCGTCAAAGGAAGCCGTATCATTGACATACTGAAGAAAAGTACTGAGTATAGCGGTCAGAAATTGAGACGAACTATACGATAGGTAGGCGTCCCAGTCCCATTACTGAGAACTTGGGTTTGCAGGGGAATGAAAACTTACAATCTTTTTCGTAGGTCATCGTCCGTAGTAGAAATTGAAGCAGGCTGAAAAGCTCCGCAGGTAGTTGAGCCCGATAATGAGATGCATTTTTCTTGCGCCATGGAACCAGGAACCGTAAAGAGAACCGAGAAAAGAGCCGCCTTTGCAATCCATCCCGCCCCGCCAGTCGTTCTTCCACGTCCTCCTAATCGGGTCCGCGACATGGCTATATCGCACTCGCTCTGCTCCGAGGAAGTCGAATTGAGCGATATATCGCTGATCCTCCTAGAGTTTTCGATAATAGCGATCGTTGGCGCTATGAATGCATGATGCTCTGATCCTATCATTGCTCAATACCGCATGCTACTCGAATCGACTCGTTTGAGGCTGTTTGCTGTTGGGGGTCCTAATATGTCTCGGAAGTTTCACGGTGGCTTGGCGCTAATAAGCGGTAGAGCGTGTGAGATGCTGATAGGAAAAGTAGTTTGTTTTTGTTTCTTTTTTTTGAGTAAATTTATGTCCCGAGGTTGGTCGCAGTAAAAGTGGTAACCGTAACCAAAAAAAATCAGGTGAAAAATTATCTAGAGTCAATTGCTCTAAAATTTGAATTAAGAGGGAATGGTGATTTTTACTACGAAGCTTTGTTCGAGGTAATAGTATGCCGATAGGATCGGGTGCGTTGATGTTTCCGTGGTGACGAATGAGTGTGTACAGTTGGAGAAAGTGAGACTGGATGGAGAAGGAGCCGGAGCCAGAAACCGTATTAGTGATTAAAATTCAGGTCGCGCTTGACATGCTGTGGTGGCCTTTAGGATGCACGACGTCGGCTAGGACACTATGGCGGAGGCTCTAAACCCAGGTGAATTTAAGATGGCTGGGCCTTCGGCAAAAAAAACGAATGATTGAACAGGAAATAAACGAAGGATAAACAAGGAAACAAGAAAAGAAAATAGGCCACGACGGTGCGCCGTGAAACCGTAGATCTGAACTGAGGAAGAAGATGATGATTAGATCGGAGGGAAAGAGGTCGAAGTTTGGATATACGACTGAATAGGTCGTCGGCAAGGAGGAGAGAGGGACAGGAACAAGAGAGACAGACTCGCGTAACCAGATTATGCCCCAAGCTGCTTCTGCGCTTCTGGGCTGTGGTCGTTGTTGCTTTGCTAACTGCGATGCTCCTTGATCATGGATGAATTGTGCCTGCCCCCCCTACCTGCCCCCCCTACCTGCCGGGTCCTGCCCTGTCTTACCCTGGTTGCCTTATGTACAGATGTACCCCACCCCCGACATAGCGCTGTATCTGTACTTCTAGCTACTCTAATTAGTGCAGACAGATATCGATACAGAATGTACAGTAACAAATAACTGCTATAGACCCCCAAGTCAATACTAGGTGCGTTTTACCCTCCACGGAGTCTTGGCGTAGATTTCATCCAATGGACCTTAACTCAATCAGTTCTATCAACCCGCGATCAAGGTTACGGCCCACAGGTACAAACTTACTTTGCTTGCAACGATTTACGGGACACGGGCTTCAAATTAAAGACCTTCGTCCCATTTCATACTAGTTATCGCCTTTATCTTCAACTTATATTCGTTGGGTTCAGATACCATATATTCTTTCCTGATATTTCTATGATATAAATAATCAAACGCATTGAATTAATATAATTGGCGCAGTATTCGATATCATTAGAACCATTGCTTATATACTTACATGTATGCATGCAAAGTATCAAACAATGCTATTCCATAATAGTAGGTATACTCGTACATATGTCGCACTTCATGCTTGAGCAACAACCCCTGTCAAGCCACGGACCTCAGACAAAGTCTTGGTTAGAATGGGTAAAGCCTCAGAAGCACCTTAAAATTAGCTGACATGGGTATCTTATCCAATCGCAACGCCTAGAATCTCTGAAGAAAAGCAAAGACTCAATCTCTTCAAAAGTCGACATCTTCCCTAACATTACATAGGTATCATCACAGCGAATGGTAATGGTATCACCTTATTTAACTTAGGTAGTTATTTAAACAAATCGATCTACTAATAATGAGACCGCTGTCATCGCAACAATGGTAGGGATATGAATAGCCTTTGTTTAGCATGATATTAAGTTACATCAGTATTCAGCGGCCGCTGATCACGACGGAAACCTTTATGTGCCAACTAAACATGAAGACGATGATGATATCTTGAACGACGAACACCGATGCGACGGGACACCTTACTTGATAGTTTATCTAATTGCGAAGTTCTTCCTATGTAGTCAAGCAAGCTTCTTTCCTATTCTAGTCAGTGCCTGGTATCTTTAGTATCCTGTTTTAGACATTGCACTTGTCGACATATGATTTTATAATCATCGTTGTTTACGTACGAAACATATATCAAACTTTCAGCCATGAGGCTAAATCACCAAACCGTCTACGATTCGGACGCCGATATCTGCAAGGCTTTACTACCTACCCTTAAGTCTTCAGTGTGCCACGAATCACCAAACCCCAATAGACAAAACCATCTTGTAGAATCCTAGAACAGATCGACGAGGTTAGTCTCAATTGTTTCTGATGCAAGCGCCGATCAGATGAGCTGAAACTTCCGCATTAAAATTCTCCAAGCGTCAGGGCTGTATTTTTATGTAAGATTCGTCTGTCTCATTCCCGCGCTCTGGTACCTATTGGCTAGACCTGTTCTCATGCCTGTTGATTCAGATTCATATCGTTCTTGCACTACATATTATGTAGTACATAACTTCGCTTACCCGGGCCGCCAGCCAAGGATCCCAAGGTCCCTCCGATAATTCAGTAACTCTAAAGACACAGTACAGATCGACTAAAGAAACAGCACATCCACTTTGCACGTGATGAAAGCCACTACAAGCCACCACAAGCCACCATGCACGGCCATTTAAAACTGTACCCAACCCCATGCATATACCCCACTTGCATTGTAACCAAATGAAATTTCTATAATTTTTAAATATTTTTTTTTTAAATATTTATAAAAATATAAATATAAATGAAATAAAATATAAATAAAATAATAAAAAATAATATATAAAATATATAAAATTATAAAAATTTTTAATGGTTGTATGATAATTAAGGAAAAGTTACGTTCCCCACGCATTAAAAAAAAAACACCTATATACATATAAATAAAACATGCTTTTAACATGTTTTTTTAAATAGTTTTTCTTTTTTAAACATTATAAATACACTCGTTTCAATTAATTGTTATTTTATTAATTATTACTTTATTTATTTATTTTATTTTACGTACGTATTTATTAACAATTTTATATAAATTTAATATATTTATTTAAAATAAAAACCGTTATTAAATAAATTAATAAAATTTATATTATTATATTATTTTAAATTTAAAATAATTTATTAGTTTTATTTATATTTATATTATATAATAAAAAATAAAAATAAATAAAAATAAACAAATTTTATTAATTATATTACGTAATATTTTATTTTATTTATTTTATTTATTTTATTTATTTTATTTATTTTATTTATTTTATTTATTTATTTATTATTATAAAATTACGAAATATCAATGAAATATTTATTAAAAATATGTTATATTTAAAGTGAAAAATTAGAAAAATAATAAGCCTAGTTGCACGTGATTTGGACCGGATTTAGGAAAGTTATATAAATTAATATATATTAAGTATTATAAATATTTCAATATCTACCTAAGTATTTATGTATCAAATGTGTGGTCGGGTGCACGGTTGGCGCATCTCACGTGAAAGTGGATGTGCTGTTTCTTTAGTCGATCTGTACTGTGTCTTTAGAGTTACTGCCGATAATTGTTTCTCCGACCTTGTCAAAGACGAAATGACGACGGCCTCATATGCTAGGCTGAAAAAAGGGGTAGGCTAACGCACTGCGTTTTGACCTTTTAATCCTAGTCTTTAGCCTTTCTATTTTTTCTTCTTTTCATTTTTTCCTTGTTTCGATCGAGTCTTTCAACGAAGCTTATACTTTCTTTACATAACATCAATTTTAGCCCTGCCATAACAGCCAAGCACGGGCGCTTGTTTCATTTACCTTATATGCCGTGCTAGTATTCTACAAGATGTTCCCCGAGGCATTCCGCCGCGTCAACCGATTAATTGAGTAAATCACCTTACGATCATATAATTTAGTACAGCCATGCCCCTTATGAATTTACCTAGCGAGGTGTTCAAGTTTATACTGCTGTGTATATCTTTTGGATCTATCAGAGTAACTTCTCATGATTTAATTTCCGCAAAAACAAGCAATTCAGTGGTCGACAGTGCAATAAATCGATTTGTGTAAAACTGTACATTGTACCTACGGTATCATCCATCAGAAGATATTCGAATACGACAATGTGACTCTAATTACTACGATTGATGTTCATGCACTTCGAAGCCCTTCTTATAAACTCGCGGCACCCCTAAAGTATTTGATATGCTATTTATACCAAAGCTACCTAACTTAATATAAACACTTCGACAAGTAGGGGAACGATCTACGTCAGGTATAAACGTACCTGTTAAATACTACTCCTAGTGTCATTTACCACCAAATACAACTAGTATTTTATGTGAATAACTAAGCTACTATCGCCTACTACCTGACGATCTCATAATCAGGTTATTCTTCATCATAGGTTCAAACCCCAAGTCTAGAGTTCCAACCAAACGTTAGGTCAATGTCGGCCGATCAACCTATAAAAAATAATTATATATCACTTAGCTACTTAGATGTCTGAACTGGATATCTGATGAAGTAAAATGGTAAGGGTGCTTCGTGTAGGGAAATAAATATTTTGAACAATACGAATCTATAACTATTTACATATACCTGACAGAAACAACTTGATTTGATGTCTGAATACTTGATTATATAAGAATAAAACTTCCCCTTGCCTCAATATAATAGTTTCTCCCTCTCTCGGCTCGTCTCATAAGATACTATAAGGTTGTTTTTTTGGTGGTTTTTTTTTTTTTTTGGCGAACTCCCGCCATATTTCATTAATTAAAGATGCCTAGCTTGGAATATTATCATACTTCTGGTGAGTCTATAAGATACCTAGGTAGATTCTAAGATAACTATTCTATTATCACTTAGTTACTTAGATGCGGTAGGAGACAACTGTGTTAAACATACTACTAGATCGCGAGTAGTGCCATGATTTTAGCAACCTAGCCATAAGTAACAGTACTTTCTTAGATCACTGATCAATTTCCCGACTCGAGAATATTCGGAATGGGGTTTGGAATAGTTACTACTAACTCCTAGCCCCCTATCTTGACCCCCTCGCTCAAAATGAGATAATATTAATCATTTCTCAAAAAGTCGAATGTATGTACTTGGTCTTTCGTTTTCGACCACTTAGGGGTGAACATTGCTAACATATTAGTATACAATGATAGCAAATACATAATACGGGATAAGAGCAAGAACCGTAATAGTATATTAGGCATACTACAAAATGTTTCCTCTCTACCTGTGTCTTGTAAGTCTCAGATATATCCATTTGACATAGAGGGCACTACCTGATAATCAACGCGAAAATCATCCCCCATACTTGAATATTCTCATCTTACCCGATCAAGCGAAAAATACCATATGCTACTATGACACCCTTTAATGGACATCCATGGGTGGCCTAATGATTATTCGCTTAGTTCCCTCTTTCACTTTATGGGCTTCTACATGGCTACTTAGTAAATCTGGTCACTCTGCTGGAGTGGTTGGAACGGATATGAATTATATAAGATATGAGCATGCTTGGGGATGGTGGGTCGATTACCTCGTATTGGGTCAACTAATTATAGTACTCTGCTAGCAAATGCATACTTCTGGTCTACACTGAAAGATCTTGTGGAACGGATCGAATGACAAGGCCCCTTGAGTAAGGAGGTTTCTAAGTGACTTTCTTTCCAGGGACGACTTCCATAGTCACTATCATTCGAAAAGTTACGGGCATCGTCGAGGGATGATCACTTATTTCTGCCGAAGTGTAGCCCGATGCCTAGTATTGCCGGTTTCAGGATATGGTATATGTACACCCCAACAATAATATCAGCTCTACGATTCCTCGGTCTTCTTTGCTTTCTGCGCTGCTTCGTACTCCCTTATCTGCTTAGTCCAGCTGCAAGACAAATTAGCATCGCGATACTCTCCCTCCCTAATCATGACACAATATCAAACGTACTATCGGCTGGGGTAGAATCGATCCGGCTCCGGCATCTTATATCGCACCTCCCGGTCGGCGCTGAGCTTCCACGTCAAGGCCGAGATGCCTAGGATAACCCCCATGAAAACCGCAGTGTTTGCTTTCCAGTTGCTCGGTTGCGTGTACCAACCACCGGCCGGAGACCATACGTGCTTGGGGTAGCTAGTGGGAGGTTAGATTCGTCTGTCGAGGTTCACATGGCGGGTAGGAAGGTAGGTTGTAGCTTACGGAACTTTAGGACCGCCACCCTAGTAGATATTAGTGATGCATAATCGAAGAGTTTACCAAGCACTTACCATCTTGTTCGAATGTGCAACGAACAAATTCTTGTATGGGGTCAATTGGGATAAATTGGGATCTGGTGATGGTACGTCGGGAAGATTGCGGATTGCGGGTTGCGGGTTGCGGGTTGCGGTTTAAACTGTTCGCCTATTCGCTTACAGTGATACGCCTTGCATCAAATAGTGCATTACCTAAACTTCGAGAACGTTAAAATGGTCCAGAATTAGGATTCAATTGATTGGCGCTCGGGAGTGGTTAATTGTTAAACCGATTATCTAAAGTACTGGGCGGGCATTAACGGGGTGGCACGTGCACGATTCCTATCATTGGTCCCTTGTTAATCGCCCGTAGCTTCAATTCACAGAAACTTTTTCTTTAGCAGACAAGACACGAGACCACTTACAGCAATTGCCTTATTCCCCGCCAACCGTGTCGTGTCTCAACCCGCCCAGTGCGTTGGCATGAGGTGATCTGCGCTATCTAAAATGAAGAGAATACGGTTGCACAGGTTATCGAGTCAATTACTCTCTACAACGCCCGCGAGGCCACCACCTAGTTCGACAAGGATATGTCGAGCCCCCCAGACTTCTAGATTACAAGCCCCTCTATGTTGTCAAAGGAGATGGCAGACGACAACATCCGAGGTTGTTCTCGAAGAAATAAACGATACTGAAGAACTTCCCATACTACTACCAGAGGAGGAACACATAGCACCCTTACCATCCCCGCCTCCAGAGCGAGCTCTATACTCGGCTAAGCTTGCGGCTCTGCATGCGCGACTCTCTCTCTCCTCTAAAATCCCCTTACAGACTCTCGCCCGCGCCCTTATAGACCCTTCAGCCGACGCAGACCCCCGCTTCAACAATGCGAATCTTGCATTTGTGGGCGCATCCATCCTCCAGTACCATGCCTCGGAATTCCTCATTACCCGCTATCCCCGCCTACCCATGGCCATTCTCTTCTCCGCCATGAAGGGCTACTCCGGCGTGCCGGCCCTGCACCAGATTGCTCGCGCCTGGGGTGTAGAAGCGGCCGCCGCGCCCGGCGAGGAGGTGGACCCGGGGTTATTGCAATTTTCGCAGGACAAGCCGACGGTCATGATGAGCAAGTGGGGCTACGTGCGTGCTGAGTCGAAGGAGATCCAGAAATACAAGTGGCGCCGGGGTCTAAGCAGTTCAGTCATGTACGACGATGCATTCGGTGAGATGGTAACGAAGCAGAAGCAGCCCAAAGAAGAGGAAGACGTCGAAGTTAGTGCGGCGAGAAACACAAAAGACCTAGTTGTCGACAACCCGGTGGGGAATGCGAACGCTAACTTCGTGCGCGCGGTTGTTGGCGCTATCTATCTATACTGCGGGCGGGATGCCGCCAAGACCTTCGTGAAGGCGCACGTCCTTTCTCGGACGCTCGACCTCTCTAACATGTTCGAATTTAAGACGCCAACAAGGGAGCTGGTTAAGCTATGCGCAAGGGAGAACTTCGACGCCCCCGTCGCGAGGTTATTAAGCGAGACGGGTCGTCTGAGCAGGACACCCGTCTTTGTAGTAGGCATCTACAGCGGGCGAGACCTGCTGGGCGAGGGCGCAGCTAGCAGCCTCGACGACGCGAGGATATCAGCCTCCATTAATGCGCTAAAGGCGTGGTATCTATATAGTCCGGTCGACACCGCGGTACCGAGTGACACGTTTGTGGAGGATGCCGCTCCGTATAAGCCGGTGTACGTTGATATCGGTGAGGTTATCTCGTAGTCTCTGGCCTCGGAAGAGTTTCTACGCGAGAGTGCGTACGGATTATCCGTTACGGAGAGAAAATAAAAAATCGTTACTGGATAATGGCACCGGAGGGGATCATACGCGGGGAAAAAAGGGATGATGATACCTAGCTGCTACGGAACTCATGAGGGTGGATTCAGGGGCCGGCATACCATATGTATCATTGTACTATATTCGAAAGCCGCGAGCATAGATGGCCCATGTAGAACATATGAAGACAGCACCACCCACAACCACTCTTCGGCCGAGTGTAAATATCTACTCGTATGACTTAATTATCCCTCATTTTTTCTCTAAATCCATTTAAGTGTGTCCTCCCCCATCTATCTGATCGGTAGGAAGTCTGTCATATGTACATAAGGAAGTATACAAAAGAGGAAGCAAAAAGGGGGGAGGTTCAGTGGTTAACAGACCAATCTCGCGCAGGAAGTTAGCTAAAATGATCGCCCTCCCCCAACCTATCTGCGATGCCCAAGCGTACCAAGCGCCTATATGCCTCCTTCTTAGCAGCGGCCTCACCTTCCTCGCGTAGCTTCTTTTTACGCTCGTAGACGGCACGTACGCAACGGCGGATGCGGTCCTTACCCTCATCGAAGTTGGCGCGTGCGAGCGCCACTACCTTATCGACCTGCTCTGGGGTATAAACGAAGTTCCAAGTGCTCATATAATCGCTTACGGCCGGGTTGACGCCGTCCACCTTCGGATTTGCTAGGAATGGTAAATATACTACGGTGATACCTGCGCGAGGTTCCATCAGCTGCCATGGCAACGCGTCGTCCGTAACTGCCTTTGTGGGCGGCGGCGGCTCCGACGATCGCTCCTCGGTTGTACCCACCCAAACCGTGCAATAGCCTAATTCCGAATCCTCGGGATGTGATACGTCGTGTTTTGTCTTGGCACTTGGCTCTTCGGGTTGGTGTTTAGCTAGGTTTTGGCTCTGGGCTTGTTGTGCCTTCTGTACTTTGGTCTCTGCGTCCGCTGGTGAGTCTGCTTGGGCTGCGTCCAGCTGTTGTTCGATTTTATTCCTTGGGTCTGTTTCCCTTGGCCATCCAACGCCAACGGGCCAGCCCTTCACACCACGTTGGCGTGCGTACCCATCTGCCACTGACAACCAGTTATCCGTCTTGATATCTGCAGAGGCGTCGAATGCTACGATGATGTCGACATCTCGACCAGGTCGGAGTAGAGGGTAGATAGGTAGATTATTAGACATGCCAGCGTCCATCAACTGTATATACTCATTATTGTATATAGTGGTTGGTGTCGTGAATCGTAGCTTGCCTTCCATATTATACGTAAAATTAGGTATTTGTGCTGGATCGATCGGATGAACTTTCTCTAGATCTTCATTATAACCATAAATCATCTCATCAACTGTAGCAAACCCGGTCAACTTCTTAACAAGTGGTCGAATTTCCCGATAATAGTGGCTAAGAGTTGCGCAGAAAGCACTGCCGAAAATACCCATCATAATAGGCATACGGACCTCCGGTAAATGGAAGCCATTCTTCTCTGGAGGTACGTCTTCTCCGTCATTAAACCGTCGACCAAGAGCCCAAGTTGGAATTCCGGCATTAAATTCTTCACAGAAAAATTCATAAGGGGTCAGTTCGAACCATTGGAACCATGCCTCCTGTTTTGCGATCTCTTTTGCTTGTTCCGGACTGCCTTTCGACATATTCGCGGCTATGTCTGGGATTTCATGGCGCACTGCAGTATAGATTGGCAGGGGATTTTGTCCATACTTGATGTATTCTCTCTGACTAGAGAGTTTGAAGTCTCGTTCGTTAATACCAAGCTCGCCTTTTGGCACTAGGAGCCTTGCTGCTAATAAGATACCATATACATCAACTAACCCGAAAGCTGCTTTCGGGTCCCCTTTCAGTTTCTCCACTACACTGCTTAGAAGTAGCTTATTGGTCGGAGAAGATGTCACGGATGAAAACGCAGCTGGAGGATATGCGATATGAACCCCCAGTCTTGCTTTTAAGTGGTCAACGATGCGATCAAACCGGCAGTCGGTCAGAGACGAAAGGTATAGAGCTTGCATCCAGCATGAACCACTAACACCGGAGGTGTAGGTTGCGCAGTCGAATAACCCATCTTCTTGAGTAGCGAGGAGTGAGCCGGTGCCTGCAACTAAGGCTCGCAAGCCACCACCAGAACCGCACATGGCTATTGTAGGAACATCTTCAGGGTTAATATCCTTCTCGTCTAGGCCAAGATATTTGGCCAACGCCGCTGTCGCGATTTTCTTGCGACGAGCTAAGTACTCTTTTTCATCGTCACAAAGTTCGTCTGAAACGCGCACCTTAGCAGAATACTGAATTTCTGGGTGAATGAAAGGGTCATGAGCCTCCTGCCATATCTCTTTAGCTAGCGACCCGTCTGCCATGGAAAGCTCGCGTTGGAGTTTGCGGATCTGGGCGGGAATAGCTTTAGACCAATCAGGAAGTATTAGCTCGACGATGCGATCAGATAATGAGGACCATTCAATATCAGTGACGTTTGAAAAATCCTCAAACCGGCGGGTAAAGGCCGACCAAGCGGTCTCCTCAGTTTGATGTTGTGAACCATCCTTGACATCCTGAGGAATCTTCTTGCCCTGTTCAATACGGCGGGCTTGGCGGAATTGTTCGTCTGGATAGAGCGAGTAAATAAGCAAGCCACCTAGCAGGAGTAAAGCCACGGGCACGACTATAAGGGGACCTTTACCAGCACCGGTCTCCTTCTTTTGTTGTTTTGGGGAACTAAAAAAACCACGTGGGAAGTGGTTTTGCTGCAATTGGGATGATCGACTAGAAATCCTGGATGCGCCGCTGCGGATCGGCGGCAGGGTTAGTCGAGATGTTCCATGGAATAGTCTAGTTAAATGCCTTGCATAGCAAATTGCTATTAGTTGAGACCTTCGGTTAGATCTCATAACTACGGATCAATACGAGCCTTGCTACATGTATGGCAAGTTGAAACCTGCAACATGACTTCCGGACTGAGCTTAAAATTGGTAGATTTGAATAAGAGCCACCCTTGATACCTTGGGGGTGGGAACGTTAGAGTTTTAGATATCTTAGGTAATTGTAACGATAAAGTAAGTCGTTTGCACATGGCCTGCTGTTATGGTGACATCATTTACTATCTCATTTACTAGGGGCGACTTTTTATTATAGTGTACTTCATATTCGGCCTGATTGCACGTAACCCTACTTCTAAATTTTATATATGCAATTAAGCATATATTGCAGATTAATCTTATCGCCTTAATTGCTGCCCCTTTCTATCATGATTGAAAAAATAACGATGAGGAAGGCACTGTGGAATATGTATAGATTGTAATTAGTTCATAAAGTTGTCATAATAACTTCCTAGAGTTTTCCTTAACGTAATGAAGAAGGTAGCATTCATTATGTACCTGTATTCTTAGAGAATCAAGTCGTAACTACGGAACCTTCCATGGAAGATTCAGCTTGTTACTCCTAACCACCATCTTATTATTCCTCGGAATTTAGGAATTCATAATTCATAACAAGTTAAGTTAAAATATTGCAGAACTGCTTAGGTGCATTAATACGACGAAAAAAACACACTTAGGTTATCCCATTACTATGTCACTACACAGATGGTCTTTGCCTAGCAGGGCTTTTTCCCGAGAGAAATCCAAGGATGGTGACCCAAACCACCGTACCAGGTTCCCAACTATACACATCGGTGATACTATTACTCGTCGGCGCGCAAATATCTCCTCCGCTTTCGCAAATTTATTTGAGAAGGATGAAAATTGTCTGAATACTGCAGAAAATAGCGGTGCTCGTCTTACTAACAACAATTTGCGGCCCCTTTCTTGTATTGAAAATATAACGTCGAGTACTAGGTCTAGAGTGGCAAAAGGCGATGATGGATCTGACCGTGTTGACAAAACCACCTTACAAATGTCTGGTGTCATTACCCATTTTTCCTCTGGACAAGAGGTATCGCTACAAGAAGCATTACAAGAGCACAACACACGTAATCCATTCAATGACCACAATTATGTTAAATCATCAGAAGAGAGTACCATGGATGATGATTCGCCAACTTCACTTACTAGAGTTCGTAGCGCTTCGTCATCTTACCCTTCAGAAGGCATCCGTTCTCCGCCGGACCATTGCGCTTCGCCACAGTTGAATACTTGGACGGAAGACTTCATAGCTGAAATATCTCACTACGGCACATATCCATTGCGAAACCCCCCAAGCAAATGCAGCGCTTCTACTAACGATGCATCAGCATTGAGTAATGGAGCTGGTAAGTGTCTTATGGAAGAATTAGCTGCAGCCGATGGAGTTTCAGATACCGATACAAGAACCGCGAGTAGGGACTATACCCCGAGACCACCACTTTCAGATGTTGCTTCCTCTAGTTGTCCACAAGAGCAGCTAGACAAGAACTACGACAGCGATCACTTTACCACGGCGAGACAGGAAATGCTAGGTATATCACAGAGGGCTATCTTGTCTGCACTAGATGGCCAAGGCCCGAGTACCTCAGCTATTCATGGCAGCTATCCTGAACTTGGATCATCTCACAGTAGCTCATCCGACGAGGAATTTCCATTTCGGTCGAATCGTGCAAGTTCTACGGATCATCTTCGTCAGAGCGAGGAGACATGCAGGACGCACTTTACTAAAAAGATACGCTGGAAGAACCAAGGCAACACTTACCATACCATGCCAGCGGCTATTTCGCGACACGGTTCTCGACGATGCCGACTCCCTGAAGTTTCACCTCGCTTGGAAAGTCCGCTGCAACCTGGGTTTCATTTTAGGGAATCCAATACATCTTCTACTACACTAGTCAAACGAATCCGGAAATTCAAGTTCAAGAAATGGATAAAAAAGGTATGTATCAAAACTAAAGTGCGGTTCGATAACGCTACAAGCATAGAAGCGGCTCCACATGCATTAGGCAAGCGGAAGTCTAGGCCATACAGACCACGGAAGTCAAAAAGGCATTGCGGCGCCTGCAAAACAAAAGCAAAACCGACCAGAAGTCGTTGGAAGTCATTCAAGACTACAAATAAAACAAATAAGAGTACGCAGGGTAAGGAGGGGATGGCACATCGATTCATGAACTCGCTTAGACCGAAGCACAGCATCCAATTTCCTATACGAGAGAAGTCTAAGGCTGAGCACAGAAGAGTACAATCCTGTCCACCTTGAAGGTAACTAATAAAGTATAAACATTCATGTGCACCGGATGTGGTTGTATTGGTGTGGTATGGTGCTATCACAATAGTATTGTGGATTGTATCGGTCTTTCATCCAAAGGGTTCATGGGGCGGATTAGGGTCCGTTTACAAGGCACTTTACTAAATGTCCTCCAAGCTTGGCCTATGAAGCTTCTCTATAAACCATCGCTTATAGAGTAGATGTACCAGTAATAAAATATGTTAAGAATTAGACCTTCTTATACAACAGGAGTACTGTGAAGCAAAGATATCATATCATAATTATCTTAAGCTAGGAGGTTAATGGTTGACATGTCGTTTGCTTTTGGAGAGGGAGAAATATTGTGGGTGTTCAAAGCTGATAAGGGACAGAAAAATCTTTAAATAAGAGATATCTTAGGTACTTAATGTCTAGTCTTATATGCCCGATTTTATTCCCTTGAATCGTTATACCCCTATATGCCCCTTTTCAACCAACGGTAAATTCTAAGTCTTATGTAACCTGCCTCGGACCTGAATCACAAGTTTGGCTGTGTAGTAACTACAGGGTACTAAGTAGGGACTGATGAATACGGGTGGAAACTTCCCTGGGGAATCAGTGCCGCCTATGTCTATGATGCCTCGTCATGCCAAAGCCCCAGCCATCTATTACGCAAGAGTACGAATTAGCAACGGACCACAACGTAAAGGTATGTACCCAGATAGCCTAATATACAGATTAGAAATGGGTAGATACAAGAACTCACATTGACTAGCCACGTGGATATCCACATCCAGTTCGTCAGCCCAATGCCACACCAGATCCGGATCCTTCAGGAACGCGCGTCCTACGATAACAGCATCTGCGGACTTCGCGTCTAGGATGGCCTTGGCCTGTTTCCCCGACGTGATCTCGCCCACGGTACCCACAAGCGTGCCTGTGCCGACAAGAGCCTTCTTGATGGCCTCTGCGTGGGGCACCTGGTAGCCGGGGCTGGCGACGATCTTCTGGCGGGCGTCGGTGCCGCCGGCCGAGACGTCGAGGAAGTGCACGCCGCGGTCGGCAAGGGCCTTGGAGAGGTTGATGGCGTCGTCGAGGGTCCACTGCGGTAGGCTGGGGTCGTGCTCTAGGTAGTCTGTCGCGGGGATCCGGCAGAAGATGGGGAAGTTGCTGGGGACTTCGGCCTTGAGAAGGTCGACGACCTCGAGGAAGAGGCGGATGCGGTTGGTGAAGGAGCCGCCGTATTCGTCGGTGCGCTTGTTGGAGGATGGGGAGAGGAATTCGTTTAGGAGGTAGCCGTCTATGGATGTGATGTTAGGATGTTGTTTATTTGAAGTCTCTTCGAGATGTACTTACGTGCTCCATGGACTTCGATGACCTGCTTCCATGTTAGGACTGTCTATTGACAACTTATATGTATGATCGAGTTTACTTACATCTACACCAGCTTTCAAAGCACGTCGGACGGCAGCGACCCAATCCTTCTTGAATTTCTCGATATCTTCTTTAGTTGCTTCTTTCGGCAAGATCGTCTGTGCGTTATAAGCCTCTGGAGATGGAGCAACGACAGTACTCGGCCATCCTTCCGACTAAATGATACGTTAGTTCAGTTACAACATTATTAATGAGGCTACATCTCTGCTTACATAGTCACGCGCCGCGGCTTTTCGGTCAATCCACGGTGCGACAGTGCTTGCTTTTCGTCCAGCATGGGCTAGCTGCACGCCGAACTTCGCGCCCTGACTGTGGGCGAAGTCAACAATTTGCTTCAATGGTGCAATGTGTCCGTCGTCCCAAAGGCCGACATCTTGGGGTGAGATGCGCCCTTCAGGCGATACAGCGGTGGCTTCTGTCAGGATTAGGCCTGCTCCTCGAGAAGCAAAACTCCCGAGATGGACTAAGATTCGTAGGTATTAGCTCTTTCTATAGAAGGAGCGAAGTTGTTGTTTGTTGGGGTTTGAACTTCTGACATCTGAAATAGTGAAAGAAAAGGGGGGGTAGATGCTGGAATCCCGTACCATGATGCCATATGCTCATAAACCCGTCTCTTGCGGAGTACCTGGTTAATACAATTAGCTCTGTCCATAATAAATTGAGTATGATGGAGAAATTTACTGGCACATTGGAGAGACGATAATGCGGTTTTGAAGCTCTATTCCATTGATCTTTAGGGGTGAGAAGAGGGACCCTTCTGGTTGAACATCCCAAGGGGTTCCTGCAGGAGGATCTTGAACGGGCGTGTAAAAAGGAGCCTTGATAATTTGTTAGTAAAACTATTTACTAGTCTTGTTTGATTGCTAGAGCCTTACATTCGGGGCGCCGTAGTTGATTAGATTCTTCTCAGTAGAGCAAGGCTCTCCTGCTACAGGAGCTTGGTCAGCTTGGACTACCTTTTCCGTCATCTTGAATAAATGCACGAAAAGAATAAGGAATGGAGAGGCCTTTTGTCCATAATCAATACCAGCAGGTTCAGAGTCGAGTAATTTATACTCGAATCATCCCTATATTGTATAGCAGAAAATTATATTACGTTGACCTCCCCGCAGTTGTGTGTAACCCTCGTCTTACATTATCAATCTGAGTTTATTTGTAGATCTTGGCAAGTTGTCCCTTAGTAATACCCGTACATGATAATCCTTTAGATGCAACAGGACCGCATCACCCATGTCTCATTAGCACGACTCTAGTAGCCCTAGTAGCCCTATCAGCTGTCAATTGGAAGCTGTCCAATAATTACTGTGGAGTATATCGAAATAGTCTTATACTATTTCGTGTTACCATAAGTGACTATGTAAGTGTGAGATCCTATCACAGCTAATATCACAATATGTGTCAACGGAACTCTGCTTCTGATAGAGGTATTATTCTGCTTTTGTGGACTACTAATAGTCCCACTGCTGATTCATAAATACCCACCTAATGTTCCCAGAGTATTCCGTATAATGTTTTCGATCCCTCTCCTGCACTTATACTCTCATTCTTGTTATTTCTTAACTTCTCCGGTCCGTTCAGCACTCCCGCGATAAGCCCTATATAATCTAAACCGCTAGCTCCCGAGTAGCACTGTCCTCAATATTCACCCTAGGATTAATGAAAAGAGAATCGAACTTATTAGAGATTTTGGAACTATCACCACATCGGTATACTGCAAGGTAAATACGAGGAAAAGTGGAGAACGAGCCGACTTCATGGGTAGATCTCATGTGGAAGCTTTTGACTGAATAAGCGTCTTGCAGGGTTAGTTCCGGTTAGGTTTTAACATACATAAGTGTACGATGAATTTCATATTATGGAGATCAGTGAAATCCCATATTCAAATATGGTGATCATTTTGACGCTGTTATTGTATGGATATAATAGGACATATCACTCAATGGCACTATCTAACACTACCAAAAGTTAGTGCAATTCTACCGATTTCCCCGGTGGCGCAATTGGCTAGCGCGTCTGACTGTTAAAAAACTGTTATCAGGAGGTTGAAAGTTCGAGCCTTTCCCGAGGAGTCTTTTTTTCTTTTTCCCTCATTGAGGGAGAACATTGAGAGAAAAAGACACCTTTTAATATGTTTTATTTTATCGTGCGACCCATTGGCTGGTTATAACTGGTTGCATTTGAGTGCTTTTCTGCGTACTCAACATCTCCTGATCGCGCGTATATTCGGCTGCAGAGCTCCGGATCGACCAACATCAAGTATACGCTAGAGGATGATGATCGTACCATGGGCTCTTTCACTTTTATGGCCTGTTCGACGATTGTGCCGCGACCGATTCAAAAGACAGTGTCTGTTGATTTCCTTCCTAAAGTCGAGCGTTTAGGGTTGTTCGAAGATGTGTTTGTGTTATAAGATATATGTAGGTACTTCATATAACGAGGAGTATTGTAGGTTAATTTAAAACTTCTATTTCGGAGCAATGCAAGTAAATTACCAGGTAATAGGAAACACTGGCCATATTTGCTAGGTCGCTCCACGACATCCTAGCAGTATATCCAATCGCCTTTTTTGTAGACTTCATTCTGACCTGGACGATACTCTGAGAAGCCTTCAGACCTTACGAGATCCCCTATCATTCAGTTGGTCCTACAGCATCCCAATCTTACTACCTTGATGTTCTCTAACTATGACGAACCTGCAAATTGTTAAGTCACAGGACATACGCTCACTATGCGGACTCTTCGACAAAGCATTGAAAAGTTTAGGAACAGGTATGGTTATCTGTATGATCAACGAGGTCGACTTATTCGAGAATGCGACTCTTCTCACTGGTCTTGATTCCGCAATACGGTATCTAAGCAGCCTGGTACAAGCGGTTTTCGGGACCCAAAGCAGCATCATGTTTAAGTTGCTACTAACGAGCTCAATGAATATTGAGAACTTCCGGGACTTGTTTCCGGAAGCAGTAGAGCTGGCTTTGCCTATAGACTTATCCTCAAGCAGATTAGCCCCTAAAAAAGCACACATGTTTATGGAATATCCGGGCATAGCCCCCCGTATTCTTAAACCACCTACCTAATATATTAGGCAGTTAAGTTTTGAGTTGAATCAATTTTGAGTCTAAATATCTCCCCCAAATAATAACTATATTTACGAGACATTATGAAGAAAGCAGTATAATACGAGGGCGTTCACCCATCTACTCTAGTAGTACTATGTTAGGTACCTAAGACTTGGCTTCTATTTCTAAGTTTTCCTAATACCGGGGCTCTATTTATTATCAACGTCTAATGTCAGTTTTCTTTTAAACGGGGCCACCTGATCCCCGGAAAGGTCCTAGTCGAAGATTTCTCTCTTAGGTAACCAATAACATATCCGCTACAGATATAGAGAGATGCCAGGAGAACCACTTGATGATAGCTCATCACCTACTCTCGAAACATATATTACAAGTCCTCATTTTCTTCCCACTTATATACTGGCTTTTCCTTCATCCGCCTTATCTCCGTTCTTTCTTACCTCCTTCTCGTCCTTCTCCTCTTCCTCGCCCTTCTCCTCTTCCTCGTCCTTCTTCTCCTTCTCCTTCTCCTTCCTCTTCTTTTTTTCCTCAGCCTTTGCCTTTGCCTTTGCATTTTTCCTCTCCTTCTCAGCTTGGCGAAGTTTCTTCTATTACACATAGAAACATGTCAGCTAAGTAATACTCATTAAAAGTCTAAGGCTGGAGGGTAGTATTCCTAAAGGGACAAGGATAAGATATAGGTATCAATATCTATTGAGAGACCCTTACTATATGTATGTCGGCAGTTTCAGTTATCAAGCGTCTTGCGACTTTATCATTCGTAATTGTACCAGGCGTCATGTTGAGCAATTTTTCTAAATCACGGAAGAACTTGTGCTTTGTCTTCTTCTTCGAAGCCGTAAAGGAAACCCAACCATGATTCTGGACCATGTAAGAGGCATGACGTTTTCCCTCTTCGACGATGATATACCGAGGGATGCCTTCTAACTCCTCGTTAATTTCTATTGCTTTTTTATCTGCACTGCTGATACTCTGAGTGGTTGGTTCATTCGGCTTCTCTGGTGCCTTAGATTTACCCTTCTTTTTCTTGTCTTTCTTGTCGTCTTTTGTCATCGGCTCTACAATGTGCATAGGGACGTCAATGTCCACCAATGTCTTAGGGCTTTCAGATGCGATCGTAGCCATAATACTCTTACCCCCATCAGCAGTCAAGCGCCTGCGGATTTGGATGTTGATGTAACTGTCATTGAGAGGTTTTATCCACTTGGTTCCACCAGGCGCCTCGTCATCGACATCCATCCGCGCCGTCGGGCAGAATAGAAGCGCCTGTCCCGTTCGGAGGCCGACTATTGTGCGAAAAAGTGAATTATTGGTCCCGGGATCCTGCGTGTTAGCTCCGGCGAGATGATTTTTGAGGACCTCATACCAGCTTGGGGAGAGGAATCGGTGAACAAATGTCGCATTAGCCAAGTCGATGAGCTTAGGCGATAGCGTAGGCTCCTGCGTAGCAATTACCACGCGTGTCCCTGTATGCCTTTGCTGGCGGATAACCGAGACTAACTCATTTGTGAGGACGAGCGCCTCACCAGATTGTGCTAGAAACTGGTTACGATTAGTTCTCACTTAATTTCTTAAACTCTGATCCTGTTTTCTTTTAATTATGACATTACCTTATGAGCTTCATCTAATGCTACAATACGCCCGCATTTATTCCGTTCCTCGAGAAATATAGAGAGACAGATCGAGAATAGCGTACACGCTTCGTCTGAACCGATAAAAGGGTCACTCAGGTCAACGATAGTTAATGAGCCCGGCTCAAAGGCCCAAATATCCTCCGATGACCGCGCTGGCCGGGTCGACTTAGTCATCGATGAGGGTGCCATGAAGCTATCCAGTAGCTGAAGACGGAGGTTTAGAGGTATCTTTTGTCCACTCATCCATGACATGTCAGCAATACGTCCCCGAAATTTCGAATAGGTGAAAGCTGATCCCTCCATGGCTATCTCCCGCACGATGTCCATCACAATCTCCATATATAGCGGGGGTTTATCAGTCGTAGGGTCAACAGCCATGAGCTTTAGTATTCTCGAGGCATCCAACTGGTGCTCTTCGAGATAAACTATAACAATGAGTCAGCAACCACATCTTATAGTAAGAAGTTTAGGGGGCTAGGTAGGTCTTGACAGTAGTAAGTCTTAGGAAGTTATCCAGGCAAGAAAATATGAGCCCCGAAAGACAACCAGATAAAAGGGGAAAGGAATCCTCAGTTACATACGGGGCACAACTTTCGGCTTTGGGCTGTCCGGAGCCAAGCCTGGCAGATTGTTATACAAGCGCTTCATTGCCCAGATGTTGGATGGGGAAACGAGGACATTTACTGGAATACCCGCGGAACATAAATAAGCCGCCTCGCACACATGGGCTGTGTTGTAATTTGCGTAACTGTCGTAGTGCATAACCATGCCTGCTAGTGGGTAGGGAAGAGCCCCGGCATTATTCTGGGCAACGAGGGCATTTTCTAAGAGGCAGGATAATGTGTGGCTCTTCCCTGCTCCTTGGGAACCACAGATAAAGGCAGACCAAGGCACATTGACATTACCAATGACGAGGCCATCTTCTAAAGAGGTCACGGCTCTACCGTCTCGACGAGTACCAATCAATCCATATTGGGGAACCAAATTCAAGTTCTGTTCGCTCGGCGGTAACTCTGAGTGGACGAATTTGTCGACAGCAGCTGTGAATATCGGAGTATTCCTGAAGCTTTGAGCTAGATCTCGGTGACGAAGGCCTAGATCTTGCTGCTCATTGACAGTATCACCATCACTATCAATGAAGGCTAGCAGCTTTGGATACTCCGATGTTCTAGGACTTAGAGTTGTGTTGGAGTCTATGGTTTTTTCCTGTTTATTGGTTCTTGTGTATGGGGTTGAAATATTCCAGAAGCTTTGAGAAAGCAGCTTTTTGCTATCGAGGCCCCTATAAACTGCTAATGATCTGTTGGAAGCTCTCATATTTAAGCGCATCGATGTTAGTATATGGAGCATATTGTAAGAAAGCTGTCTTCTATAAAATTAGTAGTATAGTGTTGATATCAGGTGTTAGACCGGAGGTCTAGAATTATAAGATTGCCAGCTTAGAAGCCAGCCCCTATAATCCTCAGATTGCCAGTAGCAATTATCAATCACAGCTACGCAAACGAATGAGAGAGCTTCACGCTTCTATACGACTGTTTGCGACAGCTAGGTTTCACAAAAATTAAGACATTCTATAATTTATGTTGCATTAAGGTACTCAAGGTAGATTATTGATATATCATTTGAAGGCCCACGGACAGCATGGGGAGCATATGGTAAGGCTAGGGCTAGGCACTGTTTGACTTTTTTTTTCGGGTAGGCGCCACAGAAGCACGCCACAACTCTTATTTCTTCTCGAATGTACCTAGGTACATTCATCCATTATTGCCTTAGGAGGTACCTACCTGTATTTCCACCTAATTGATGGATAAATACATACTGTCTTAAAGTGTGTTGAAGCTATCGCATATTATCAGTTGCAAGTCCTCCTCGAGCTGCCTATGTAAGAAAAGATACTAAATATCGTTAAATTCTACAGCGGTAATATAAAGCCAAAATACTATCTACCTACTAAAAGCAAATCAGGCTATACAAAAAGAGACAAATCTCAGTTTAATCATAATCATTATCCTTAAGTTGATATTATCACTTACCTTTTTTTCATTTCTAGTCCAACCTAGAAATTCTAAACATTTTAACAATATCTCCTTTTTCTTCTAGTTAATGCTTAATCATAACATCACCCCGTAACCTTGAAACCATCCCTAATAGTGGTTTGTTGAAGACTATGTACAGGAATGTGTATCTTGCTAGTTAACCTTCCGGGACTATATCAATCGGCCAGGGCTGGTCCCGTCCCATCCCCGTATGTCGTGACCAAGTACCCACCTCATAAAGGCTTAGTGCATTATTACCAGTGTTTGCCTAGAATTGGCCCACGTATTGCAGCCACAGAACATGCGAATTCTATAATAAACATAAACTAGACGTGATCTAACCATGTCTTAACTTTGTACGTTACAGTCAGTCACCCTATACACTTCCATATAATGCCAACTCCTACAGTGAAACTCTTCTCTCAACGGGAACATGGCCACCTATTGCCGGTCATCGCTGCTATCCATGCAGCTTGTATTGTGCGTGACCAAACTATCGCCACGTTCCTCCCGCCACTAAAGGGCTCAAAAATTCAGAAGTTTTGGGAGGATATAGCAAAAGAGACTGATTTGGGAACACGGTTTATTAGCATATTGCTCAACGAGTCTGAGCTAGGCACCAAAGCCAAGGAGCTTGAGCTTGTAGGAGTTGTTACGCTAAGCATGCCATTCAGCGAAACTGGGTCTTTCCGTGGATTCGTGGAGAAGCTTTTTGTCAGTCCTACTTATCGAGGGAGAGGTGGAGCTAGAGCTTTGATGTGTCACCTAGAAGCCGAAGCACTGAAGAGAGGCAAGACCTTAATGGTATGTATTAATATACCTAAAAGGACTTTAAAAGTCTTTAGTAACTAACACGCATATAGTTGCTCGACACAGAAATTGGGAGCCAAGCCGAGAAAGTATATCCGAAACTGGGGTATACGGAGATGGGCAGGATCCCTAGATACGGCATCAGCCCCGTAGGAGGATTAAAAGACGAGGTGTTCTATTATAAACATCTACAATAAAAAAAAGGATGTACCTAGTTGATGAGTTGCCCCTTTTTCGGGTACCTTAGGAATAGGTAATATTGTTTCTTGACACTTGCCTAAGCCAGCGCATTTCACGTCCACGGGATCTTAATCTTAGGTTCGGACGGTCCGAGTTGATCAGCATTGAGTCGTCGAAACTACCTACTAGGTAGAATCTAGAGACCCTCGCTAAAAGCATAGACCGGGATTCATACAGGAGAGGCCTTCAATACCGTTGATGACTATGAAAATTAGCTCAACCGTTACGATCCTCTAATGTTAGTATTGGACTAAGCGAGCTTGTTTAAATAACATAGTATTTGTATTATCGCCAAGCTATTATATTGAACGCTATATTCTATATAAAGAATTATTTGTAAGTCTAAACACTAATATGCATGACTCAGAGCCTCACCCGAAGAGTCCCGAACCTGACCCGTGACCAGCCACCAGGATGCTCAAATTACTTGACTACATGCCGGCTAGGAACGCTTTTCCGCTTTTTCCCTCAATTTAGGATTCTACTGCTCCTTAACCCCTTTCGCTCGGCAGCTAATTCGCTAGTCTACTCCACGCTGCATAGCATCGCGTAAATATGACAGTCCTAAATTACCAGTGAACCGTCTTTGGAACAGGTGCCATTGGATGAGGCTTTTTCCCCTAAAATGTGACCCTCAGAAGTGATATGTTACAAAGTAGATCATTTATCACAATTGGACTCAATGAACGAGCCCGAGTCGTCATGCACAGTGTATTGAAGCCTTCTAAACAACTACCCCTTAAATACATGTTAATCGAGATATTTAACTTGTAGCCATCCCACTTCGTATCCTATATCATATTTGAACAAAAGTATATTCGACTACGACTTTATATCACTAAACCAATCTATTATCAGTTGCAATGGCATCTCAGAAGCCCGTCATCGTGTTAATCCACGGCGCATTCTTTGCGCCGGTGCACTACCGGAACTTGATCGAGCCCCTACGCTCTCAGGGATATATCGTGCTGAGCCCGCCAATGGCGACGACGGGTATCGATGATTCCATCACGGGGAAGACTTACGTCGACGACGTCAAGCGTATTCTCGAGAGCCTTCTTCCCTACTTAGATGAGGGTAAGGAGGCCGTGGTAGTCGGTCATAGTCAGGGTGGAATTGCCGCCAGTGCCTTAACTGAGGGCCAGACCATTGAAGACCGCAAGGCTAAGGGCTTAAAGGGAGGCATCAAATCAGTTATATATCTCACTGCCCTCGCCATACCGACGAAGGGTGAGAGTTTAATGAGCATGCTGGGTGGCACGCCCCCGCCAATTTATAGAGTCGAGGTAGGTTGCCTTAGGTATCTTATTGATCTTTTTTTGGCTCACCAAGATGTTAACATGCAAAATATAAATAGGGACCCTTCTACGTCCTTACCGAGGTTGCACTGTCTGCCAAAAATAGCGATATTCCACTTCCCGAACAAGAGCAGATAGCATTGGCGAGGAGCTTGATGCATCAGAGCAAGGCGAGTATAGAAGCCTCCGTTCAATTCACCGCGGCCGACGTCACTGTCCCTAAGACGTATATCGTCTGCACCGAGGACAAATCTTTACCCGCTTCTCTTCAGGAGCAACTCGCCCAAGCGACCGGGTGCAACATTGTTAAGCTCCCAGCCACACATTTCCCCTTCTTGGAGAGTCTTGATAGTGCGAAGAAGGTTGTTGATGTCATCGTGGATGTCGCTGGGAAGTGATGAGGATCAGTTAGCTGAATAAAGTACAGAGGTAGTGAACTACCTTAAGGAGCCAGTAGCTCCGTCTCTCAGCTCAACCCTTTGTATAGTAACTCTTGTATAATAAATTTAACCCCTCCAAGGCAATGGGGCATCAGATATACCAACGATTAATAAATTTCCCTGTATATTTATGGATGTATGATCTAACCCTGTTGCATCAAATTAATTTTGTTCTAGTTTAGACGATGCGTACAACGAGCGGGTTATCTACTATACAATTTAAAGCGTTTATACCATGATATAATGGTTTAGACATTGACAAAATTCAACGCCTCGATTTTCTAGGAACATGGAGGATTAGTTTGTACGCTACTTACCTAGACCACCAACACAATACTGAGAGTAACAAACCATTCGTGTTATCGTATGAATGTCTATATGACAACTGTTCGAACAACGAGGTAACTCTAAATATTATCATATCCGTTGCAAATCCATGAGCAAGTCATGTATAATTTTAATTGGCAAGTTAATCACCTCTCAAGTTCTAGTACCAAGGGCTTCGCCACCATTATCATATTGCACAAATAAATGTTTATCCTAAAACCAAGACATAAGAAATGAAAATTTACCTCTAAGTTTCATGCTGAGCATTATAAGCCTGTACCTAGAAATAATCAAAGAGATCTAGGTTTAACATATATCTCCCACATTTAACAGTGGCAATCCTGACTTGATGGCAGATGCGACGTTCCCAAAATATATTACGGAATGTTTAATTGTTAGGTATGCATTCATATGAATATGATGAAAAGGGGGTAACAAGAGTATTACATAATATCCTATATTGAGCGCCCACTGGCTTTTTTTATTAGACTGGAAATGAAGTCGAAAGCAATACCACTTACGTCTATCCATTGAATATTCTTCTAGTTAACTTAGAAGCTAAGATAGCAGTATAAATGATAATGCCACGAATTTTTTTTACTTCTTGCTAAGATACGTCCCTAGCTTGACGTTTTTAGATGCTAATTGTCACTTCAAAGAGTTGATAGATAGGGGGGCTGATGCATCCTATTCCGAATATATGTAGTGCAACTTTTAGAGTCATTTATTCTACTGTACAAACTTTTTCCCTATTGACTGAACTCCCTGAACGCCCATTGCTGCGAATATGAAACAGCGACTACACCTATTCGTCATCGGCGAGCTCCTCGACTCTTGGAGCTACATAGGCTCTCTGCTGGGGTTCCGTTTGAATCTGAGTTTCAGTTGCAGTAGTAGTAGCGGTTGCTGGAGGTGGGTGACCTGCGTGGCTCGCAAGCTGAGCAGCTGACTCGGCACCTACTGATTTAGAAGCCTTTCTCTTTTTCTTGGGCTTTGCAGTCTAATAACTAGTTAGTGTGTATCTATAGTATAAAACTAGGTAATAACAAACCTCATGCCAAGCCCAAACAGGACGGAAACTGTCCATGAAAGAGACATCTTCCCAAAGGTTGGGGTAGAGCCAAAGTCCAGGGGGCACGACAAAGTACGTAATGCAGAATAGAATGACACGGAAAATGGCCATGAGGAAGAAGAGACCAAGAAGCATCAAGAATCCCCAGCTGAGATAGTAGACGCCTTGTCGCAAAACGAGCGGCCATAGAGGGTATAGGACGACGGTGAAGATGACAAGTAACGCAAGAGCAGCATAAACCTTGCGCATAATCTGACTGCCCTCGTATAGCCAGACATAATACATGTCGTCACCAGCATCTTGCTGCTGTTCAATTTTGACTGTCCAGAGCCCCTTGACTCGTTTGCCCTTCTTGGGGGGATGGTCATGGCCCTCATGGGGGTCGATCTTGCTGACACGCAAGGCTAACATAGACAAGGGTAACAACTTGAAGGTATTCTCAAGCGATGCGCGATCGGTAACTTCGGGGAGGGCTGGGTTCTTTGCGCGTGCCTTAGCATAGGCAGGAGACTGAAGAGCTCGGAGAGCTCTCTTGACTAGAGAAAGAGCGCGTGAGATTATGTCACCTCCAAAATAGCAAATAGTAGCATACCTCTAAACATATCCTTACGCTCCCCATTAAGGATGCATGTACGTTGCTTCAGAGTCTGACTTCGTAGAAAATTGGCAAGGGAAATTGCGACAGGATTAGGAGGGCCAGGGCGAATAGGTTGTGGTTGACCTTGGGCTCCCGGAGGAGGGCGCGGTGGTCCTTGAGGTCCTTGAGGTCCGCCTTGAGGGCCTTGGCCACCTTGCTGTTGTTGCTGTCTCTGAGCTGCCTGAAGTTGTGCTAGACGTTGGGCCTTGATGTGCTCGACAAATTGGGGAACAGTCATGCCATGCTTCTGGGCTTCGGCGGCCAGTTGCTGTTGCATCGCAGCAATCTGCTGAGGCGTTGGCATCTGGCCTCCAGGTCCCATTTGTATCGGGATAGCTCCCGGAGGAACGTTAGGATTCTGCATGTTAATTACTATCTCTTGAAGTTATTGCCAATATGGCTGTGAAGTCAGAAAAAAAAAAGTTAATACAAAATTAGTTAAGATAGTGTGAAAGGGGACAGTAAGATGTGGCCGCAAGGTGCCAAGTCTGTAGATATTTTGGATTGACGCAAATAGAACAATCTGTCATTCTTGACACCTTAGGAAATTTTAGCGTTATGGATTTGTACCTAGGTACATAAGCAAGCCCAAGACGGGTACGACTTCCACGATTATTCTACTTGGCTTCCATGAATTATCCGATAAGATATGCACGGACCACGTTGCACAAGCGCCTCCAAAATGTCAGGCAATTTGTAAGTTGACTGGTACAATTAATTCACCTTTGTCACCTTCATGTTTGTTGTAAGTGTAATTAACCTGGCTCTTCAATATTTTACTCCCAAGTTCCCAATGACATAAGTAATTCATTTACCAACGACACAGCTCGAGCTTCTTATACGTATCAGGTCTTGAGTCAATTGATGATTAATGATGCTCTCTAGTTCCCTGCGTATTCTACATGGCACATAACAGTTTGCTTCTAAAATAATGGATGCTGAATGGGCTTATAATGCTATGCTGTTTCGACGCGTGAGGAGGCAAATGTGCCTTGAGTAGGTATTGATAAATGGTCAAGATGAAACAGATGGGTAATTAACAAACAAATAAACACAGCCGACGTTCGAACTTAGAAGGCAGTAGAGCATTTACTGCTTCTATCTGCGGATATCCGGCCAACCCTAAAACAGCGCCTCATCAATAACAACTTTGTAACGTAAGATCGCGTCTACGTCTGCAAATATGTTACTGAGTGGACACATCCGGCTCGCGCAACACTTTATGGAAGCTCTAGTACCGTTTCCAGTCGGACGAACCCATGGCTTCCCCAAAGGCGGATGCCCTTCGTCATCCATTGAAACTCACCTTGTCGGGGATGACGAGAGACATACTCATACTGGCTTCGTTATTCATGGCCTTAGCTGCTACATCTAAGGTCAATCTAAGGCCAATCTCTGAGGCCCACGAGACACCCCTCACAAGGTTCTGTGGCAATGTACATCCAAAACATTTCGAGGGTGGGCGACCTAAGTTCTTCTAGACGGATCACAAAGCAAGGAATTCTAAGACAAAAGACTGGCTGTGCAGAATCGTTCATATTACAAGTAGTGGGGTCCTGCAATCTTGGTGTGTGCCGCCAACCATCCGAATCCTCTCTAAGACCCCGGTTCGTAAGCGCCGACTGGACCACGACTTTTAGACTACAGCCTATCAAAGTCACGGACGTCTGCATCTAAACCATCAACGCTTCCCATCTCAATGTGAGCCTACAAGTCCCAAAAAAAGTCAGCGCGCCCGCTCAGCTGCTTGAGCCTAAAAGGTAAAGTGCACAAGGTAATTTCTTTTCACGTCTTCCATAAAGGTGTTATGCATCTCATGACCTCTTGCTTTCTTTGCTGCTCTCTTATTAGCTCTCTTATTTCCTACCAACCGCTGGCCGTTTTTTTTCTTCCTATTCAGCGCGGCATGAAGTCATCATGAAAGCCTTAGGTGGGATGCTTGCTGAAGCTTATGCATCATGGTCTTTTTCTATTTCTGAGTGCTGTTCATCCTTTACTTCTTCTTACTCTGATGAGAAGCCTCGCCAACCTGGTAAGCTTTGGAATATAGAGAAACAACAGCAACATCATTCTCTAACTAGATCAGTCGCTCCCGACTCATTCGGTATTATTTATCAAGAACCTTCATTTGTTCCGCCTCCTTCCGCAGGGTCGTTTAGGCCAGGCACAGGGACATCCAGTTTGGAGCGGGCTCCCAGGAAGAGACATGGTTCTGGACAGAGCAGCTTCTCTGTGAGAAAGCTACTGCTCAGACCGAGTTCTTCTTCATCGCGCAGGCCGCAAATATCTGCTCCCACCAACTTCCGCCATCTCTATTCAGAGTCGTTCCGCTTCCCGGATTATGGTCTCACTCAAGTAAGACCGCAGCCGGCTTCTTTTCGTCCTCTCGAACTCAGTATATACATGTCTGATAAGAGGCTTTCGCCAATCCTTCCTCACCTTGACTCCCCTGAACCCCCGGTTACGCCGCCTCAACGTGTTTTTACCCTCTCAAGCCGTAGTGAAGACAGCCCGCATATCCCGCATTCACGCAGTTACTCATCTATGTCGTTTCATATCCCTCGGAGGCCAGTTAATGATGGATCTGTGTTCGACTCTCCGCAGTCAGACATTAGCACGCCCCAGCGACCCCAACCTGCTAGACTTAGAAATCGCACGTCGCCAGTATCATCGAGTCCTATGATGGAGGATCTTGTTGAAAGGGTTGCAACTGCTATGTTAGAACGGGATAAGCTACAGGAGCAGATTGACGATGTAATTGAAAGGCAGAGCATCTACGTCAGCAGCCGGCCGTCAACTGCTCATGGACAACCTGGTCAGTGATTTCACATCTCGATAATAGTAAATTACGTACTAACAAGTTTATAGAAATGGTGCCCATGCCAGACATTCCAGCATTGCCTCCAAATGCTCCCTCGTTCAGTGAACGTCTTAGTTCCGACCGCCCGCACACTGCGCCATCTCAGACCTCGGCGCGCACGTCATATAAGGCTAACTCATCACGCAAGGTGGAGAGCAGGGTTCCTCCTCCACCACTACCGCTTAGACTTAGACCACCTCTACGCAAGAAGAAATCCTTTTCACGAGTTTCTACCTGGCTATTCACTGGTGGAGAGCCTAACCGAGATATCAGTATCGACTCCCTCACTAATAACCCAAGACCAATAACTGGTACCGACGGCTTCTATCAAATCGATGATCTTGAAGAGAATCGAAGGTGTAGCGTTGATACCCTATCGACAAACTCAGACTGGACTATTGAAGAAGAGCAGACTCTACCTACAAGCTTGTCACCTAGTAGTACGACAACTCTTAGGGCAAAGTTGGAGCCTCCGATGGCAATCGCATCTGGACTACGACACCCGATGGCCTTCCAACAACGACAGAGTGTTGGTGTTGCTGTCTAATTTCTATTCTTCTGTGTTATAGTATTTTATGATACCAAGCGGTACTAAGGGACCGTGCATTTATTCATTTTATGCCAGAATAAGGCATAGCATTAAGCGGGACATATAGATTCGGACGGAAAAATCAGCATCTTAAGCAGATCCTGGTCATGATGCTGGGGTAATGATAGAGTTAGGGACCATTGGAGCTTCTAACCTTTGAGGGGTGTTAAAGCGGGCTGGTGGGATTGCACGGATGATACCCAAACAAGTAATGGGAGTGAGGTTATCTCATGTTGCGAATTGTAAATGGTTTAATTATGAAGTCAAGTATAATCTGATACTTGCTTCCTGGATGTTGTACATAATTGAATGAACCTGGCGTTGAACTCATAATTGATGCGTTCAAGTTTGTGCTAAATCTCTGGTCAGAATTACATTTACCCAACCATACATCTATAGATACCTAAGGTACCTGAAGCAAACAACCGTCGATCACATGCATATAACACTGCTGCGGAGCTGTAATACTGCAGCGTTAGGTAGGTAGGTAGGTAGTTACCTAATCTTCCTATAATTGCACCTACCTCTAAGGTAAGACTTATGCATGTTGGGGTTGGGATGTATATAAATGTTAACGGGCCGGCAACAGCTGTTATCCAGTTAGTCACCAATCAGTTGCCGTCTCACGGACTAAGACGGCCGCACCCAAACACAGGTTCGTGTGGAAAATCAGCAACTCACTATGTACAATTGTTCATTCACCTACTCAACTTCTTTTCCCGCCACTTGCAGCGTTAAATATATCACAGCATCGTTAATTTATTAGTTGCAATTCCTTCAAATATCGTCAGGCATACGGCGATGAAGAAAGATCGGTTCTTTCACTCTTTTTCACAATGGTCTTCACCGACTTGAAACGCCAGCTGACGGCCTTCGTGGCCCGAGGCTCATACAAATACACTCTGCTTCCCGAAAATGCCTCCCGCAGCCAAATGCAAAAGCGCGCTACAGGTTGGATTAATCAGCACATATTTACTGTTAGGCTTGCTCTATGCGCCTTACTTTCGATTGTGATAATCACATTCGCGACAACTTTTATGTATGTCAAGTACGTCTTGGAGGGGAAAGGGGGAGGAGGGGTTGCCCATAAATAGCTCACTTGGCTAATCGAGGATATTTACTTAGGCAATCTATCTCGTCACAACCCTGCAGAGGCTTCATACATGATCGCCACTGTAGGAAGGAGGCTTCTCGTTTATGGGGACAGTACTCATCTGTATTTTCTGTCCCTTCGGAAATCTCGCCAGCCATCCCAGAAGAGTGTCATGTCACTTTCGCGCAACTGCTCTCGCGCCATGGAGCGCGTGACCCCACAGAGCATAAATCCTTGGCTTATGGGGCAGTTGTTGAACGTATTCACAGTAGCGTAGTGAATTACGGAAAGAACTTCAAGTTCATCAAAGACTACGAGTACACCCTCGGTGCTGACCAACTCACTCTGTTTGGGGAGCAGCAAATGGTGGACTCTGGTCTCAAATTTTATGAGCGATACCAACATTTGGCCAGCACAAATTCCCCCTTTATACGTGCTTCTGGTCAGGAACGTGTTGTCGAATCAGCACAGAATTGGACCCAAGGCTTTCACAGGGCGCGATTGGCAGATAAGCATTCTAATGCTCCGGATACATACCCCTACAATATCCTAATCATCCCCGAGAGCGATGGCTTTAATAATTCGCTCAGTCCTAACCTTTGTCCTGCTTTTGAGGATAGCCGACATGACAGCCACAGCAACCAGGATATCTGGACAGAGCATTTCGTGCCACCCCTAACCGAGAGGCTAAACCAAAACTTGCCTGGTGCTAACCTGTCCGACGAAGAGGCTATCTACATAATGGATCTATGTCCTTTCAATACCGTCGCTGATGACAAGGGAAAGCTGTCACAGTTCTGTTACCTATTTACGGTAGATGAGTGGCACGATTATGACTATTACCAGACTCTGGGCAAGTGGTATGGTTATGGGAACGGAAATCCTCTTGGGCCGACTCAGGGTGTCGGTTTCGTCAATGAGTTACTTGCAAGACTTACCGGTCAACCTGTGGTCGATCACACCACCACTAATTCAACACTCGATGGGTCTAACTCTACCTTCCCTCTTGACCGTGTCTTATATGCCGACTTCAGCCATGACAACGATATGATGGATATATATGGCGCCCTGGGCCTATATAATCTAACAGATCCACTACCTGGGAACCGAAGAGTTGGGCCACGGGAAACTAAGGGGTTCTCGGCCGCCTGGGCTGTTCCATTTGGCGCTAGGTTATACGTAGAGAAGATGTCGTGCGGGGGAAGCAAAGAAGAGTTTGTGCGAATTCTGGTTAATGATCGAGTGATACCCCTGCAGAACTGTGGCGTTGATGCGTTAGGTCGCTGCACGCTGAGCAGGTTCGTTAAGAGCCAAAGTTTTGCGAAGAACGGTGGGCATTGGGACCAATGCTTTTCGTGATACCTCTAAGCTTGTTTATCTGCCAAGACATATGATGAATGGAATGCTGCATTTTCACTTTTGCATTGTGGCTCTGCTTTAGTTGTTTTGTTTTCATTGCCTACCTAATCAGAATATAACGTGCATAATCGTGATTCGAGACAAAGTTGCGGGGTCTGCTTAAATTTTGGAAACTGCAGGTTCCCAAACAGAAAATATATTCGATAGTCCGACTATGCTCATTATTATCCCGATATGACAAGTCAATATACTAATAATAGCTATGATCAAGGGTCATGTCGTCAACCCCTCATATGGCCCGATAGATATTTGTCACCAAGCTTGTAGATTACTGTTATAAGGCAGAATTTCTGCACAAATCGTAAGAGAACTGAGACAATAACAAGGCTTAGGAGTAGTGCAATAACGTGACTATATGTTTGACAAGTTTAATAGGTTTGTATAAACTCTTGGAGTGAGACAATATTAACAGCTAATTGGGGCTTATCGGTACGAATTTCCTCCCAATTAAAACTATTAAAACTACCTAATCTTATACTACCTTATACTATGCATCCTGTATGTAACCGGGTAACATTTATGCTAAGAATATTCCCCCAATCTGCACGGGCCATAACCGTTTAAGTCTAACGTCATGTTTAAGTGGAGACATTCTGGACCTTCCCCCAGTCCCATAGCCGACTCTCCACTGAAGAAAGCAGGGGCCTGGGGGCTAGTGCTACCTAGTACCTAAATCGGGTAACTCGATACCATATCCATGCCATGCTTGCATGTCCATAACCATGCTAAGTTGGTCCCACCGAAAAGACCCAAAGCTTGAAGAGACCCGCAGCACCCGATTGCAAGCAACAACGCCGCAACGCTGCCGGAAAAAGAATGTCATCAGCCTCAACTCCAACTTCGCATTGTAAGACATACTGACGACTAGATCCCACCTCCATACCTCTTCTGTCGACCTATTTTCCACGGCCCACGGCCCACAACACCTTCTACCTTCTATCCCTACCTTAGGTAGTTTCGCCACTCTTTCCATCTGATTTTCCCGGCCCTGTCGACTGCCGTGTGTTATTTTTTATTTTATTTTTCTAGACGATCCCCAAAAACGATAAACATCCCGAACCACACCCGCGACCGAAAATGGTCAGCCCTGTCGGGACCTTCTTCATAGTCTTGGTTGTGTTGCTGATCGTAGCCGCGGTCGGCTGGATCGTCTTCACCCAGCTGCGCGCAAGGCGGTTAGGCGTAAGTGCCCCATTTTCCATACCCTTTCTTCCTCCAACCACTACCTATCATCCATTCCTGTCTCCTCTCCCCTAATCACTGCATCATGCTTGTCTTACTTCCCGGGCATAATCGGAACCATATTTTATCTTCCTCTCCAGGTAGTTAGCCTATCTAGTATATGACTACAAGCTAATAGATCCTCGTCGCAATAGCTTCCCGCCCCACCTCTCTCATCCTACATCCCCTTTGCGCATTCCGAACCCTCGTCCTCGTACGGGCCACCGCAACCGGCGCCGAGTGGCATTCGTACCTGGGTAAGCGACAAATGGCGCGCGTTGCGCAGCAGTGGCAATAGGTCCGCGAGCGGCGCGTACGAGCGCCCGTCCCGCCGCGGCTTCGGTCCCCTCGATCCAGACGAGGCCTGGGACTCACGCGTTGGCCACGAGGCGGACGGGTACTACAATTATGGCTACGAAGAACAAGAACTTGGTCTTCGTGGACAGGGACAGCGCCAACAGCAGCAACATGAGAATGGCACCGGATACAGCAACGTGAACCTGGCGGCCGACGAGCGAAGAGGACGTACGTTAAGCCGCGACCAAGGTGCGCCTATTGGTGGTAACGGAAACGGAAATCTGGGCGTTGCAGGTGGTCGCAATCCGTTCGATGACGACGCGGCGGAGCCTAGCAATATCAGCTTGAGGGGCGTGAGTCCCCGGCCAATCGACACAAATGTCGCGGCGACCAAGGCGATTGCGGGGGCTAAGCACGATAGCCCTACGTCGGAACGAAGATCGATATTTAGGGAGGAAGTATAAGGACTATGGTTTTCTTGCTACGCTACGCATTGCACCTTGTTTTTATATTGTTTATTTGTGGTTGATGCCTACCTAGAGATGTTTCCAGCTTGCACCATGCGAAATCGAGATAATGTGTATGTTATATGCCACCCTCCTCTCGATCAAAGGGGAAGAGGTCTGGTTAATTTATTCTCTGCTGGGAGAGCTGGACTACGAGGGGAGTAATTACGGAGTTCGTGTCTTGAAGTGGACACCTTGGTCCGAAGAGTATTAGGCCTTAGGGCAGAACCATGAGGAAAGGGAGTTTGCGGCGTTTTAGGCTCGTTAATAAGGAAAAGGGGAGGGGGTTGTTTCCTTTCTGCGTATACTATCCTATTCAGGTCTCCCCAAAAGCCACAGGCGTTATTGAAGGATGGTTTATTCAATATACAATGCGGATGCGGTATCGCATTTTTCTCGGAGCTTTGCTTTCTTATCCTTTTTTCTTCTTATCTTTTTGAAATGGAATGAATGTGCTTGTCTCTCAAGTCTCGGTACTGGATAATAGTCTTCCCCTTTATTAAATAACCATAGGAAGTAATTTAAAGGTATAAATATTTGAAGACGACATGGCTACCTCGTAGCGCAGCCGCTAGATAGCAAGTCTGGAGAAGACACCCCTCCCTCCTATTTTCAGACAGGGTATCGGTTAAGATAGTCAACAAAGCATCTGCATACTATAAGTTAGGCCCTGCCTCTTACTCTGTGTTGATACGATTGTTGACGATCAATAGGGAGTAATTCGGTAGCTTAATCATTAATCATTTAAGAGGGTTAAGTTCTGTCAGCAGAGATAAAGGGGCTAATCATAAATGCTTTAATGCATCAATTGTATAATTCTTTCCACTGACCTCTTAACCTCCATGGTAAACAGCAACTCCGGAAGATGGAAAACAAATTCTACATTAAGTTAGGTACATAAATTGCATTTGCATTTAGTTGTAGGTATTACTAAATTCTCTTCTCACTTGTAGGGTACTTGGGTGCACTAAATATTAAACCAGGTTTTTGCTATCTTAAACGCTCGTCCATATTCATTTATATCCAAGAAATATTTCCACGGGCTTAAGGAAACGTGAACAGCCCGACAAGATAAGTCAAACGCGAATGTCCCTGCTCGATCGTTATCACCCATCTCTCGGAAAACGTCAACAATCGTTAAAATATCTAAAACAAATACAGCGAAGAAAAAGCCCAGGAGAGCAAACTCAAGGGAGGCGTTGCTGCTCCATTTCTTCAGGAACCTGGAAGTGTTGCTCGGGAAGAAATCCCGATCTCGATACAACCGACGAAATCCCTCGAAGATGAGGCCCAGGATCGGAGCCAATGCCACGACAGTCGAGATCCAGAATATGGCCACCAGTAAGTCTCCGTAGTAGATACTCTGTTCAAAACCCGGGTCTCCCAGCAGCCAGTCTTTAGAGCACAGCTCGGCCGGAGAACATGACGAAGCGCCAGGAGCAGTGTCGATCTTGTCCTCGTGACAATCGTAACGGGCGTAGCGGCCCCTCCCAAACATGGACATAATGTCGCCGTAGTATATCCCGAAAACAACACAGGAGGCGATCCATTGAGCCACCGTCAGGAGGTACAGAACCCACATTAAAACTCGGTGCAGCGTCGAGTCGGGTTCAAAGGCGCACTTCACGGGGTGGAAGTGTAAGGAGCGTGCGTATCGCCACACCGTGACCCAGTTCAACACCGACAGGGGGGCAAAGTGTAGGGGGTTTGAAGCCTGCATGAAAAGGCTAACCCACCAAAATGCAACAGATACGGCGTCATATATCGCAAAGGCCCAGAAGATCTTGCCGACCTGGCCGCACTCCTCGGGGTCGGAGGTAAATAGCTTGAACATCCACCACGAGGCACTCCATATGGTCATGGTGGTGAGCAGCGTAGTCGTGAGCGAGAGTGTGTAGAAGGCGGCAGGCCGCGGCGTCGATGGTATCACCTTAAAGTCGCTTAAGCAGCTAGCAACATCGCACCACGTATATCGAGCTCCTTCATAATCGGACCGGTCCGCCGGCAGCCACAGCTTGACCATGTAGTTCTCACTTGGATTGGGTGAAAAGTCTGTAAACCCTCGACTGTCTGTCGCTAGGTCGTACTGTAGAAATGTGCAGTCGACGGTAGACAAGCTTTGGTTGGAGCACTCCTTGAATCGAGTGTTTTTATAAAGCTGAAACTCGATACTGTCTGGGTCGATGCTGGTATTGTCGTCTTTAATAGCTAGGATGTATATGACGAGGATGGCGATGAGAAGCCCAGATAGGGCAATCGGCATGAACCAGAACAGCGATCTGAAAAGAAATGAACAGGCTATAGATTCCTCTTTATCAGTTTGCTCCATCGCCTCACGCATAAATGCTGCGCTATAATGGTATGGGTCCTTTTTTCGACGACGACGCCGGTCTCTAGGCTCGTAGTGGTCTCTTGCCGACGGAATCAGGCCGGAATATCGAGACATGATGTGGGTCCAAGAAGTATAGGGGCTGATGAGGGTAGGTTGAATACCATGGACGTTACCCACTATCAATCTGAGGAATAAACACACCCTATGTAGTTTAGTATTTAGAGGGAAAGAAGCGGGACTGGAGGAAACAAGACATTATAGACATCTTCCTATTCTTATAGATACCAAATAAGTAGGTTGGGAACCCTTGCATAGCTGACTACCTGTCTTGATTTGATTTGCGATTTACATCACTAGGTAGTCGGCGGTGCATGCGAAGCAACGCTCAAAACGGAAGAATAGTAGCAGCTTACAGGGGCGAAGACGTGTTAAGAACGAGAGCCTGCCACCCAGCCGCCTACAGCCCAAGCACCATAGCGGCAAATGCGCTTTCGTAGAACGATTATAGCATTTGAAAATTTTCAACTAAAAAGTCATAGTTGTAATACTCTAAGCTCTAATCGTTTAAAGATCCCGATCTCACATTTTCCCACATTCCAGGGTATAGGCAGAGAGTTAGGCAGGTGGTTATAAGAAGACTCTAATTTTTTAAATTAAATAAGGCTGGTTACTTCAGCTCATTATCTTAATCGCTGAAAGTGTGACCCTACTTTTCTAACGGGAGCGCTAACAGAAACATGGGGATTAGAATGAAGGGTTTCTATAGGTGGTGCGACATCGCAACCCTTCCTTCAGCCGCACCCCTGACACGCAAATTATAAGCATATTCCAAACTTGTGAGACTTTCCCCACTCCTAAGCCCCCAACTACTACCCTTAACCATTTCTGGTTTTAACCGTCGCTTCGGGATTGAACCTATAACTATAAGCATTTCTGGAAGAAATTAGAGGCAGGGTGCTGTAGAGAATTGAAAGGGTTCTTATTAAAATGGCCGATAAGGCATTTCCTGTCTTGCCCATTATCACATTAGGGCAGATAGTTTAATACTTGTTTCTTAGATGTTAGTTAGAATAGAGCTTTGGCCTGTTTTATATAAACCAACTGCTCGAAGAGGAACCTCCAGAATTACCCTGGCGCTATTCAGACTAGCCCACAGTTATTCAATAGGATACAACAAAATAAATATAAAGAGAAGCACCAAACCTATCTATATCCTAATAATTACTCTATTCTCCAGATTATATTTAATACACTTTAAAGTCTAATTTATACATGATCTAGAGGTGAAATCTTGAAACGAATTCAGATAGTACAATTTTATGTACCAATGGTAGTCGCCCCGCCCCCCTTTTCTTCTATCCTTAGAACTAAAAAGAATATAACTGTGTCTATACCAATCTGAATTCTGTCAATTCTCTCCCCGCCCAGAACTCTTCGTTATATTCATGAAAAGTAAGCCGTCGAGTCCTTATATAGCATTGGCTTATGAATAGATAATTGTCTCCATAAGGTCGCACCATACTGGCCTGCGTAGCCCCTTTGAATAGACATACAAGGTCCCCAGGTTGTAATTCGGCATCTTGCCTCAGCAATCGCACAATAGTGCCGTTAGAAAGTAGCATAACCGTACGACTAAACTCATCCGCCATAGAATATAACAGAATATGCTCGTCTCTGTACATTATTTTCTTTGACTTTGAGGATATTTCGTTATGGGTGTCGCATAGTTTGCGAAATGTGCGTCGGTACGACTCAAGGCCCCGTTGGTTAAGGAACTTGATTGCGTTCTTAGCAAAACCATCCAAGCACTCCTCGACAGTCATCCCACTTATTCCTGCAGAAGGTATGAGAATCTGCTCCTCCATCTCTCGGAGACGACTTGGTAGAGCTTCGGGCGTTTGCTCAAGTGGGCAGGCGGCTATGTCGAAAGACCAGTCAACGTGATTCTTATGCGTTCCTATTAGGATCCTATGGATAGGTAATTGATGTCCGATTATTTGGTGAGATGAGGATGACCGGCATTTAAGTCTGTATTCCAGATATAAAAGATATCGGAAGTCGGCAATCCACGAGGGTCTGGTTCCAATTTCAACATCATTCGCCATACACCCAAGAAGCCGTAAGTCGCCAGTTGAACCTAGAATATAAGCCGTGCATTTCCAAGTAGAGGTACTCGTACGGCTGATTATAGTCAGGCATTAACTCGGCTGGTATATCCTTTCCTAGAAATTCAAGAAGACCTAAAATTCCGTAAATGTGGTCCCGAGGATCCTGGGATTCCTTGTCCTGTGTTCAACCAATAGCCTTGCAAAAACCCTCCGGTGTTGTCATCTTGCTCGGGTTGAAACTACTATATCTATTCTCGTAAGTAGAAGAGAACACTCACTGAGTCCTTTGGGTCGCCTTTATCCTTTTCGACCCCGTGGTAATTAACAGAGGCCTATAAATTCCTGTAAGTGTGTCTACTGGAATTTCTAGTTTCCTCCAGGATATATGGTGGCTACCGACATAGAATATAGGAGCTGGAGATATACAAGCTTCTTGGATTGTACAGGTTCTTGAGAAATGTGGATTCACTAGAATATTTGCCGTTATTTTGAAAAGAGAATTATATGAGCTACCAAATACTCCACGTAGGACTCTTTCGTCGTCGCGGCTATCAGCGGGAATTAAAAGCATGAAAGACAAGAAATTATGCATTATATCCTCTATTGCGCCGTCTTCTATTGGGGGCCTTTCGATAATACCCACTAACCATCTGATAAGTTCCGTACTTGAAGGTATTATCGTAATGGGGTTGAAAGCTGTGGTCTCTACTCGGTATGTGCTCCCAAGTGGTAAAGCTAGCGGTTAAAAATTAAAGAAGGATAAACTAAAGAGAGGTCTTTCGGTAGGTAGGTAGGTAGGTATAGATGAAATAAGCATTCAAATATATTTCTCTCGATCGCTTTTCTATATTAGTTTAATATCCTGTATATGTGGACTAGTCCAGAGATTGTCGTTCAATTCCCTTTTAAGAGGACCGCCATTCACTATACAAGGACTCAAGAGAGTGAAATTATCGTCAGAGGTGCGTAATAGGAATGGTTCGTTAGACCCCTTAAATAGGCATATTAAATCGCCAGTTCTCACTTTAATATCTTCTCTTCTTACGCGAAGGAGTGAACCATCATAGAGCAGTAGACAAGTACCGGTGAGCTGGTCAGCGATGGCTTCTTCCTTCAAACGTATATTCCTCGTTCTTCTCTTCTTTGCGGTCCGCGATCTCCTGCTCCTAGACGAATCACGCAAGACTATATATACCTCATAGAACGATAGATTACCCCTTGGATAAATGATTCTAGTCGTATCTTCTATCATGTCGTTGAAAACCTCTTCGATCGTTATACCTCTCGTAGATGCCGCCGGTTTGAGGATGTGCTCCTCAAAAGCTTTTAAATGGGTTGTCAGCTCAACCGGTATCTTCTCACGACGCGGCATTAGATCCCTTGAATTACGTCCGGGGAGAACATTACGGAACGTCCCTAGTATGCAACCCTGTAGATGCAGAACCCTTTTGTCAGGTGTCACATATACAGATGGCTCGGGCATTGGTAGTCCCATCGATAGATAACGAAAGTCAGTGACCCAGGAAGGTACACCTTGAAGCTCATTACGGCTGCAGCTAAGTAAATGTAAATCCTTAGCTGACTGAAACAAGAAAGCGGCGTAGGTCCAATACGTCTCCGAATATGACAGATGGTAGTTTGGTAACAACTCATCTGGGAGCTCTTCTCCTGTAATATGCTTTAGCATACCTAGTAAACCATAGATTTGATCTTGGGGGTTTGTAGATTTTTTGACGCCTGAAACCCCGAGTATTTGAGCGAGGACCTCGCCTATTTGCAACCCCCTTAGGCCATCGACTTTGTCGTGATGGACGCTCCAATATAGATCTTCGATCCTCTGGATGGCTGTCATTCTCGTACTTCCTGAAGAGAGGCAAATGATCTTATTATCTTCTAAAAAGTATTTAAAAAATCCTATGAGATAGCGTAGGTGTACGCTGTGATGTCCAACATAGATGGTACAGCTCGCACCTAGGCAAGATTCTTGAAGCGTCCAGATCCTTCCCCACCACGGCCGTTGCAAGACATCCAGCATCGCATCCATAACTGCCCTGTGGGCATGACCGAGCATTGTATTTATGATTAAGTTGTCGTTTTCGTCTATAGGTTCCCATTCATTCCACATCGAACGGGCCTTCTTGAACAAGATCTCGATCGCTTCGCCTTGTGAGACTTGATACTTGGACGAGCGAGCATTTCGAGAGGTCTTCTTGGAGGGGTCATCTTTAGGCAGTTTTCTTATAGGCCCGAGCCAAACGACGGTAAGGCCAACACTGTATATATGAAACATACGTTGTACTTGCTGAGACCTTTCATCTATGTCTTCCTGGTTGATGCAGATAGCATCGATCCAGAAATAGTCTTCGGGGAAGCCAATATCATAGGGTCGCTCTCTAAATTGATGGAGAGCTCTGAATAAGTTCCTTGTGACTTGAAAAGGCTGGCCATCTAGAATAATGGTTTCTTGTTCCGTCATATCACCCCATACATAAGACAGGGTATAGAAACTACTCTCTCCTAGCTCTTCGAGAGGTATCTGGTGAAGAAGACACTCGATGGCGCCGGTTCCCGGTACGATGCGGAGCAGCCGAATATCTGTTCCCTCTAGCTTTCGATATGGATATGCTGGTTTTTGATACGGTCGTTTAGGAGGTTTGTAATTTTTGTTATCCTCAGCATCGTGGTAAATTATGTTTGAGATATCTTCTCGCTGTATATATGGCAACTTAAATTTCCTACGTTTAGGCTTAAAAGGACGAGTTAGAGAATCGACTGACATTGCGAAAAAGAGTATCTTAACGAGATTGGTATGTTCTCAGTGCTCTTAGCTGCTAATGAAGAGAATATCACGTTATCAAAATCGAACTTCCATATTCGTTTTTATTTGTATTTAGACCGCTTATGTCTACGTGTATACCTCATAGTGGTGGGTGGTGTACACAATGTCGGTAACCAATAATCTCCCTTGTATAGCCGCCAGGTTTATGACAAGTCGTAGCTATTCAGCCTTACCAATTCTTGAACTTAGAACCAACAGATTGAAAGTAGAAAAAGCCGTGGATGATAGCTTTGCAAGTAATAAGTCTATCTTAGCTAGAGTGTGCCGTTGGCTTTTACTGTTTAAACCATATTAGCATTTACATCTTCCTACCTATTATTCATCGGCAGCCAGTTCTATGCCATCATAAATTGTTAGGTCCAAGTATTTACACGTATAAAATAACATGGCACCATGCTGAGAAACTGAAATTGAGCGCAAAAAAGAAAAACTCTCCACCAGCCCCTAAGACGTAGCATTTATGTACACGGATAACCTGGTAACCATGTACCTAAGGTATATAGATCGAAGCTACGTCAGACTCGATACCCACAATATTATGTTGGTATTAGGTATATGTACAGGCAGAACGAACGCCTTGCATAATTAACCCCGCTACTCCTGCCCCTCTTCTTCATCCTATTGACAGGTCACATTAGCTCTCAGATAGCTGATAAAATCTTGATAGCCTTCTTTAACCTATCTCTATGGAGATACTTGTGATACCGCAACAAACATAAATTATTAGTTCCATTACTTCTATCCCTATTTAGATTAATGGCGGGGAAGAAAGGTGGTGACAGTAGCAAGAAGGCGGCTGGCCAAGCTCGAAAGGCCCAGACCGCCGCTGGCAAGGCTGCCGCAGAGGACGCGAAGAAAGCCGCGGAAGAGGCCGCCGATTGGGATAGGGGTGCTAAAAATAATTCCAAGAAGTGCGCTGCATACTTTCCCTTTTTAATTGGTTATATAATTGGATTATAAGAGACAAAGGACAAACTGAACAAGCCATATGCTAACTTATATTCAGAGAAGCGCAGGAAGCAAAGAAGGCAGAGCAAGCCCGGAAAAAGGCTGAAAAGGAAGCTCTTGCTGCCGAAGAGGAAAAGAGTCTACCGACTCGCCCTGGACCTAAGAATTCTAAGACAGCTGTTAAAAAAACAAATCGAATTCCCGACCTGCCTGAGCTTGATGAAATTAACAACAAAGAGCTCCCGACACAAGGAGGGTCTGGAATCAATGCTGCCATAAATACATTGGGACTTGTTCTAGGGGAGGATACTGTAAAGCTTGATAGACATGTTGATAGAAGAGTCGGCGCTGCATTCAGGGCTTTCAAGGAAAGGCGCGAGAAGGAGATGAAAGACGAGGGAACTAAATTGAACTTCAGTCAGAGGCGTGATCAAATCAAAGATGAATTTGCGAAAAGCAAAGAAAACCCACGTAACAGCACCGCGGGTGTTAGTTATAATGCAACAAAGGAAGAGATCGCTGCATTAAAGAAAAAGGAAATGGACCGTATCGAAGGCCGGTACGATGACTCTGAATAGGGAGTAAGTTCTGCGTGGGTTGAAAAGAGCAAGAAATTATATATAACTAAGATACCTGTGATGAAGAGTAATTGCAGAGGAGAGCATGAATGTTAGTGTTCTAATTGGCTATCTTATCTTCCTGAGGAACAGTAGATTGTGCACTTTATGATAGACATGCACATATAGGTTACATAGTTACATGAAGCATTCATAAAGTATTCTGGTGTCTTGATCTCGATAATGAAAACACCGACCTCTCCACTAGTAGATAGTGCATTCCATAGCATGCATAAGTCTAGTAAGTACATAGATTCGCAAAGCCCGAAACATGTCGTGATAATCACCTGAATAATTATTGCAGTTTAAGGACCATAGGCTACGAGCGAGAGGTCTCGTGATAGTGTAAAAAATCGAAGGAGGAGCTGTTGGCTTAAGATCGTATCGGGTAGACGGGCTAAGCTTCGGCAAGCCTCGGCTCGGGACTCGGGGTATTTGCAGGGGATGAAAATACATACATTATGTCAGTATGTACAATAAAAAGGAAGTGACGTCCATTCGCGGCTGTTCTAAATCGCTTCGTCAGCGCAAAATCCGGGGCACCGCAATCTCCATCCGTTTTCTGTTTTCCCACCAACTTTCGTCTCTGCCGACACCCCCTCATCCAATCCTACGCGACACCCGAGAAACCTCACGAGGCGGACCTGATTAGTATAGATATGTACTATTAATTTTTTTTACTGGGTTTTCTTTTATACGTAGGGTCTATTGCATTATATTAGAGACAAGGTCGGTGGCGTAGTAATGCCATCGGCTGCTGCAAATCATGCCGCGAGGTCCGACTTCACATCTCAAGGAGAGGAAAATGCAAATACCATCGTCAGCAAAATGGACGGCGTTGTCAGGAAAGCAAGTAATGCTGTCACCGGAGCTACGGCGCGAAGTCCAAGTACAGATTCAGTCGACGATAAACCACCGATAGCAATGAAGGGGAAACAGCCGGATAAACATAGTATGGACTATGTCCTCCGTTCTTTTGTCGCGGGAGGTCTCGCAGGGTGTGCTGTATGTATTATTGTCTATTCAATGCTCAAACTTGTCGCGTGCTCACAATTTATCTCCAGGCCAAGACTACCGTCGCTCCTCTCGATCGAGTCAAGATCCTCTTCCAGACCAGCAATCCGCAGTTCGCAAAGTATCAGGGTTCGTGGGCCGGCTTCGGGATAGCGATACGCGACATATACGCCCGTGATGGAGTCCCAGGACTATTTCGCGGACACTCAGCGACCCTCCTAAAAATATATCCTTACGCTGCTGTAAAATTTGTTGCCTACGAGCAATATCGCGCCTTAATCATTGGTTCAAATCGCAAAAATGAAACGTGGTTACGACGATTCTCTTCCGGTGCGATGGCCGGTGTGACATCGGTCTTCCTCACATATCCTTTAGAGATCCTTCGCGTGCGGATGGCATTTGAGACGAAGGCTACGCGACCGTCGCTTGTCGACATCTGCAAGAAGATTTATCACGAGCACCCCCTATCGAAGCCACCTCTTGTGAATGCGGGGGTCGGGTCAGGTGTCACAGGAAATATAGCCACGGCCACAGCAGCAACAGCGCAATCTGTAACTCCTCGTTCTGGCCTGGTTAACTTTTATAGGGGGTTTTCTACAACTCTCTTGGGTATGGTACCGTACGCCGGCGTGTCATTTTTAACTCATGACACCGTGAGCGATCTCTTCCGTCTGCCATCGATTCGAAAATATACTACCCTTGCTAAACCTGCCAATGCTCCTGCCGATAAGCCTGCACCGCTCCAAGCATGGGCTGAGTTGATAGCCGGAGGACTTGCGGGTGTTGTATCACAAACCGTGTCTTACCCGCTGGAGGTGATTAGACGGCGACAACAAGTTAGCGGGGCAGTGGGGGATGGTCGCCGCTTGCGAATAGGTCAGACGGCGAGTATGATCTTTAGAGAACGAGGGATCCTCGGGTTCTTCGTCGGATTATCGATTGGTTATGTGAAGGTATTACCTATGGGTGCCGTAAGCTTCTATACGTGGGAACGGTTGAAGATACTATTCAACATCTAAAAAAATGTTGTACATATGATGGGTTTGCGGTAGCATTATCGGAGTGTAGGCGTTTATGGCATATACCATGCTTGGGTGCAGCATGACGGGTTGGAGTCTAGCTCGCGATGACTGAGGTCTTGGGGCCCCTGTGCATAGATATGGATACATGGAATAGCTATATGGAATAGCGAGGCATGACATAGAGAGAAGTGTTGTATACAACAATTGCTAGCGACCCCTTTCCCATTGCATCTGTTTCCAATCTGGTTTAATTTTTTACTATAACAAATTACTAGTTTTTTGAAGTTCGGCTTCAGCATAAGACTGTTTTAACACTTAAGACACTGGTAAGTTGGAATTCACATGCGGAAATATAATGGCCTAGGTGGCGTATATTGTCAATTTTCTTCCCATTTTGTTTTTTTTTTTTTGCTTTTTCATTCTAAACAAACCCCAACACTCGTTTAATACGGCATTGCCGCTACGATTTCCATGCAGATCTACTTCTGAGGCCAACTTCAGCTAGGAGATCCCCTTTATGAAAACTTTCTATGGTGCGGTTGTCAATTCGATATACTCCAACTCAATATCATAGTAAAATTCAGATAGTTATATTGAATAAGCGTAGACAATAATGTACACGTTATGAGTTCAGCAGCAGATTCCAATAACCTCGGCTTCGAGAGTTCTGAACCCCGTAGATCAACACGACCGGGCGCGCTCTAGTATCTTAGTGGCGTTCGCCCAAAGCCACCATCGATGCATCTAAGATAGTCCGGCAGGTCAGCTAAGTACGGCGTCATCCACATCTACCAAGGAACGGCCACTTGTTCACTTGACATTATCAAATATGTACAAAGCTACCTACCGGCTTGATTCCCTAGAGCTGACTGGATGACAGTGGATACGCGGAATACGCGGAATACGCGGAATGGTAGGTTACTCTGATCGACGAATGGCTGGAATGATGAGCTTGGTGCTGTGTATGTATGAATGAGACTTTTATTGCACACACAGTACGCTTTAAAGGAGGATCTCATGGCTTCCCCAGGTTTTTGCTTTTGCTACCTACCTACCTTAGGTATTCTTGTAGCTAATAATATTATATATGTAATTACTCACGCGCTAGGTCGAGGATCTCAAAGTTGACATGTGCCCTCTGTTGTCAGTGCTGAGGCGTATACACGCGATCTTCTCGTGTGTTGATTACCGTACTCGGCTATACACTCATCCATTCCATTTGACTAAAGTGATTCCTCTTAGATTTCTCCAACCAAGTTTTTAAACAAAAGATTTCGCAACTTACACACTCCAAGTCATACCATCTAATCCCTCGTCCATCATGTCGAACCCGGCCGATCCCGCGACAAAGCCCACAGAGCACAACCAGGTAGTCGCGAACCCTCTCGCACACTTCAAGGCGATTCCATGGTGTGCAGCGCTCCTCTCAGACCCGGCTATCCTTGATATTGGCGTGCCGGACAGGCGACCGTGTACGTATCATCGAAGAACAAAGTTCTTACAACATAGTTACTGACTCTTATGATCGCAGTACCCAACGGCGACTCCAGCCTCGTGCGCAAGACTATGAACAGTCCCACAACCTCCCGCGCATGCGTGACTTTCTATCGACTCGTCAAGCCCACGAAACCCAAATCCTCCTCCTCATATCCTTCCTTCGGTGGCACGGGAGAAGTGTCTCCCGCCGGGGGCTCGGCCCCATCCGATAGCAATAAAAGCAGTCGTAGCGGCAAAGGAGAGGATAAGGAAAAGAAGGAGAAAAAATCGCTGTCCGCTTCAGAAGCCATTCTAAGCGGTGGCGGCAAAGAAAACGGCGAGAACCCGCGGAATCCGTTCGTGCTGTTCAACGCCCTGGTCGATCTAGGAGAGGACTGCCAGAGCTTCCCGGGCGTTATGCATGGCGGGATGCACGGGCTACTTATGGACGAGGTCATGGGGACGGCTGCGAATGCCCAGACTGGTAAGTCTGCTCCGTTTTATATATCTCCCTCCCTTACCTGCATAACCTACCCCCAACATGTTATATATAGAATCAGATACGCTGAAGCAAACTACTAACAAAGAAAACTGTAGCAAACGGCGCGTATACGGTTCGTTTTACAACCCATTATCATCGCGCGATTCGGCTCCCGCAGATCCTACTGATCCGTGGGCGCGTGGTGCGGAAAGAGGGTCGGAAGATGTATGTTAGGGGCACGTTAGAAGATAAGGATGGTGAGCATTACTTCCTATTTCCTCCCCCTCAATATAGGAAATGTATATAATCTTAGCTGGCTCAAATGCTAATATCTCACAGGAAACATTATGGCTGAAGGTGACGGGGTCTGGCTCGCCATTGAACGGAAGTCTGGCCAGAGCAAGCTATGAGCGAGAGACTGAGCTAGTCTCTGGAGGTTAGACGAGCAAGGATTTAAGTCGTATATATTTGTTTATTCCACGCAACAATTTTATACGCATATTCTTTTCACCCAAGCAAGCGCTATACGCATCGTTGGCAAGAAACAAGTTAATTTTTCATATATCCATAGCTTGAAGTATATACAAATGTATAACAATGCTATTACAAGTTGACTTATATCGTGTAGATTGATTAGAGTCGTCAGTAACGACATGTCGTAAGGAATCGATGGGACTCGAAAGCCCTGATATATTAGACGACGGCTTAACAGAAGGTGGCAACATCTTCGAGACACTCAGGCTCAAAAACCTACGCCAGCCTTTTATCCAATTAATATGGTCGAAACATCGTAATAGGAGTTTAGCACCGCCAAAACAAGCTTCCAAATATATATGAAAGCCATAAAAAAAAAGCAAAGATATGAAATATTATATCCATCTCATTAATACGTTGTCACGTTCGCTCATTGATTAATCATCTAGTCTGCCTTAATAGCACTGAAAACAAATGTTAGTAATGCTATAATTCGTCATAATATAATGGTAAGATTGATGTGCTCACCCATATATCCTCCTGACGAATGCATACGCCGTCAGGAATCCCACGGTGCCAGTAAGAAGTCCGTACACACAGCACGCCATAAAGCTATATACGAAGAACAGCATGGAGCTCACGAAGCCCGATATATGCAAGTTGGCAAAGTAGTACCATATGCTGTATAGAAACACCCATATGGCACTTCCGCCGCCCACGAAAAAGGATTGCCACCACCAGTGATAGTTCTCGGAGCAGAGCTGGACATAGATAGTCACAACTGTGACCTCGGCAATAGTTAGGATCAGGATAACGGAAACGACAGCGAGGAAGCCGAAGACGTAGTAGTACCCGCTCTTATCCTGCCATAGCGACTGGAATACGAAGAGAAGCTCGATGAAGATCACAGCAAATGGAACTAGGCCGGCAAGGAGGATTGACTGTAATTTCTTGGCATACCAAGCTTGGTTGGGGACTTGACGAGGAATGCTCGCAGTCTTGGTAGGATGTTCCCATGCGCCTGTACGGACGAATCCATACCAAGAGCCCAGATAAACTAGTGGGACCTGAATGCAAAGCCATAGGAGCACAATAGCTATCAGAGTTCCGAATGGTATAGCAGTGCTAGAAGCTTGTGCCCAGACGAAGAGGTTTAGTATAAAGATCAGACCAAATAGTAAACCAGGAAATAAAAATGCTGTAACAAGAGCATTCTTCCCGAAGTCCTTTCCGTCAAAAGTCTTGTATACCCTTGCGGAGAAGTAACCAGAGAAGACACCTGCAAATACGAAGAGGCCGAACCCAGCGCTGAGGAAGCCACCGCGAAAACTGGGGTTCAAGATACCAATAGCACTTAGCAAAACCAAACCAATGGCCATGAATAAGAGCTGCATGCCTGACCCGACAAGTGGAGCTAGTAGATGACCATACTCGGGCTTCCTGAAGACATCCGCATGTAAAAGCTTCCAGCCCGTGACATCCTCTAGTGCTTCATCATCGGATGCCACTTCTATTTCGTTATCCACATCGGCTTCTCTCTCGAGGACGCCAAATCCTGCCTTTTCAGATTTAGGACTACGCTTGCCAGACTTTCCCTTGCGTAACTTGCCCTCTTCGATAGAACCTTCCTTGTATCCTTTGATGTCGGACCTGATCGTCTTAGCCAAGATCATGAGAACGATACCAGTGAGCAGGCCACAGATAATCAGGGAGTTAACGATAGCTAGCCAGTGGATTCGAGAGCCCTCCTCCGAGTTAACGAAATATAAATCCCAACGACGGTTCCATTCGATCGACTCGTCTTCGCGGAAGTACACAGAATACGAGTACGGGATGGAGATAGTATCATCATCATCGCCTTCTTCAAGCGCCGCGGGGTGGTAAGACGAGCGGGGGTGCAGCGTTTGGAAATCGGTCGTTTTATTTGGGGCCATGTAGAGTTCGAAGCGATCCTCAACATCGTGAAGATCGGCAGGGCAGCCGTTATCTCGCTTGACATTTGGGCCAATACTTTTGGTATAAACCTCAAAACCGATGACTACTTTGCCTCCCTTCTCGCCGGCTCGACCTGACGCCGCCCTGTATCGAATAACGATGGTGTGGTGGTTATTGAGGAAGTAGCGCGGCTTTCCGGTGCTTGACGAGTAATCGGTAAAGCCAAGCTTAAAGCCGGCAGCATAATACTTTCTCGACTTGTCGACGGTAACGAAACTAGTGGCGCCGGGTAGATTGTCGACGATCCACTCTACCACGTATCCTTCCCTAACCAGTTCCTTGGCTCTCCTTAGATCTTTTCTTGTAACCACTTGCTCGCATAGAAAACTACATTCTTTGTCTTGTCCCATGGTAAGATCAATGTCTGAAGTCATAATCCGGTCACCACGAAGAACTTCTCCGAGATTGAGTGAGATGCTCTGGCCACTTAGTAGACCGGGACCATGGCTCTTACCCGTGGGCGGGCAGACGAACGGTAGATCGTAGTAGGCATATTGTAGTTGCGTATTATCGGAATAGACTTTATTAACGAGTAAAGGGATATGTTCGCCTTCCTTGTAACTCTTTACCGACCAACCTGTGTTCGTATAGAATTCGTTAGACGTCGCATACTTGAATTGGGCGCATCGACATAGACTGGGCGCCTAGATTCAGCTTACCCGGAATATAGAAAGCATGAACTTGTGAAACTATAAGAAGATAAAGTAGCCATTTCAGACTATTCCTTAGGGATTCGCCCATTTTGCGTATATCCTCCTATCGCTATTGCGTCTCGAGATACATCAACTCGGTTAGCTTAGCAAGGTATTAGACGTCTGGCTTTCGCCTAGATTCACTACTTCGCGCGAGAACTTCTAGGTAGAATTCCGTGTTATACGGTCTGCGGATCTGTTAAGTGACTGTAATGAGTTACTAGCAGTTATGCTGCGACGTGAATGAGAACGTCGCGGAATCCTATTGCTTTAACTCGTTTCGCGGCTGTAAATAAAACGCCACAAAGGACGGTAGAAGGATGGGTTTAAACGAGCGTAATGGGTACTTAGTACCACCTAAAAGGACAAAACGATGTGAGGGATGATCTTTTAGCTGAAGACTGATGCTGACGCTGGTCTTGCGGCACTGCTTTTGGCTCGTTGGGCTGATCTTATGGTACCATACTCGGAACAAGGACTAATACGTTCTTTATTAGAGAGAAGTGGTGTTGAGTCGAGACCGGAAAAGAGAGAGATTATGATTACTGTAGTACTGATCGAGACATCGGGAAAAAGAAAAAGAAAGACAGCAGAATGGGGAGAGAGGAACAAGTACCCCCTTGTTATCGTGCCAGTTCTACTACAGTATCTGCATATGTATTGTACAGTTTACAGTTTACAGTTTACGAAGCCCCCGTCGACCGATCGCGCTAGAATTTGGTTCTTGGCAGATTCCTATATCCCTGTCCTCTTGTACACCTGTCTACCTGTCACGTCTTTAGAGTTAGGTGTTACCCCCCGTCGGGTGGCTCCGCAGTGAAGCCGTTATCTATCTGCCCCGGACCATGTACATAATAATCTACCTATACAGTATAAACTATCTAGATCTCATATACACTTACAGTGCGTAAAGCAGAGCGTAACCTAAACATCCTAAATATAGGCACATGACAGCTAGGTTCTATATGTAGGTACATATGTACATACGTACTATAATTCGTATTGTCAAACGCTTAAACTCACGGGTAAAATGCTCTGCAAGAAAGTTAAAATTATTTCGAAAACGCTTATTTTAAACTTCAGTTCGTATCATATCATACATAGGTAGGTACCTAGATAGACCCGGTATATCAGAAAGCTAATCTGACAGCTTTAATTTACTGCTGACAATCTCCTAACATGGCGCCACGGGGAATGCTCAGTCAAGCAGGCTCACGTCGGATCACACATGCAAGCCTAAGTAAATCGGGTAGTATCCAGAAATCAGAGAGCCTATCTATTTAGGAAGTTCTATTAAAGGCCTTGTGCAACATGGGGTATACCTCTCCGCCGGCTATGCAACGAACTCCAACCTTGGTCATTCCGTCGTATGTTTTCTATGTACATTTTAGTTCACGTGTCTCCTCCTTTACAGGGTGATAATATCTAGCTCTGAGAAGTCTGGTGGCGCGCGGCCGTATACAACCCGCACTTTGCTGTCGAGTGCCGTGCCCTCGTTCGAAATCCAAATGTGTTCACTGAATTCCCTCGTTCTTCTTATTTCATCGTCACTCACTCCCAGGTCGTCACGAGGAATCCATACAGTTGGTCGCTTTGCACGCAAAGCCGAGTGCATAAACGCACGCCTGACAAGAACGTCTCGTTCCTCAGGCATGAGATCCTCAATTTCATCGTGGAATCCGCCGTATAGAGCCTCACCAATGGCCCTCTGCGCCTCGAGATCCTTTTGTCGACGTTCTTCACGATACTTGTTGACATTCTTAAATCCCTTCTCTGCCTTGCCAAAAGTACGATCGTAGGTACTTTTACCGCCACGAGCTGCCCAGGTACTAGCGTGGACAATGCCCTTAACAGGCTTAAAGTTCGTAAATTTATTACCTCGCCCCGTCTTGTCATCAGCGCCATCCATAGAATTGTTTTGGCTTCCACCTTCGTGTATTGGCGAGGCCTCCTTGTCGGATATATCGTCGTCACGATCATCAAGGCCTAAGCGGCGGTCCTGAGCGCGCTGGAATGCTTCATCCCGTAGGACAGCTTCGTCCTCGAAGGTAATCGGCAAATATCGGAATAATGGCCCAAAGGACTTATTCAGGAGGATTTGGTATATGGCGGTCAGAAAGATTGAGACGATCATGATGATGGCTTGCGGTGCACATGCAACTTCGCCATTCTCGTCTCTAACAAGAAAAAACAGACCGACAAGGCACAGCTCCATTACGTAAAGCCCTGTGAAGGTTTGGTTGATGGCCTGCGGATATAGCACACCACCAGTGTCGCTTGTGAAACGGTTCACGTATATCATGCTATATCTATTTGCCATCCACAGGAGACTGAAGGTGATGATGGCAAATATAGAGATGATTGGAGCGACGACTGAATAGATCAGCGCGATACAGGCGAAATTCGTATAGACCGGGAAGGTAGTTCCCCAATTCACTTCAGGGAGCTTAGTGTTGGTAAACCACTTGTTCCGGGCCGTCTTGTTCATAATTCTCGCGATGATGTACCAGTTGATGAGAGCCCCAATCTGCAGTAACGTACCCGAGCTCACACTGAGGGCCTGAAGAATCATGTAAGAGAAGAAATAGTTTGCAGCCTTTGGTAAGTTTTCTGCTAGGAGATCCGCAATTCCAGTTGGGTTGTTGGCAATGTAGTCAAGTGTCTGGAGAACACCTGAAGCTAAGGAGACGACCAGGAATACCTGGACGAAGAGGAACGCGAAATAGAACTTCTGGACTGTTTCCGTCTTTTGAGATCCCGTCTTGGCTCCTTTAAAGCCAGCAAGGAAGCCCATGATAATCGGCACCAACCAGAGAAGAAGAGCGAGTAGAACAGCCGGCAGAACACCAGCAACACCAGATACCACGTTATGAATATTTTTGTTCTCGTCAATGAAACTCAGCCAGGGAAATTCGTCTGTCAGCGTGCTAACTTGGGAGATCGAGGACGTGAAGGCAACCGGGAACGCCCATAGTAGGATCATGCCGGCGACAAAAGCAACGGCGGCAGCAGTCCGAAGCCACTCCGACCACCAGCTAATAGCCATGTTTTCCCAGAGCACGTCATTAGGAGATATCTCGACAGTGCGAGGGGCCATATGCCTCGGAATATGATGCGTAACACTCTGACAAGCCATATGCGCGGCAACTTGGTGATTGAATTGAATAAAAGCCGACTTCATCAGTGGATACCGTTCTGGGTTCTTCTGGTCGGTATCGATCTCCAAGTTCAACCTTGCTAGTTCCTGTCTACACCAATATATTGTATCGACTTTCTTGTTGAGAAAAGGAAGCCCAGGTAGCCAGGAAGGGGTCCATTCAAATATCGCAAGACGATGAGTTGGTCGCTTAGACTTCTTAACCCACTTCTCCCATTCTGCTCCACCGTCCTTATCTTCTGTCCATTCCTCATTATAGGCTTTAGGGTACTCCACCGGTTCGAGCTCCGTGCCACCAACAAACGGGATAAATGACTTTATCTTTTCTAAGAGCGTTTTCTCTTTCTTAAATGGAAAGTCGTCGCCTTCGTATCCTTGGGGAACGGGCGACACGTATCCACCGGCCGGGGGTTTCCAAAACTGATACCATCGTATGGTTTCGTGTTGTTGCATATCCTCAAGAGTGTCAGCTTTGCGGGTTGTATTTCCGAAGTGTCGCATTTCAACGTTCTCTCCCTTTAGCATAGTATCCTGGGAAAGGGAAGAGCCATTGCGATAATGCTGTGGTTGTGATGTGGGCGGCCCCATAATAGGTTCTTCGGATCCAAGACCCTGACGATGATTTGAGCTCTGGGTCGACGGCCTGGGAAGGTCTTTCTCGTCCGGCAGCTGAATACGACGGCGGTCCGATCCCCGCGTAGGGGGAGCAGGCGATGGGCTCTGTGGCGTTCCTATCGCCACGAATCCATTTGTCGTTTCGATTTGATTGTCAATACCGTGCGAGATATTCTTAGCGCCTCCAAATATATCCTGTCCAGTCTTACCCATCGCATCAACACCCTTTCCAAACCCTCCAGTTATTTTTGAGAACCCACTTGTCACAAAGCTGCGCCCAGTAGATGGCCTATGGCTATCATGTTGGTGATCAGTCTTAACCTCTGCTTCAGCATCACCTAAATCATGTGGGACTTCGTGCCGGTCACCACTGCTTATGCCTTGGTTACCTTCGGCCTGCAATTTCGCTGCATCGTCCTCCCGCTTCTGACGCTCTTGTCTCTCTCCTTTGGTGGGTCGGTGGGATTTAGATACTTTACGCGCCTGTTTTTCATCCGCCTCCCTCTTCTTTAGTTGCTCTTTCTTCGCCATCCGAATCAGTTCTGTCAGGGCTTCCTCCAACTGTTTATGGATTAGGTCACGTTTGGAAATTTTCTCTAAGAGATGTGTCAAATCCCGCGTGAGCCAGACGTTTCGAAGTCCTCCTGGGAAAACATCAAAAAGGCCCTTGAGAGCCTCTTCATTTAGCCATTTGTCGGGAATACCGCTCACTAGGACAGTCGTCGCAGAAGCTCGTAAACGGTGTTCGGCAGTTGTTAACCAGTCCTGGCGGACTTTAATATAAACCCTCAATTCTGCAAAGAAAACACCGCAGACCCATATGATGACCAAGACTGCCATGACAAGATGCGCCCAATATCTGTTGGTCTGGTCCTTTCTCACATTGCCCCATGCCAACGTGTCCAACCCAGTAATGTTGGATTTCGGAGCGCTAGGGTCGCTATAATCAGCGCCCTGGGGATCGGTGGAATTGGTGCCTGGGTTATTCTCGGTGGTATTCGCTGAGAAGTTGCGACTGAGTCCGCCAACATAATTGACTGGCACTAAGATCGGGATTATAATGACGGCCATAGGTATGAATATGACGAGCAAGGTTTGTAGATATCGGAGAAAAAAGTACGCATCCAGGCCACATTTCTTAATAACCTCGCGATCCGGGAAGCGAAACACAGTACTAACCAAGCCCCAAGGACTGCTTGGTGGTGGTTCGGTTCGTTCTCGTTCTGGCACAAGGTATGTTTTAGGCTTGCTGTTATATAATACAACTTATCAGCATGTAGTTGGCAAAGGGTATATTAGGGGGTTCGCATACAATATCCTAGATAGCTTATTTCTCAGTAACAAGAAGAATCCCGTCTGAACGCCAAAGACTATCAACGAGACGTTCAGAGCAGTAACAAAAGCTATCAGTGTAATGCCCTGATTACGCTGGGCCGTGCCCTGATCTAGGAAACACTTGTTAGCACCATACGCAAACCTAGAATTAATTTGTATAATGGTATTGCAACTTACCCCCTGAATCCGGCATGCTGTCCCTCTAGGTCGTTAGCCGACCTAAAATCCAACCCGAAAAACTTGTCGCAGTGTCGTCCTCATACGTAGTCTAAATAAACGAACGGAGAGGGGAAATAGGGGAAGGTCAAGTGAGTTTAGGAATTGCGAGGGGTTACGAAACTTTGACGATGACGATTAGATAGGTTAGATAAGTTAGATGCGTTAAGTTATGTATGAGGTACGTAGGTATGTATTGTAGGTAGCGTACCTAAGGGAGATAAGTAGTAAATGCTATGGAAGTTTTATTGTAAACTGAACAAACAGGACAATTTCCACGTATAAAGACAGATGTGTAGGAATTAATTCAAGGAACAACGGCATGGTCGTAGTTCAGGTCGTCACGTAAAAAGGATTTCGATAATGAATAATGGATAAGGAGGAGAAACCGGCGGTTAGATTGAATTTAGAAGCCAAGAAGCTCAATCGATTTGACGAGACTTTGCACGATGCGTCAATGTCCTTAAAACCTGGATTGAGATTGACGAAGTACAACAACACGTCTTAGGTACATGTGATACGGTAGTATAAACAAGCGATTTTTGAGGTACTAATTCAGGTGAATAGTAGGTACATGATTTTCAGCAGATTTCTCCACATGTGGATATGCTCCCTCCCGCTTGCATCCAATGAATGAACCTGCTACATGGTTGTACAGCAGAAATTAAAAGACTGATGTCAGAGGCGCCTGCTCTAAATGACTTGGCAAGCTTAAAACCCCTGAAACGTCCCACTTGATAAGGTCCAGGTTCTTTTATCGTATTGCCGCTGTGCCGTTAAGGTAGTGTAATACCGCTTCATATTTCGGACAAGCTACGGAACACGCCGACTGTGATTGGATCCAACTCACGCGCGGCTGCTCTATGTATAATATTCAAGCGGTTACAACTACAGCCCCGATTACTATTCTCATTGGATTCGCAACGACCTGCGTTTAAGTCGGATATTCCTAGAACAAAGCAACGAGTGGTCGAGACCTCTAGACGAATTATTGTTCAATGTGGCGATACACACAATATGATCAAAAGTAGGTCTTAGACAACTCGGTGGAGCAGCTTACGAAGCAAGCGTGAGCTAGCTTCGTTCTTTAACGACCAAGAAACAGATCTTGGCTCGCAGAATTGATTAAGCTAAAGCCAAGAGACACATCATCATCAAAACTCAACCTAGAAATTAACAGTGCGGGATAGGAATTCCATACTTGTTGTTATTGATCTCTTTGAGGCCTCATCCAAGATCTGCAGGAGTTAAGATTCACCATTGTACAAGTCTCAATGTGGTTCACAAAATACGGCAAAGCGGCACAGATACACTAAAGGGGCTCGAGTTCTGATATTGCGTGCTAGGAGTACCGAGGAATCATGTCTTCTAAGGAAAGCCCACATCATCTATCTGCGTCTTGTGTATTATTCGAGAATTCAGATCGATCTACTGTTCTTATAGACATTCCACGTTCTATTGAGGAGGCTCAACTATTACCAGGACAAGTCCCTAAAATGCGTATTGTTTCTTCCAGTCCAATAGAAATACCGTGGAAAACGCCCGACCCCAAGAAAACAAGCCTAGAGCAGTTAGCCACACCCTCTGCAAGCATAACTGAATTGATGGTCCAAGAAGCTGTTAGATCTGCACTTGAAAAGGTCAAGCAGGACTATAAAGGACCATGGTATTTACCACGTGTTGTAAGGGACACAGGTAAAAATTGCGATGATAGGTCATATCTCAAGGAGTTACACAAGAGGAAGCGAACTTCGGGAGACCCGGCCGACATGGTACCGGAGTCTCTCATTCCAGATCAATCACACTACCTCCTAGGAACTATAGAATCTCAGCGGGGAGCCTTTATTGTAGATGCTCCCATGTTCGATTTAATGGTTCTTGATCCACCGTGGCCTAGTCGATCTGTAAAGCGGAAACGGAATAGCTATACTATTGCATATGATATACAGGAAGTCGGGGATCTCTTAACTCAGATACCTGTTGCATCGCACTTGAAAACAGACGGCCTTGTGGCTGTATGGGTCACTAATAAAGCTGCAATTCCTGACTTGTTAACATCTCCCCACGGAATATTTTCTGAATGGGGCCTCGAACTCGTCGGGGAATGGACCTGGCTAAAGATCACCAGTTCCGGGGATCCAGTCATAGACTTAGAAGCGCAGTGGAGAAAACCGTGGGAGAGGCTATTACTAGGTAGAAAGAGAAGCAGCTCGTTAAAGGCTCCGATCCCAAGCAGGGTGATCTTAGGAGTTCCAGATGTCCACTCAAGAAAGCCAAATCTGAAGCTCTTGTTTCGGAATATACTACCAGAGAACTACGCCGGACTAGAGGTCTTTGCGAGAAACCTCACTGCAGGTTGGTGGAGTTGGGGAAACGAGGTCCTATATTTTCAACAGGGCCATCACTGGGTAGACATAGCAAATGATGTATAGAGACATGGCATCGAACAAGTAATGACCGATCTTTTGCTCGCTTTGCAATGTGTATCTCACACGCAAGTCTGGCCCAGGTCATCCATAATCGCACAGTCGTCCTCTGTTATGCCTATCGAATAGAGACCTTAACCATTGCCCTCCCAGCTCCCCTCCATGCTTGAGAAAGCTTTTTTTTTTTTTTTAATCCTTCGTCATCCTCGCGTTTATTCCCTACGATTGAACCTCGGATCTAACTCCCTATCGTTCTCCCAGTTTCCATCCCTCAGTAACCTCTTCGCCTCCTGCTTCAGCGAAATTCTAGATTTCGACGCGCCTTGCTCGTCTCTTAGAGGAAACGTGCCGGTCTTTTCAGCGTTCTTCTGCCACTTCTCCTGCCTCTCCTGCTCCTTGCGCCGCCTCTCTAGCATTGGTGGATTCCATACGTCCAGGTTTTCCGGGGCATCGAGCCACTTGAACGGCTGGTGCAGTTCCACCGTCATCGTCTTGACTGGTGGTGGCCGGTAAATGCGATGATGCATCTTGGACTGCCGCGGCCGGCGCTGCGTCAGTTGCGATCGTACGCCTAGCACAGGCACATTATATGCGTGCAGCAGGTAGTCACGCAAGTCAAACTTGTTGAATGTTAGAGGTACCCTGAAAGAGGCGAAGTTTGGTGGTTGGTTATCTCGCGGTCGTAGGAAGGCGATCGTGTGATCGGGTCTGTGATGGGACCAATATTAGCTGCGAATGTAAGAGATAGCTAGGTAAGTCGGAAGCGCATACAAGAAGACTTGCTTCTTCCCTATCCGGAAGAACTTTGTCGCCATTGTGCTTCGATAGCGACTACAGATGAGATATAGAGAGATAAGATTCTATACAAGTCTGGACTTTTCACAATATTATCTTGAATTTAGCACATGCATCGATGAGTTCAATTCCTTCTCAACGTCGGCAGGTGAAAATTCCGACTACGCGGACCCACCTCTAGAAGACGGGTACCCAATTCGTTTAGCTTTCAGGTATATGTCCCTGCATGCACATTTACGGAATACTTACCTAGGTACATAATTATATAGATCTCCAGGTTAAACTTCAAGATCACGGATGTGATTACTGAAGGCATTCAATTGAATTCAGGATTTAAAGCTTCTTTTTTTTTTTTTGAAATTAATTTTTACTTCTTTCGTTACGTGCCCAGTAGGATTTTGACACATTCCCATATGCGTTGGCCCCTCCATTCCAGGCTCTTATCTCTTAGGTACCTCCTAAACATCAATACCGTCAACAACGGTACCTTTAACCCACTCATGCTGCATGAACCGGGCGACTTCGTTCGCGGTATCTTCATCTACCAGAATGCTGACTAGATACAGAGCTGCATCTATGCCAGCAGATATTCCCCCCGCCGTGATGACCCGAAGCCCCCCAAGACGCATCGCGGCTCGGCGTGCAATGGACTCACGGCGTCCATTCGAGCCCTTGTATGACACGCTTCCTTTTCTATATCACCAATTAGTAAGTAAGAGTTATTTGTAGTTTAATATGAACGCACCGAGCCACAGAGGGGCGTCTTCCAGCGTCCGACTTGCGACGGATATAGGGGTTCTCATCCTCGTCTCCGAGGTCAAAGCGAAGGTTGTTCACGACATATCGGGCGTCTTCTACGACGTCGGTTCGCTCTTGCAGGTCACGCTGTGCCGCATTGCTGCAGACAATTTCGAATTTGGTCAAGTAGTCTGTGTGAGTAGTGGCAGACAAGCCTGCCAAGATGCCTGCCTCAGCTAGGAAGAGAGATCCGGTGCAGACAGACATCAGGGTGCGCTCTCGGGTATAATCTTTCCTCTGAAGTTCTGCAAAAGCCTCGATGATGGGTATAGGTTCAGAGTGCTCTTTCAGGATAGCGCTGCTATCGACGCTGCCCACCACGATGAGAATATCGAAGTCATCAAGGCGTTCATGGGCCTCCTTGAAGTTGATCTGGGCGCCAATGATAACACCTTGTTGTGACAAGACCTTAGGCTCAGCGGCAACAATTGTGCAATCGAACGCTTTGGTATCTGCAAACAAAACCCCTCTTAGCATAATTACAAGGGAGAGGTAGTTTACAAGCTGAGCATGAATACGTAGGTAGCTAACATACTTTCATCGTTTTTATCGTGGCGAGCCCAGTCGAGGACCTCAAGGGTGCCTACAAAGTCCAACAAGTCAAACTTGTCTTGAAGGGCGAAGAGTACTTGAATAGGCTCATCGGCCACCGCAGAGGTCTTGTGCGCCATGATTGAAAGTAATAGGTAAATTTTTTGAGAGGGGGAGATGAAGATAGAGAGAGATGTGTGTTTTGAAATTCAGTTGCCTATGGCTAAGAAGGAGAAAAGACGAAACTTGAGGAGCGCACAATTGATTGATATTGAATCACGATGAGAAGAATTGAGGTCAATTGCTTTGTTGACAAAGTCGTTCTACGATTCCTTTGAGGGAATAGAGAAGAAAGTTGAATGAGAATGGCCAGACGAATGGAGCGAGGAATTGAACCTATGGGCTGATGGATGGAGTGATTGAGGGGCCTCAGTTTTCAATACCTGCCCACGCCGGAGAGTTACGTAGGACCTATGGAGCTTAGGGAGGGGCTAAGTCAGACCTGTAGGTACCGGACGGTAACTACCCCACATTGAGCATGAGAGGTACCTTCCAGGTAGTATGTATATCATTCCTTTCCTGCCCCTCCCCCAGATTTGAAGCCGCTGTCTAGGGTGCGGAGACCCAAGGATCTACCTTCCCTGTGGATCTAAATGGTCACGCTCTCACCGTAAGAAATACAGTGTCCAAGATAAAATTCGAAGAAGTGCACATGATCAGCCTTCTCGATACAAAACTAAAGAATGCTAAAGCTTGATAAAACTACTTAGGCTGAAATAGTATTGGATACCAATACAGGATAGGTACGTATTTACCAAGAACGATCGCCATCTTGTGTGATTAAATCCCCCTCTTAATCCATCGTACTCTTGGGCGAATAATACTTTTAAATATAGCGCCTTAGGCCGACGTACATTGCATTATATTATGTATCGTAGTACATACATGATTAGGTTTATGTAGATGATTACACTTCTTGTACGGCACCTGCAGGCTTGAAGCGGCCTAAACGAGTCGGAAGGACCCACCACGAAGCTTGAAAAAAACAACTGATTTGCTAAGATTTGAATGGAACCAAAGGCTGACACGGTTCCACGGTCCCACGGTCCCACAGTCCCAGGGAACCTCCTCGGAACTCGATTGAAAGCTCCTGCAGCTCTACTATGCGCATCCTCGATCCGGAAGTCTACTTCGTGACAGCTCATTAACCCCTACCAGCCGATTGTTTCACTCGAACCGCTCCATTTGGAGCTTCGGTGTCAATGTCTTCAGCTCCGTATGTCGATTTCGTCACCCAGAGTTCCGTCCCAAGTGATCAAGGCCTCTTTGTTACTCCGAACACAAAGCCACTGCATCCACCTATCAAAGTGGAATCTTCACGCGCTAACATATTGTCTACAATCTTAGGACCTTGAGGGAGCTTACGAAAGCCATACATAGCTTCATACCGACAGCGAAATATCCGCTACCCGACGATCTTGTCGAGATTATCGAAGCCTTCCTGAACAAGCATGAGAAGTTCGACGAGAGTATATCCGATAAGGTCAACGATGAACTACTCTCCTTATTCCATAGAGATGTCGCCCAGGTACCTTCTCGATATACAGCATTTGTTGCCCTCCTTCGCCGTTTACGCCCTATAATCGGACAGCCGAGCAAGACATTCCAATGGTTTGACTTATTACTTCTAGTACTGAACCATCTAAACCAGGAGAGAGGTCTTGCTTCTGAAGTAGAGGGTGTGTTACTAGAAATCCTTACTGCCGACGATGGTAATGACACTAGTACCCCCACGGGGGGTGCTGCTCCTCGACTTGCAGAGCGCATCTTACTGCTATGGCTCGATGAGTACGAAGCTATCGGGAAAAGCCCCGATGTAATGACAGAGTTCAAAGAGAAGCAGTTGCGAAAGACTTTGCTACACTATGGGAAAAGACGCCCAAAAGTATGCACTAATGATCGATCCGTGCTCTAAACAATGTGCTAAATAGACTTAGGATCTCTTGACTGTTCTCGACCTCTATGTGGCCAAAAAGACGTATCGTGCCCGCGCTCTTTCATTCCTAGGTATTTTCGTGCAAAGCCAACCGCCGCATCTACATCTTATCCTACAAACGCCTCTATTTAACAACTTAATCAACTGCCTTCAGTTAGATACGTCTACAACTATTGTTTCCTTAGCCTTAACTGCATTAACCATGATCCTTCCCCATATGCCAAGTTCTCTCGTCCCTCACCTACCCACGCTATTTAACATATATGCGAGGTTGCTCTTTTGGGAACGAGAGTTGTCTGCTCAAATGGCCGTCGATACGGACCTGGACCGAAGGTTGTCTCCCAATGCGCTTGCTTGGGAAAAGCTCGCATACTCAACTAACTTCGACGACACGGCTATCCCGCAAATCCTTCATTACTTCACGGTGCTATATGGACTCTACCCTATCAATTTCATGGACTATATTCGAAAACCACAAAGATACCTTCGACACGCCGAGGTCCCTGATGCTGACGATGTTGAGGTCCAGCCTACCGAAATACGTCACGCGTCTGAGAGATTTCGACAGTGTCATCTCCTCCACGAGAACTTCTATACTCTCACTATTGATTCAGAGAAAATGGACTTCGGAAGATGGATCAAAAGTGAGCCAGCCGAAGTCGTAGCTGACTGTGTGGCCCTCTACCGGCCAAGTGAAGCATTCCCTGCCCAGGGCATCCCGAATATAATTCATGGCATACATGAAAGAGATGAGCCTGAAAAGAGTAGCCATGAGTCTGCATTACTTAGTAGTTCCTATCCTTTTGGCAACCCCATATTTAGTCCCCTCCAAGGAGACAACCGGCGGAATACCGGGTCAACTTTTACTGAGTCTATCACGAGTGGTCGTGTACAATCTGCCGTACTACGTCAGTCATCTATAAGCAGTCACCATTCCAATCGCGATAGCTCAAGTCCCAGACCGTCCGGAATTGGTAACGAGAGTCCAACTTTGTCTCGCCAAATTGTCCCGTCCGCATCTCAAACTCAGCTTCAAGACTTGCTGAATTCCAACAAAGCCATCAAATCTGGGCTGCATCAATCAATGCCGAATGATAGCGTTCCATCTCTTTCCTTGAGCTACCACGAGTCCATTTCAGACATTCCGGGATCGCAACTTCAGTCGAACCCACAACAGGCCAATGCATCCTTATCATCAACCGAGAGCAACAGCGCCCAGATTGCACATTTACAACGCCAGATATTACTTCTGTACAATGACTTGACATTTGAACGATTTATGAAGCAGCAGCACCTTACCCATATGGGTGAGCTACGAAGGCGACACGTACGGGAAGCAGCAAGCGAGGCAGACACCCAGAACTTGATCATACAGAATCGTCAGCTTAAGCAACAAGTCAAGAACGCAAAAGAATCGGAAACGCAGGCGAAGAGAGAGTCCGAGAAGAGTCGTACACTCTCGAAGAAGTGGGAAGCTGATCTCACCGCCAAGCTAAGAGCACTTCGTGAAGAGCAGAAAAAATGGAATGCGGAAGGGGATATTTTACGATCCGAATTAGACACGGCGAAACGGGACGCAGAAAAATTACGATTATTAGTTTGTGAAGCCGAAGTTAGAGAACTAGGCCTGAAGCAAAATATGCAGTCTGTCGAGATCAACGTCAGTGAGCTAGAGAGATTGAGGAAAGATGTGGATCGGTTGACAGAATCTGAACGAAATTATCAGGCCAAAGAGACAGAGCGTCAACTTGCAGCAACGCGCGCGGCGGAGGCAGACAGCCGAGCTGAGGTACTAGATATGAAACTCAAAGCCTGTGGTTCTGATATCCAGCAAACACATGACACATACCGTTTACAGATTGCCGCTCTCAATGCCAAGCTACAAGATCTACTTCAAGATGGTAGAGGGCGCAATTCTGATAACTTAAAGTTGCAGCTTGAGAGCGTCCTAACAGCAAGCCGGGCGCAGCAGACGGAAATGAGGAGCCGCATTACAGAGCTTACGAAGAAGAACACAGCTTTACAAGCAAACATACTGGAATTGCAGTCCACAATATCCAACCTCTCGAAGCCAGACCCTCATCTTCCTACCGACCCCGAGTTCGACCTATCTTCTGATTCAGGTAGTCCATTAACCCATCGAAAGCGCCAGCAGCGCGGGTTTTCCGAGTCGGAGATATTTGAACCAACGTCGTACAATGCCACCCCGCCGCTTGAGCCGTATAATACCGGCGTAGAAGGCCAGATTCGACGGCCATCCACGCCGCTGGTTGATCCGCTCCCAACAGGAAAAGGCAGCCCTACCGCAGAGCGATATTTCGGACGAGGTGAGTTTTCCTTATATAGTCCCGTATTGAATATCACGAATGCATACTAACTCTACTAGGGGGTGTACAAAATCTACGTAAGGACAAGAAGGAGAAGAAAGACGAGAAGGAGAGAAAGAAGTCAGTTGGCCTACGTGGTATTAGAGGATTCGTCTAGGTTAGCCGACTGGAATCTAAGAGACTGAACTGCCTATTCATAGTCCTTATGCGAGGATCATTGGCGACTATTTCGAATTCAATCTAGATCTAGACCATAGAGTCAAAAGCCATACACTAAAGGGGAATAAGGGCAACTATATCCCTTGCTTTGTGTAATGAATGTGGCATGCTATACATAACTCGATACATTTACACCTTAGAGCAATTGCGGAACATCCAGATTCCAAAGTCACGTTGAATTTAATTTCATAACAATACCAGCATTCGTAAAAATCGTATATCGTACCTCTTTTAGCCATCTACACGTATACCTACACTATATTACCCATAGACAAGATGTTGTCTTTAGTTTAATTAGATATAGTTCCGTTAGGAATCTACATTAAAAGTTATTCTACAATAGCAAAGTATATTTATACCAAAGGGTTTAACATAATCTAAAATTATAATTTATATTCATATTTTCAAATCAATGCAACGCATATTACTTTACTTCCATGTACCAGAACTAGTTTAATGGTATTCGGTTGTATTTTCTAGTGTTAGAAGAACTGTCGAAAAATAACAAGTAAGTCTTGCACTGCGGCCGGGAAATTAATCGTTTGCTGTAGTGTAAGTCCGGATAGCTCGGGTATATCCGATGACAAGTCTTTTCTCCTGTCTTGTAACTTAGGTAATACCGATTTACATACATACTCGCCTACATGCCGTTAGCATACAGCAGACAAATAGACGTAAACGATTTCATCATCATCGCCTACATGCCGCTGTTAATCTGATATCTTAATTTTTTTTTCTTTGCCACTTCTTTCTTCTGCTCCACGAGTTACGCTCTACCTACGTATTAGGTACATATCATTTCTTGTAACTGTAGGTATTTCGTATAGCCGAGGAGGGACTTTGTGGGTGATAGCCTATCTATGAATTGCTAGTTTCTTAGTTGCTAGCGAACAGACGCCGCTAAGTCTCCGGTCCAACCCAATGAGTTGGTTAATGCAGGAACAAAATGCAAGCCCCAATGCAAGAGTAAGGGGCCCCCGCAAAAGCGCATTACGTATCATAGCCGCGTAAATTCAATCTTACAAATTTGTTTATTTGTTTGTTCCTTCTTTTCTCCTAAGCCCTACTAAGATTCCATAAGACTTACCTTACCTAAGGTACCTAACCTTCCCTAGATTATTGTTTTCTAGTTCTAGATGATGGCAAAGGCTTGGAATGCTTCATCTGATATCAATAAAACAACCTAAGGTTAGGTATCTAATCTGCAACGTAACTTTACAGTGTATAGTGCACTGTTTATACTGTTACTTTTACGAAGATCATGGCTGTTAGTCAAGTTTATGGGTCTACACTAATACGAGGTTGCTGCACGTCATCGTCTGACTATCAATTTCTTTTACTAACTTGACTTGTAAATGTTCCATTTGACCAAGTTAAACAGCAAGATCTTATGCTGATGTTGTGAATAACCACTTAAGGTAGTTATACACTTTCGAAACTAAGGATAAATTCAATCAGACACACGTCCTTGGTCTAAAACGAATAGTGAAAAGTCCGATATGTTGTACAAGTCACAGCATTGCCGTTTATTCTTAGAAGTTGCGATTAATGAATCGATCGAAGAGATTCTAGCTTGGAAAACGGGGACTTGATCCGCATAGAGATGGGGCGCAGTAGGTCCCCTCGGAGCTTGTTTCCTGTCTTCTTACAGGGGTAATATAAAATAACCCTTTTTGATTGGATCGATTCGTAGCCACTTAAAGACTCCACTCTTTTGTAGGGACCAAGATGGGAAAGCAGGGAACGCAAAGATGGGGCCAAAATGGGGCCGTGGCGTTGACAGCCTAGACTTTGTAGAACATCACTAAGAATCGGCAAGTGCCATTGGATATATTATTGATTTTTGGCGTATCCTCGCCAGGAACAAGCTTACTTGCATTTGATAGTTCCTCATACCAGGGCCTACCTTAGGTAATGGAAGAAATAACAAAATATTTTCAAGTTCAAGTACTATTTTTATTACGTGTCGGTACAAGTATCATGCCATCTGCCCATGTCACCACATGTCTTCCTAGGTAGTTTTTCATCTTTCATCCGTATTCCTATGCCCTGTATATCCTAGGTAGATCTTCGACACGTGAACTTTCTCTCCTTCATCTTTCTTAAGTACCTACTTGTCTTTCTTGGTTTACATTCACTCTTAATTTTCTTCTTGTAACCAATCTTGACTACCTAGACCTACACTCGCTTTACTTAGTTCTATCTTTGGTTTGCTTTGCTACGTCAGGCCGACATTCTCTCTTCTCAGCCTGAATCACTGCACTTACCTGACCCTCCAACAGTGGCTATCTAAATAATTTCGTTACCTGGGAGAATAGAAATTTTTATTTAAGTCAAGAAAAATCCTAAGAACTTTCAACATCAACTAGGAACATTTCGAACACTTCGTATAACTTCCTAATCAATCCTCCTCCCTAAGTTGACCACTATGCACGCCGTCGCTTCTATTCTTGCCTTGGCCTCCACGGCCTCAGCCATACAGGGATTCAACTATGGCTCTACCTTTACCACAGGTGCTGCCAAGCAACAGTCTGACTTCGAAAACGAGTTCACCGTCGCTCAAAACCTTAAGGGTACTTCTGGTTGGACCAGCGCTCGTCTCTACACTATGGTGGTAAGTACAAGAACTAATAATAAAATCTTATTATAAACTGTTTATCTAACTTTTTGCGTGCGACTTTAGCAAGGCGGAACTGCTTCTGATCCAATCTCTGCCATTCCTGCAGCCATCAAGACAAAGACCACCCTTCTTCTCGGCCTGTGGGCGTCTGGAGGTGACACTTCGTTCGCTAACGAACTTCTCGCCTTGAAGGCCGCTATCAAACAGTACGGAAATGATTTCACCAAGATCGTAGATGGTATTTCCGTTGGTAGCGAGGATCTATACCGAAACTCGCCAATGGGAATCGCAGCTGGTTCCAACGTCGGTACCGGCCCCGAGACTATTGCTCGCTACATCAAGGAGACGAAGGATGCTCTCTCTGGCACTGGCTTAGAGGGAACTCCTGTCGGTCACGTTGATACCTGGACTGCTTGGTACAACGGTACCAACCAGGCTGTTATTGATGCTTGTGACTGGGTTGGCATGGATGCTTATCCTTACTTCCAGGACACGATGACCAATGATATCTCCAAGTCCAAGTCTTTGTTCCAGGAAGCATTCGACAAGACTCAGCAAGCTGCTGGTGGGAAGTCGGTCTGGATTACTGAGACGGGTCACCCGGTTAGCGGCAAGACTGTTGGGCAATCTGTTGCCTCGACGGACAACGCTGAGACTTTCTGGAAGGATGTCGTTTGCCCTCTGCTCTCGAGCAAAACGAACCTGTGGTACTATACCCTACAGGACGCTGCCCCCGATACTCCCAACCCCAGCTTTGGTATCGTCGGTAACAAGCTCACCACTACGCCCCTCTTTGACCTAAGCTGCGACAAGTCCAACTCTGGCTCTTCCTCTTCCTCTTCTGCCAGCCCCTCATCTACTGGTAAGGGTGGCTCATCCTCGACTGCTTCCGGATCCGGTGCTTCAACCACTAGCTCTGTTGGAAACTCCGGTGGCAGCCCAGGTGGTGTGCCTAGCGGCCAGGTCTCCAGCGAGGAGTCTGCTACCGTGACGCCTACGGCTATCAGCCCGATCTCGACTGGTACAGGCTCCAGTGGTTCTGGCTCAGGTGCTAATGGCACCTTCACCGCGCCTCCGGCCGCTACCTCTACCATTCCCGCTAGCGGCGCCAATGGTCTGCAGTCCGGCGCCTTCGCCGCTGCTTTCGGAGCTATCATGGCCGCTATCTATGCACTATAACTGGTGGTATTGATGACGACCTACCAAATTTCTATTTTAGGGCTATTATGGTGATCGGCGTTATGAAACGGTCACGCTGATATTGAAGGATGGGTTGGTTGTACTCTAAAGGCATAGGAAGCCATGCTTGAACCAGGGATACTCGGACATAGAAGTTTTATGAACAAAATAAATCCCTTGGGAGGGAAGGACAAACCGATACTAGACCCAGGCACCACATTAAACTTTGTAATATTCTCTCGATAAAAACAGAGAAGGCCACTCGCCGTCGACTTCATGACACATAATTGATCTTTATTCTCCATCTTGAAGTTTTCCTTTATGGTTTCGTGATTGGTTTCGTGATAAGAATCTCGTCATGGGAATTATAATATAGCGTAGGTCGGCTGTTTTGTCATCACAATACGCTTGAGCTATATCCGCCTGTATGTATAACTGATGATGTGACTATTTTTGAGGAAGGCCTCCTATCTATGCGAACTTAGTATCAACCCGCTTCTTATGCAGAGCCTGTCGTTCTTGCATCACATCTGCCTGCTTTGCTTGACTGGAAAGGAGCCCATAATTCATTTTCCTGCTTAGAAGTAATTATGGTCAAACTTCATATAGAAAACGCATTTCATTTGCTCTAATTTACTTCCATGGTCTGCAATAGAATGTGAAGAACATACATAAAATCCATTAGTCTTTTTTGCCGTAGGCTACTAGACTAGCACAATATAACTACGACTTACTCTCATTGAGTCCCAAATCTTACGAATATTTCATGAAGAACAATTTAATTAAATCCACGATGGAATCTTGAAACCAGAACTATCAAATGCTCAAGTATAGGTATATGTCAAAAATATCCTACCCATTTTAACCTTGATGATGGTATACTACATGTAAGGTACCTATATACTAAGGCGATATCACGACATCCCCCAACCCCCAAGTTCACCAACGGCACTAATTCCCATCCTAAGCCAAACTAAGATGAGGCTCACTGCAGGATTGCCCTTCCCAAATACATATCACTCAATCAGCTCGACGTAACCCATGCCAAGCATCCTAAAACGGCAGGACGACGGGAGAGAGTGGAGACAGAGTTGAAAATAGGTTCCGCTCCGCGAAGCACGTCAACTAACACATATAAAACGACATCGTTCTAAGGGTTCGGTAGGGCTATCTTTCAGATCCCCGGGCCACGAACTGCCCAATCGGTCATTTTACTGCTTGTGTTATCTTTAGGAAGCACTTTATTGTCGGGTACCTGCGTGCAGCTAAAGCCGCATCTTCGGATGACTTGGGAAAGCTGCGGGTCTCCTCCACACCTTTGAGGCTCAACGAATCCATACATCTTGCGTAAACCTACATTGTACATACATGTACGAAACTTAGTTAAAAATGTTAGTTACCCGTAGCTTTTATATTTATGCGGAAGTCTATTTTGTCTAATGGCCTAGAAATTCTGACATCGCCTAATCACTTATTATAAAACAAAGTATCCAAGCCATAGCAATTATATTATTATTTTAAAAGTCGTTAAGATATGCAGATACCAACCCCGAAAGATGTTCCACGCTGAATAAGGTAAAAGCGAGCCGGTACCCTAATATGAGCCATTTCTATCCATAAGCGTGTCGGGGGATATCGTCATACCCAAGCCACCCCACCCCCTTTTTTTTTTTAAAAAAAAAATCCCTTTCCCAAACCCATGCCTTAAACGCCAAGCTAATCATCCAAGTAACACCATTTTTCTTGACCCATTTCGTGGCCATATATACCCAAAAATGAGTCATAAATCATCAAAAGTCGTCGTGAAGAGGGATAGCCAATATTGTATGGCTTGAAGCTGGAAATTCAAAGATAGGTGTGCCTGCCGAAAGGCTCACAGCTCGTCATCATTTGTCTCGGTAGTCGTCACAATAGCACGATGCTTCTTAATCATTGCTCCAGTCTCCTCTGAGACGATCTCGTTTCGTTCTCGCTTGACTGCAAAACACTGGAAAGCGCCAATTATGGCGACAAGAGCACTGCCGTACCATGCAAGACCAGTGCAGTCAATCTGCGACCCAATCGAGTAGAGATAACCAGCCACAGGCGGAGCTATCATACGGCAAGCTGCTCCAGCGCTAGCTGCGAGGCCATTCACTTTGCCAAGTACGCACGAGCTAGGAGTTGCGTCCTTAATAAGGATGAGGAGTAGAGGATATAAGATGATAGAGAAGATGTTTCTGACGGTCAAGCAAAAGTAAATCCCGGGGTATAGGAGGGAGTCCGGCACATGGACCAGGGCAGGGACAATGACGTAGGCAATCGGATGGAGGACGGTAACAATAATAAAGAGCCTGAAAACGCCGATCTTTTCGGCGGCTATAGGGAAAATAACAACTTGAACGAAGAGTGCAATAGCTCCATTAATCGCCATTACAAACCCTACGGACTGCATGGATAGGCCCAAACCACCGGGTGAGTAAATGGGATTAAATTTGGAGAAGAAACCCTCTTCTGGAGCATTGTTGATGGGAACTTTATCGTCCTCAAAGAATATGGGGAGGAGATGGTCGTAAGTCATCGAGTGATAGGTAAAGATAGAGAGCGCAACGACTAGAGCTATGATGCGCTTAGTGAAGATAGTGAAGTCGCCATTCTTTTCTGGCACTTTCGAGAAAATCGCATCGCGATTGAATTCACCGCTCTCCCTGCCCCGAAAAGTCCCGTACGTCTCAGAACGTAGATCAACAGCTGGTTGCTTAATCGCATCTGAGGTTTCTATGAGGGGAGTCTCGTCGGAAACATAGGTGTCATCGGGTAGCATAACCCGTGGAACCATATCAGGGTGCGTTTCTTCGAGCAAAAAATATCCCAAGCAAATGCTAATCATTAGAAGAGCAGCACAACAGAGATTGGGAAGGAGATATGGGAAGTTTGCGAAAATTGTGCCTTTCGGGAACGTATCAGGCCAAGACGCATGGGGATCTGCTAGTATTCCTCCGATTGCTGGCCCAATGATTGTTCCAATGGACCAGACAAATGGCATCACGGAATAAGCGCGAGCTACGACATTAGCATGAAGTTTTAGTTAGTCGAAGTGAATTTAGTGGTTAAACTTACGCTCGTGTTCAGGTTTGGTGACCAGCTCGCCAACCATGGTCTGGATAACTGCGATGTTTCCATTTAAGAGCCCGCCGAGTGCTCGACCGATCAAGGCGATCCAGAGGTTTGTAGCAAATCCTACCATAACCATGCTGAACATAGTTCCAATGCATCCTACAAGGAGTACAGGCTTACGACCGATTCTATCAGACAACCCGCCCCAAAACATCCCCATCAGCGCCTCGGCAAGGGCGAATGAGGATATCTAAAAGTGTCAGTAACGGCTATCTATATATCCTAGAAATACTAAATTCACATACAAGGAGACCGGCATAGAACGAGGCATCTTGCTCGTTGCCGACTTTGAACCGCTTGACTAAGGCCCAGGCATACGGAAAGATGGAGGTGAGGGCGATAGGTTCGGCTAGACGAACAATAGCTAATAGAAACAGCTGAATAGTCGGGAAGTCATCGGGATTTCGAGGTGATCTCTGCTTTGTTAGGACCATTGCTTCGCGACTTGGTATCGATCTTACGACTAGCTGACACAACACTTGGCGCTTAATCTTGAGCTGATGAATACTAGAGCAAGAGGACAAGCGTCAAGTGATGTGGCGGCAGGTGATGCCTTCTATTTCCACCAGAAATGCTACTTTCGCGAGAAGCTTTCTTCACGATCTCTTTTTATCTTTTTATCTTTTTTTTTTATCCACGCCACTAGACGTTGCAAAACCGATAGAGGAGGGTAGTAATGGCGTAAGAACGAGTATGTAGATAAGTATAAGACCCTGGATTTTCGGCACACACACACGTCTAGAAATAATGTGACAATGTGAGGAGATGATAAGTAAAAAGTGCTTGCATGTGCAGTATCTGCATGAGAAGAAGGAGGTAGTAGGGTAGGGTGAGCAGAGAAGAACAAGGAGGACCGCATCAGAGAAATATACTATGAATCGGAGGTTGCTACACTAGAGAAAAATGTGGAGATGCACTAATAATATTTTGAAGGTTCCTCAATTATGGTGGACCTGCCGTGGGTTTCTACATACATAAGCTAGTGAGTTTTACTAGAGTACTTTAAGTGGTTTAGGTAACCTCATTGGTGACCAAATCATACCTGAGTTTAAGGAAACTCCGTGCACTAAGTGTAGACAACCAAGATATCATCGTCAGTTCCACCGGCTTCATCCACAACTTACGGTAAACTGGTTCAACCAATATCAACTCACTGCCAGTATCCGATTAGAGCCCATCATTACTCGCCTGTATTGTTGAAACATGTTATGTACCTATTATTGTAATACAGGAACTGTCTACATTCCAATCCTTCTCCTTACTTTGCACAGCTCCTATCCATCTGTTTAACAAAGTCGGCGCCTCTACATGCGTCGGCAGGATGTCGATCTCACAGTCGAGAGTACCTAATACAGTAAAAATCAGATGGGCCGTCCGAGCAATGGCCGATATGATCAACAAGGCACCAGCCGGATAATAACAGTAACAAAATTGGGTTTGGCGGTCTGAGAGGTGACAAGCCATGCAGTCTACCTACACTACTTCTTCATATCATCCAAGATCATAACATCTAGTGTAAGTTATCGCATATAGACACATCCCCTACTATGTTGCCATGTAAAAGCTGCTGATGCAAGCTTGTCACCTTGTTGGTTCCCGCTGCAAAGTATGCAATGCAGAAGGCAAAAACGTTACATCGAAAATGGAATAACATCTCGATGCTAGGTCCAGGTTTGTAGATGGAACCTAGAACCTTGCGATCTACGGTCAACAAAGCCAACCAATCAATTAATACGGATTCTGGAAGACATGTGGGGTTTATAAACTGTTCCCTGCCGTACTTGCGGCATCGCTTCAACTTTAGTTACGCACAGACGTATCAATCCGCTCAAAATTTTCAGCCACTCCCTAATTGAGTTATCTCTTATACGCTAATGGCGGGGCAGAAAACGCTAGTAGCATCTGAAGGCCTAGTCTCTTAGATCCACTCCGTTTCTTTAATACAACCGTTACTGTTATTATTCTAGATTCCTCTCGAAAGAGTCAAACGCCCTTTTCTATTCACCTCTAAACAATCCTAATGATAGCAGAAACGAGGAGGAAGAAAGAGGGGAACGCAGAAGATGATGCGGAGTCACCGCTCGTCTCATGAACCTCATCTGACAACTCAACTTAGATCTTCAGTTTCACACCAGCACACGAGCTACATATTCGAGAGACTAGGAATCCAAAACGCCAGCTAATGTTGTACCTAAGATCTTCATCTTATTACTAACATGCTTACAACATGTCTATAACATGTCGAAGCACCGATAAATACCTGTCATATATATATAATTGCGCAGCGGCTATAAATGCATGACACATATAATCCATCTCTACAGTTCACATATTAAGCATTATCGAAATACGCACGTTAACTAGCGCAAGCCGATATCGTGTTCTAATCTCGGCTTAAATACGCTACGCCCGACACCGGAAATTTCTAGCGGCTAACTTGGAGCTAGGACTGCCCTGGACTGCTCACTTCTGTCACTTGATCAACTAAATCTACTTCTCCAGTTTTCGTTTAACTTATGTACCCAGCTTACCTAAAGCCTTCCTCAAGAACAACGCCTATTCAATCTAGAATGAGGACGATGTTTAATATCGTACAATTAGATTTCTATAAATCCGTATGAGCATCATCTTTTAACTGGCCATAGAACAGCAGAGGCGGTTGGATAACGAACTAATGAACCAATGAACTACCCAGGACTTGACCCCAGGACTCGACCCCAAGTCCCGCATTACCAGTCGTATTTTTATCCACACATCACAAACTTGTCTGTTATATTTACATAGTACGCTTCCTTATCATATGGTATCCATACCGACATACGCAAGGTTTCTCGCAAAATATCCATACTTGTTACCATGCAATGCGATGCAACGCCCCCTTCCTGTGGGACCCATAACACTATTGCATGAGTTTCTTGCATGCGGCTAGCCCTCCATGCGAACGTCAATGGCCGTTCCGGGCCGCTACTCCCAACCTACTCTTTGCATTGGTGCAATATCGCACTCTGTGACTCGTCGGATGTTGATGATCAGAGTAACGAAAATGATGAGAACCCTTACTGTGTCATTATAACCCCTCAGCCCTGTCGTGGACCCCCAAGTCCCTGAAGGTAGTGGGTGTTACGACTTAAGGGACGCTGTTGTGGTACTGGAGTAACCCTTTCTATGAATTCGTCAACACATCAAGATTCAAAGGGTCTTCCTATAGGGTTGCTTTTGAGCTACCCCCCCTCTCTTTTCCGAGATTTGTGCGATGCGAGATTATTGTCAAACAAGCAACTGTGAGCCGTTACCGCGACAAGCTATCGATATACTTGATCTTCGGGATAGTATACTCGCATACCTAGAATACCTTGGGAAGTATATACGACACACCCTTGCGTCATCCTAACTAGTCGCATCGAATTTAGCAACCGTATCTCGATGACCTTTCTTACTGCAGGTTTGAGGTATTATTTCTACATGTAAGTACGTAACCGCGGGACTCATCCGCGGACATATTGTGACTCGCCCAATGAAGAAATACAAGATAGCGATCGATATATTCTCTCATTGTCAGGAAGGTCATCCTTTGTAGTGATACATAGGTTAGGTAGACACATCTCGATGACATTGTCCGAGACTGATATTAAGCCCGCAACGGCACCATTAGGTAACTGTTTCTACCTTTCGCTAAATCGGTATACTTCAAATCCTTTGTGGATTCCTAAGCGAAGCCCGATTAATTACGGCACCAACTCAGCCGCATGTATGTTACCCAAGCCTCACGTATGCTACCTACATGTAGGCGAGCTACCTAGTGAGAAGTCTGGGGTACAAGACTATGCTGGGTCTATGTATGGTGCTATATTGAGGCCCTGTCCAAACGCGAGGATCCAGCGAGACATTAAATATATTTACTGAGGACCCGGATGTGTTGCCACGTGATTCTGTCTATATATTTTTGGCCTCTATATTCTGGGTGTGCGCTATTGTGATGTCCATGTCTTGCGTATATACCTAGGTAGGTTGGTATATAATAGATAGTATGATAAGTAGTCTGAGGATATAATTACTTTCATGCCAAATGCCTGCTATATGTTTTATTACTTAGGTACCTATTGCAAGTTGATCGGTTTTCAGCTATCTATTTTATTGGCTCGCATTCTAGGATATTATGAGGCATTGTAAAGAGTATACCCGTATATTGTATATGTCGAACTCTACTGTTCATATACGTAACACATCCATGTACGTTACCGACGAGAGCATTATTCTATACCTAATAGACCAGGCGTTATGATTTAAAGCTGAGGGGCTAGAAGGTACCTGCATTTGCCCATAAGTCTTTTATTGTTAATTCTATTCCACAAGACCTCTACTACATGATTCTATTTTCAACTTTGTCTAGATGTATAACATTTTAAATTAAGAACCGTCGTACAAACAATAAGGAGGCATTTCCTTCCATGTTCATTAGTACAGGTCCTCTCCTGGGTCGCAACATTATTCACAACCCCAACCCATTCCTATCCCCCATCTCTATCATAACTACTAGTACAGCTCTCATACACACTGCGAAACCTCAAAGAACCTCTCAAGCTCGTCGAATGAAACCCCTAGGAGCTGCGATAGTCGGTTCCGCAGATCATCTAGCGAGATCTCAGACATATCCGGGCTCAACAGGTGCTCCTCCTCCTCCTCCTTAACAAGTTTTACGGGTCTAGGTGCTGGCTTCTTCATCAGCCTATCGTTGTATTCGTATACTAGATTTGGCTTTTTTCTGATCTTAGGAACGGGGTTCCGCGGGGGTTGCGGGAACATATCTAGCTTGATCTGAATACTAGGGGAGCTAGGCACGACGCTCTTGTTAGACGTTATTGCTGTTTGGGGTGGTGGTGGAGGAGGAGACATGGGCGGCATAGGGGATGGTTTAAGCTGGGGCCGTGGCTTTGGTTCCTCAATTACGTCGTCAGTGGCAATAGGAAGGTCGAGGTCCGGACATAGGTAGCCGTCGTACTGCGGGATGCGGAACCGTGCCCCAGTAAGCCGGTTCCATACACAGCCTTGTCCAGTGAAGTGGAAGTCTGCGATTGTAGCCGTTGCGTGCCTACCCCCTGCGGCGACTTCCGGACATATGCCAACGCCCTTGACAGCCGGCTCTAGCGTCTGAGGTCGGATCAAGTCCCTTCGAAGATCCTTGCGTGATGCCAGCCAGTCTTGCTCAGAGAAGAGGCGAGATACGCTGTCAAAAAATGTTAGGTATTTTTCTTACTAGAAAAATTGCTTTATGGGAGTGAGGGCTTACTAGTCAACGGGTATTGAGTAGTGAGCGCGGTGTTTCGGTCGTAGACGGTGGAAATCCCAACTCAGTACCTGCTTCCATGCGATGCCGACTGAAAAGTCCAAGCTCTCTTTTAACTGAGCATTATTTCTAATCTGTACCGGTATCCAACCGCCAAATATAGATGCGACGAAGCTATCTCCCAGTTCCATCTCAAGATCAGCGCCGTAAAAAGGTTCGCGTAGATCATGTGTGAGAGCCCGACAGTCCTTCCAGTAAATGGCATGACCGAGTCTGAAAAGCAAGAAGACTATCAGTATTGAAATTCATCTTAAACACAGGAGATAAAGAGTAGGTGATTTACTCATGTAAAAGCGTAACGGCCGTCATGAACGCCGTCAAGAGATATTCCTCGCTCTGTTCCTTCCCCTCGCATCTCAGCTGAGCCAAGCGCTTAGGGAACTCTACCGTGACTAAAATTGACAGGTTGCGGCGTCGACGGTTCTCGCATTTCTTATCCCACCGCCGTATAGTCTCATACTTATCAAGCTCATCCAGCATCTGCCCATTCCGTGGATGTCGACAAGTGTACCCGGCCCATCCACGCTCATGGAACATATCCTCGTCCAGTTCCCACTTTAGGGAATTCGACATCTCACCCTTAAGCTTGCTCTCCGCGGTACGTGTCCATCTGCTTTTAAGCTGTGACGAGGCCCATGGAGCATGGTGATGTCTCACGATCGTCCGTGGCGCTGCCTCATTGTCATCTACGCGAGCAGTGGAAGAATGCGTAAAACTACAGCGACAGCTTGGCTTCCGACCGGGGTAACCTTTAATGAAGACGTCGTGGGTGAGGAAATCAGAGGCCCATGGCAGTCCTGCGGCCTCTAGGAGTCGACTCGCAAGAAGGAGCGGCTGTTTCAATTCTCTACGTAGCTCTTGATTTATATCTTTCCAATTCGAAAATACTGGATGGATTTTGCCTCGCAAATTAAGACGTCGCAGTTCTGTGGTTCCTAACTTAGTTGTTAATTACATAGTAGCTCTTATCGAATAAGATGGGATGATAGGAAGAAAGTCAGTTTTAAGTACCTATAGCACCACATTTCCGAAGTTCCTCTTTATTCCAACTCTTCGGGGTTGAGCCGGGCTGCGTCGAAATTCGGCCATGTCGAGTTCTAGTCGTCTGCGGTGTCATTATCGTCTTCTCAATTACTCAACAGCTAATCGTACTGATCATTCGATGGGGAAAACGCTAAGCATTTCGGACCATGGTAAAATAAATTATACCCTTCGGAAATATCTTTCAAAGAGTTTAACATTCCAACCGGGTTTCTAGGGAGGGGGGCATGGAATGGGTAACCCTAATGTGTGGTCTATTAGTTTGTCGATTATCTATCCCTCCCCTCTACTCCTTTGTCTAATCCGGCTGAGCCACGTTCCCGGAATAATATGCCGTTCCAATAATATTCATCATCGTCGTCAGTTCGTAGCCCTAGATAGGTCGCCTTAAATCTCGCATACCTCCTAGCTCTCATACTCCATCCTCCTATCGCCGACCACGTTCCAAAACTCCTCTACAAGCTCCTTTTGCCCACTGGGCGCGCCGCGCACCGCGAAGTATTTGCGCCCGTCGATCTTGGGCTCCCAGTCTCCCGGGTTGCCGCTGACCATAATACCACCGGCTTCGGCAAGTATTGCCCAGCCAGCGCAGACGTCCCATGCCCAGCAGCCGCCTTCCCAGTACGCGTCAAGCTGACCTGCAGCTACGGCACACAGGTTCAATGCCGCACTCCCCATGCTTCTTATAGATTGCACCATGGCACCTCCAGTGTCTTTGCTTGCGCATAGCTTCTTAAAGACTTCCGTCTTGACCTCGAAATTGACGCCATCTCGGCTATTGCCCCATTCGCTTGCTAACATGCATGTATACAACTCCTTTAGAGGCGGGGGGTTCTTAGACAGCGGCAACTTAGCTTTGCGCCCTTTGCCACCCTCGAGTCCCCAGACGGCGCCTTGCGTTAAATACGCACCCTGCCCGCGGATTGCGGAGTATAGCTTATCTTGGTAAGGGTTATACACGATTCCGACGGTGGGGATCCGGTCGACTGCGAAGCCTAACGAGATGCAGGCCTCCGGGAAGTTGTGTACGAAGTTGAGGGTACCATCGATAGGGTCTACGATAAAAGTCGGGACTGTAGTGACTTGCATTCCTGGCTTATATGTCTCCTCGCCGATGAAGGCGAAGGTAGGGTAGGCTTTGGAGAGTCGCGAGGAAACGAGAGCTTCAACGGCTTTGTCGGTTTCGGTGACTATGTCGGCGGCTATACTACATCGTTAGTAAATAATGATGGAGGGGTAAGCGATGGAAATAAACCATACAATTCAATTTAGTTCCCGTATCTATATCTTGAGGGTTCGCAGATAAGATCATACGGCCGGCCTCGTGGGCCACCGATATTAGCGTATCGTGAATCTCTTGAAGATTTAAGTCTGTCATGATGTTTGCCTTAGAGTCTCTAATATACTAAGTTTGAGTTGAGCAAAAAAGAGTATTATGAAGCTTAGAAGCTCTAGGTGTAGGATATAAAATATTTAGGTGGGGTAGCAATGACTAGCGTTGATGGTGTTGATGGTGGGGTTAATGATGTTCGACTTTGACCGCATGTGGGAGAGCAAGGGTATACGATTGGTTAATACAGACCATGAGTACTTTGTATATAAGTACCTAGATACCGATATGCTACGTTCCTTATGTAGTTACCTATAGTTTACTTATAGTTTCTCATTAAATTTCAATATCCGAGATTAGAATCAATGTTATCTTTTTTTCAATCAAGTTCCTTAATTGTGTATTAATAATTTCTCTATATTGAGGTTTGTAGATTTAAAAGACTTAACTATACTATGTACATAGTTAAGAATAAATGTAAACTCCCCTGACTAGTCGCTGCGGGGCTTAACTGGCTCCGCTATTCTGACGTTAACCCGTCAAGCCGCTGGTACGATTTATGAAATACAATGTACATGATTTGAATAGTTACATTATCGAAGAACAGTTGCAATATCTCAAGTAGGGTATATTAAATATAGGTACTTGTATACACAGAAATAAGCCTATTTGACTATACATATATCCAAACGAATATATACCTACCCGCAAAATGGCAACCAGTACAAGCAACAAGGGACAACTCCCATTCATCACGGTTTTGGGGTCTCTCAACATGGACCTAGTCTCCTACGTCCCACACCACCCCCTTCCCGGCGAGACTTTAACATCAAACCGCTTCGCCGTGTCCCCCGGCGGCAAAGGTGCCAACCAAGCCGTCGCCTGCGCTAAGCTCTCCCGGTCCTCATCCCACTCTACCGCCGACGACCCAACGGCCACCGCCCGCGTCCGCATGCTCGGTGCCGTGGGCCAGGATACATACGGCACTCAGCTTCTCTCCAACCTCTCGCGGCACGGCGTCGACGTCTCCGGCGTCACCGCCTCCCCGGCTCTCAAGTCGGGCTTAGCCATCATCATTGTCGACGAACCGACGGGACAGAACCGCATTGTCTTGAGTCCCGAGGCAAACCACAGTTTACTCTCGTCGCAATTCTCCCAACCGAACTCTCTTGGGGATCCACTCCCGGACTTGCTGATTATGCAGCTTGAGATCCCACTCCCGACGGTTGTCGCCGCACTGCGCGCCGCTAAAAATGCCCACGTGCCAGTCCTACTAAACCCGGCTCCGGCGCGGGAGTTGCCATCCGAGGCGTACGCGGGGCTTGCGCATCTCGTTGTCAACGAGACTGAAGCCTCAATTTTAGGCGGCGTACCTGAATCCGACCTCGACACCGAGGCGGGGCTCGAGGCCGTAGCGCAGACGTTCCTATCGCGCGGCGTACTGAATCTCGTCGTCACGCTCGGTGGGCGAGGTGTGTTTTACATGAGTAGCGATGGCCAGAAGGGCCTCATACCCGCTGAGAAGGCCAAAGTCGTAGATACTACTGCGGCTGGGGATACGTTTGTGGGTCAGTATGCGCTCGAGGTGGTGTCCGGGAGCTTCAATATAGCCGACGCAGTGAAGAAGTCGAATCGCGCGGCTGCGAAGACGGTGGAAAGGCTAGGAGCGCAGGACTCGATACCCTGGCGTGACGAGTTATGAGAAGACTAGACTATGTATAATATGATAACTTGTGAGGGATAAAATGAAGTAGAATGTAGCCACTTCGAATTCTGTAAAGCAAGAAGCCCTGTACAGCTAGACTATCCAAAAAGTTTCACCGATACTCTCATTAACGGAATTATTCTATAGTTACGTCTAACACCATCCACTTTCTAATTAAGTATTCACCACCAACCTCCTAAGCTCCAGCGTCCCTCTCGTTTACGCTTGTCACACTGCACTTCTTGTCTATCAGGTGGGCTCAGGGAACCAAGAGTACTGTCATCCCTACTTCCCGGATCTGTATCGATCACTGACGGCACCAAGCTCTTTAGACTATCGGCACCTATAGACCTCCTATTGCGCACTGCGGTCTCCCGTATCATCTCCCGCTGCCGCTGAACCTCGGACCTTGACTCGGGCCGCGTCGACCTCGGACGTATGATTGCGTTGGAGTTGGGCGCCTCCACAAAGGTCGTAGCGGCGGGGAGTCGGTTGGCTTTGCTCACGTGAAAGGCTGGGCGGTTGCCGGAGGACGTTCGGCGCAGTTCTGTCCATATTTTCCGGGCTGGGTCAGAGATTCTATTCGGGGACAACCGCTTGAGACTAGCTTGCCGGTGGGGGACGGGAGGAGCTGTTCCTGTCCGGTTTGGTACTTGGAGGATACCTCCAGTTCCGCCGAGTTGTTCCATTCCCATCCATCTAGCTACCCTACGGGAGCTCGGTCGATTTGATATGATTCTTTGCATGATTTCATTGGCACGGACTGGCCCCCAGTGAGAAGCAATGATAGGAAATAGATGATTAGTTGTAGAAATTAGTCGAGGAGACCACGTAGACGTTGAAGTATGCTGCTTTATAGTCCCTGTCACTACCGTTTCTAGTCGAGTTTGATACATCGAGACATTGCCTGCAGCATCGTCTTCAGTAATATTGTCCCCGAATGCAGGAAATCCTGAATGACAGTAATGAATCCTAACTTGCAGGTATTCAGTCTGGGCACTCCCTAATTGGGTTTCAAGGTCGGCAATAAGACTATCAGGATCATCCCTGGATGCTCTCGATTTTCTGGATTTTGATGTCCCTAGCCGGATACAAGCTAAGAGGAGGAGGCTGGAACCAGGACTTAATGTCCTGTCGGCTCAAATGAGCGCGGATACCCCAGGGCGTGCCAGAAGAACATACCTTATCGTAGTATCACCTATAAGATCGACAATACTGCCTTCCGCAACTGGTAAAATGTCTATCCTCATGTTATATAGATAGCCATATCTTGATAAACCGATATCGTAATGGTGAACAGGTGTGAAAGGAATCTGGTCGGCGTCATAAGTTGAGTTGTCGGCCCGGGGATGAAACAATCGACCCGATATCTCAATAGCTGCCCAAATATTAGATTGTCCATCGTCTAGTGATTTCGACTCAGGCATAATGGAGACATGCGGGACGAGTATGTAGGGATCAGGGACAGTGTCATCCAATCCTTGGGCACTTGTGAAAGAGCGGCTATCGAATCTGTTTGTCTCGAATTCATTAGGATGTGTAGGAGGTATTGAATAGTCAGAATTCGACGAATTATCCCATGAACTAGCCATTTCGCATCTATTAGAAGACTTAAGTATTGACTCATCTGGAGAGTTATTAAAAGCCTGCGAATTGCGCTGATAGCAAGCGGCTCTTGAAGATAGGGTCTTGCGAGTGGATAATGAACGTAGCCTCGAGAGAAACGTAGGAGATGTCGGTCGTCCAGCCTGTAAGCTTGATGACCGGCGAGATACTGGGACTTTTTTAGGTTTAGGAGTGACGAGATCCCAAACATTATCCGAAGCTGTGATTTAGTCGTCAACGGAGTAGACTATTGAATAAAGACCGAAATGTATTACCAGTATTCGGGACGACGCCTCCGGATTGCTCCTGAAAGCTTCGGTCAAGGACTAATTCCTTAACACGAGTAGAAGGTTTCCTTATAATGGATCTACTTTGATATTTCCGATTTTTTACAATGGTCAATGGCTGATTAGGACCATCACCAACACTTTCGTTGCTGATCTTCCTGGGGGTGTAACGGAGGACCTGCATCGACTTTCCCCTCTTTATTATATGTAGCGGCGATGGAATATCCATGCCTGACGACGGGCTATCTTGCATAGTGAACAGGCAACGGCTGGACAATAGACCTAAGCGATTCGTTTCTAACTTGGCCAATGAAACTGCTCTTAATAGTTGTAAAACTTCCTCCTGTATTGTCTATAAGGCTAGTAGGGTGCGTTGGCGCCAGTTGTTCGCTTCGTGACTTTGCTCGGCGGTTGCAGAGATGTGATATGAGATTAAACCCCTTTAAAATTGTTAAAGTGACAATCACAATCAGAACGGCCGGGATTAGAGCAATGGCACAGATTATACCGGGATGAAGTTGTTCGGACATAGCCAATGCTCTAGTTGTTCTCAATCGCAAAATGGATATTGAATTCGAAATTAGGTTGTAAAAGCAACTGAATAGTAGGATTACGAAAAGAATACCAGATACCTCATATGTTGGAGGATTGGTGCTGGAAGGTGAAAAATAAAAATCGGAATGTATATCGTGCCGGGTATCAAGAACTAGAAACTAGAAAAACTGTCCTCGCGAGAGCACGAGAGCACAATGGAAATGCGCCTTCCACCAAATATATATAGGCAAGTTCGAATCAGGAGTCGTGATTCAAGGTTCGTAGAAGATCATCTTTTATAGCATCCACGTCACCGTCCTCCACATTCAGAAAGCGAATCTAAGTAGCTAGGCATTAGTAGCTGCGCATGCTTACCCTAGGTTCTCAAAGTACAAAGTGAATAGGGGTCAAACTTACAACATCATCAGCAGCACCCACTCCACCAAATAAGACAGGTTCAGACAGACTTGCAGTCACAGCTTTCTTGACCCTTTCCTCCCATACACCTTCCCAATTCCATTCCCCTGGTCTCCTTGGAGAATCGGGAGTCTCTTTAGATATAGGAGTGGCAACTGTCCGGCTAGTACCGTCAGATGTATCGGGGAATTCCTTCCCATTATCAATGCGATATGTCCGCCAAGCATGCCAGGCACCGGGATTTCCGGCAGCCTCAAGAGGGATAGAGTCCAACACGTCTTCGTCGCTAAAGGTGCTACGTATATATCGAAGGACATCATAAGCAGAAGTTTCCTTTCTATTCGTCTCGGCAAACCCAGGTGATGTACCAACAGCAGATCCCTTAGAACCGGGAGTACCTGCACTACTCATCGACGGAGGGGGTGGTCGATGAGGCGTATGCTGTTCATCCTGCTGCCCGCTAGATTGTCGACCACTACCAGTATTTTGACCCCGACTTGAGCGCCTAAACCAGCCGGGAAATCCATGCCTTAAGCTGAATCCTCCGGGCGGTAACCGCTCCGCATCGGTCGCGCTTACGGTACCATTGTCCTGAACATCGGTCGAATACATGTAGGTGCTCAGAGGTGTAATCAAGGGGTGAAACATATCGGTCGAGAAGGTAACTAGTGGCGGTAGTTTAGGATATAAGTCGGGAAAAGATATCTGAAATCGTAGCACGGCGGGAGAATAAGGACCTTTTACCCATCGATTAGAAACCCCTGAGCGCTGCAACGATTATGCGAGTATCCGAAATGCTCACCATCCCGAACGAAAAGTACTCCGGACCAAAGATTAGGGTCGCCAGGAGTAAGGCTTACAAAAACGCCTTCGGGATAAGTCTGTTTAAGACCAGCGCTATAGTTGATAGTCAGCTTTACGTTCAGTAGATAGTAGAGGTGTTATAGTAGAGGTGTATATAAGAACGCGTCGCGTACAACTCGACCAAGAGATGCTGTTTTCTCAGCGCCGGTAGCGCATTAAATTTAGAAGAAGTCATTTTATCACCTCGCATAGTAGAGGCGAATACATTCAATGTTGAAGATGAAAGCGGCAACTAAGATGTTGAGACATCTTGGGTCTCTAGTCCTTTATGCGTCGCCAAATGGCTGGGCTCAGCTAAGCATAGGTACCTAGGTAGGGATATCGTTAGTACATGGCATTATAAGCTCTTATCGATAACTATATAACTGAAAGTACTTTCTAATCTAAGATAACTACCAGGTAATCAGGTATATGTACCTCAGGTACGGATGCTCGGTGTCTGAGCTGCTTCATCCGTCTGCTTTCTGCTTGGTTCAATTCATACCCCACTTGCCGAAATTAGACATGTAAATGATGTTTGCCATAATTATCACGTGAAAATAAGATTAAAGATTGGAACGGCGTCCTTCTTAGATCCAAGTTCCGAGTGTCTGGGTCCTCTAATATCTACTATAGATATCAAATGCTCGTATATGTATACCTTACGTGTAAGATCAAAGACAATGTCTCAACTAAGTATGACATGCAGAGGGGGAAAAAAAGGATCGACGACTACTATGAGCTACCTGATAGGATATATATGATCAACAAAAGGCGAAATGATTCTCCTACCCACCAGCCTAATGCCGACATACACTATCGCCATATAGCACAACCCCTCATTAGCCGGCAATCAGTAAACCCCCCCACCCCTGTTTAAGGGTTATGGATTCCACTTCTAGACTTGCCTGATTCCTTCACAACCCTCGGGATAACTATCCAAAGAAAGGCGGCAGAATGTCCGGCTCGCTATTGATGGTGGCCCTACCTAGGAGCCGCTCTTCATTAGGGAGAGGTTACGCCTATGGTGTCCTCACCTGCTGTCGTATTTCAAATACCTATTCTCTGCTTCAGTAAACGACAGACTTCGATACACCATAACTACCATTTCACATATATTTGTTCTTAGTCTAGATTGTCAACATGTCCGATTATAGGGATTTACGGATATCCATCATCGGCGCGGGTGAGTTATCTAATCTAGAAATACGATTAAAAGGAAAAAGTAAGAAGTATAGCAACTAATGTCACTTCATCTTAGGTATGGGGGGTCTCGCCTGCGCCCTTGCCTTCGCCAAGAAGGGGTTCAAGCATGTCGACGTATATGAGACGGCTTCAAACCTGGGATTCGTCGGAGCCGGGATCCAGTTGGCCCCGAACATGGCCCGGGTGTTAGACCGTTGGGGCTGTTGGGACGAGATCTTCGCTGAGGCTACTAATATTAAAGCCTCAAGCATCCGCGAGGGCTCTTCGAACCGTGAACTTGTACACGTCGAAATGCCCGACATTGCCGAGAAGTACGGTTACCCTCACTGCACGGGACATCGCGCATCGTTAGCTGGTGGCTTATATGAGGGATGCAAAAAGGAGCCAAGCATAAAGTTCCATTTTTCAACATCGCTTGCCGACATAACATCTTTCGGTCCGGGCAAGACGGTGTTCAAGGCACAGCCACGTAACAGCGACCCGTACGAGGTGGAGACCGATATCCTACTTGGCGCCGACGGTATCAAATCCGCCGTACGGTCCGCTCTACTCCGCACTCTAAATCTTAGTGGCGACGTCGAAGACACAGGACAGGCCGCATACCGGATCATGCTCACGCGGTCCCAGATGGAACATGACCCAGAGCTCCTTGAACTCCTAGACGCCGACGTCGCGCTGCGATGGATAGGTGAGAAGCGGCATATCGTGGCATACCCTATTAGCAACAAGACCATCTACAACTTATCAACGTGCCAACCGGATGTCAACTTTGCCGAAGCCCCAAGTATCACATACACGACACGCGGTAGCAAGTCCGCCATGTTAGACGTATACGCGGATTTCCACCCCGTCGTGCAAAAGATGCTAAACATGGTGCCCGAAGGTGAGGTGTGCGAGTGGAGGTTGCGTTCGCACAGCGCCCTTGATACCTGGATCCTCGGTGCTGTTGCTCTGGTCGGTGACGCCTGCCATCCCACGTTACCTCACCTTAGCCAGGGCGCTGCCATGGCCATCGAGGACGGCGCCGTGCTGGCAGAAGTAGTGAGCCGCACACCAGGAGGCGGTTCAGACAGGGAAGCTCTTTCTAAGGCTCTCAAAGTCTATGAGCTACTAAGGAAGGACCGAACGACGATACTAGTCGACCTGGCCGCGTCATCCGCACGATCGCTACACCTGGGTGAGGGCAAAGCGAAGGAGGAGAGGGATAGACAGTTCGCGATGGGCATGAAGAAAGGAACACCTATTCCGGATAAGTGGGCCAGTCCCGAGGTTCAGCATATGATCTACTCATACGACTGCGTAAAAGACGCCGACGAGAGGTTCGACGAATTGTACGCTACACTTACAGGGGAGGCTAATGGCCATATGAATGGCCAGCCGAATAATTACACGAACGGGCATGCAAACGGCGTAACTGCATAGAAGCTAGAGTCTAGTTTTACTGCATTGTATAAAGACAGACATGATAGTGAATGTAGCAGTAGCGAATATATGGAATTGACTTGACACGAATTGTCGTGAACTGCTCAGAAACAGCATAACGCCGTATAATTACAAAAGAACCAATTCCGTAGGACCAAAAACGCCATGCTCCCTTCTGATGCGTATCGTATCATCCCTCCCCCCCCCCCCCCCCCCCCCCCCCCCCCCGGTCCGTTGTTCGGTTAAGTGGATACGGCGAGGTGATATGCTCGAACCGTTAGATAGTTGTATTACCTCCTCTTCAGTTTTTCTTAGGCACTCGTTCCTCCCCATCGGCTACCTAGTCATCCAGCCTCTTTCCCCTTAATATATCGACTTATGTAAGACAAAAAACTTCAAAATCGGAAATGCCTCCACTTCACTTGACTCCCCTTCCTTAAAACAGACAATCCAGACAGCAACAACAGGCAAGCGCACCAAGTAGCATGCCTAGGCAGCCGTCGCGTGAGCCGCTCTGCTGGTTCTGGTTTTGGTATTGGCCCTGAGGCGCGTAGCCTGGCTGTTGGTAGTATCCCTGCTGCTGCTGCTGCGGGGGGTACGGGCCGGCTGGATAGCCACCCTGGGGCGGCGGCTGGCCGTAGTTCATGCCCGGCTGTTGCTGGTAGTACGGCTGCTGGGGAGCACCGTAGGGTCCTTGCTGGTATGAAGCTTGAGGTGCTTGCGGAGGGGGTCCGTAGGCCGGGGGCTGATCGGCTTTGTCGGCCATGGTGGTAATGGAATGTGGTAGTGTTGAGAGTATATAGTGAGGTGGGACTCTAAGGTGTAGCTCGTAGGTCTCGGATCGGATCGTACAGATCTATAGATCTATTTACGCTTCGATCCGATGGACAGGGTTTAGCTGAGTGCGAATTGTAAGATGGTCGATCGTTCTGATGAGTCGGCTTGATAGGGCGAACACCAAGGACAGAAGCTGTGTATGAAGGTGAAAGGTTTTGGGGGTCGAGAGTTCTTTTTGCGTGGTACAAATAATGGACCGCGCTCGGAAAGTCGGCTATTATATTTGTTGGCGCCGAGCCTTGGACGATCAAAGGGTTGGCTTGGAGATGTGGCGGAGCGTCAGGGGACGCGTGGATGGAGGGAAGTAAATGGTATCACGACTTAGCCACTTGGCGGAAGAAAGGCGTAATCTTGGCAGATAATTATTTAGAAGAGGCTCGGATTAAAAAGAAATAAAAAGAAATTATTACTACAGCGAGACGAAGTAGAAGAGGTGGACAGACTCGGCTACCTCGGTCGTAAGATGTTTTAAGAATTGCAGCTCAAACAAACTGCGTCACAGCACTTAGGACTTAGGTACGTGCAGTGTGCAGTGTGCAGTTAGCGTCTCATTCAATATGTACCTAGGTACCTAGAGGTAGCCCGTAAACTCAACGCCTAGCCGACACAAGATTTGCCGCATCATTCAATAAGATGAAAATGGAAAGTCAAATACAACAAATCGGAATACATAGCGAAGTCGATAAGAGTTTGAATAGACTTATCTTATCAATATTACTAAAATTATAGAGTGCGTAAATCTCAATCATCGAAAGTTATATGACCCTTTAACTAACTAGTGAATATAAAAACTCAAAGGCTCAATTCATGACTTACGGAACCAACAACTTTCTCAAAGGTCTTGTCCTAAAGAGATCATAGTGAGTGATAGATGCATAAGCAAGTCTAAGTACCTAGGTAATTACAATCAATAAACATTTAAGAAGAATAATATCCCCTTTATGCATAAGAGAAAATATATTTATTTACTAAAAGGTAACAGCTCGCTTCTACGGATCAAAAGGATTCGTACTATCCGATTAATTATTATAACCTAAATGCGACCAAGTTATCCAAATTATCAGCCAACTTCATATCATTATTCTTCCTTAAACAAGCCATAACTTACCTATTACTTATGTTGGGTAGTTTACAATAATCATACCTACATTAAGACATTTCATTAATACAACTATTTTCCGACTAGCCGGGTTGATCACGAAAGCCTTCCAATGGCTGAACTGTCTTTAGTATTGCCGTCAATCGCGGCGATGCGACTAGAGCCTCATCTACCACCCTTGCTCCCAACATCCTCTCGAGAGGATGTATCTTCGTCGTCCAAGCTACCTTTCGTCACACTAACATTTGCTACTTCGCTTGATTCAGCGTTATCCCTTGGGCCAGGTATTAGGACGGCTCTTTCAGGTCCAAAATCAAAAGCTATGACCCATCATCTTCGCAGTCGTCACGATGCTATCTGTGTTGGAGTCGGAACAGCTATAGCCGATGACCCGGGACTAAACTGTCGTCTCGCGGCTGATTCTCCGCCATTGGAGACTTCGCCGACCGGTGATACAGCCGGCGTCGGCGCTCTCTTAGGACTTGCTTCCATCTCAACCAAGCAATCTGTGATCGATGAAACTAACAGCGCTATGACTGCGCGTCAGCCTCGGCCCATAGTTATCGACCCAAGATTACGCTGGGATTTCAAGTCCGAGAGCAAAGTAATGAAGCTAGCTCGGGCAGGCAAAGGCTTGGCTCCATACATCATAACAGCTATACCTAACCCCCCAGAAGATAAGAAGAAATTATTGCAGGACCATGGCGGGAAGTTCATCATCCTAACCCAACCTCGAAATACAGTATCTGACGTGGGACCGGACAATCGTCGTTTCGATTGGCGTGCCATCTTAGCAGCTGTACGAAAAGAGGGGCTACAAAGCATCATGATCGAAGGTGGCGGCGAGGTGATCAACTCACTCCTTTCTCAGGAAAATTCACAGCTAATTGACTCGGTTATAATAACTATCGCGCCTACTTGGCTCGGTCAGGGGAGTGTTTTTGTTTCTCCACCTCGAAGCGTCAATCCTAACGGCGGCCCGAGCCCTGTAGCTCGGCTTTCAAACATAACATACATGCCCCTTGGAGAAGATCTAGTCCTATGTGGAAACTTTGCATCCCAAGATTAATACCTCTGGCTATGCTAATGGTCTTCTATAAGGTTCTGAGTGTACCGTGCTTGATGATCACGTGGCTCCAAATATTATCTCGACACGATGAGATTTCTCATCCCGTGAAGCTGGCTTGAATCTTCTCCGGCGTGGGGTCTTTGATATCTTGGGTCCCGGTCTTCTTATATCTACTCAATTAAACAACAAACGGGCAGGTATCAAGGAACCCCAGATGCGGTCGATATTATCATCGAAACTACACGTCTACGTGCAGGACGAAACTAGCCAAACCTTTCTAGGCCTTAGCTATAGAATACAGAGAATAGACACTAGGGATGTGACCCATATGTTCTTTTTGGAGATGCTACCTATCTACCTGATAGTTATCTATCTAGGCTCGGATTCAATCGTTCGTATCAGACCCTATCTGCCAAGTAGCTATAAGAGGCATAGCGATAGCACTTTTAACAATATTTTTGCCTAGAATTCTAGATAGTATCTTTGAACGAATTTCTCTAGTGGTAATATTTTCAAGAAGTTATATTTTACAAGCTAGTATAAGCTAGATAGATTTAGGGGATGTTCTGGTTCTTTATAGCGTCTCTACAAGCTAAGACACGATATATATCACAATAACAGTCCTTTTCTTTCACGTACGACCATAGGATCTAGAAAACTCGGGATCCCGTCCGCTCTCCCCAAGATAAACTGGTTACCGCTGGATTAGTAATTGGGTCGGTGACGACCAGTGAATCCCCGGTGTTGTACGTTTTCTTTTTCTTTTAAGGGTCCTTTTTTAGCCTAGATCGTTAGGCTATGTAGCTTAAGTCGATTAGATACATGTTAGGTCCAGAGGAAAGAGTCGCCATGGAAAGAACTTAATTATTCGAAATTATCAGGAGGTGGGCCGAGAAGGCGTGTGACAACTTCGTCGTCCCGCAAAGAATTTAACCTAGGGTTCAGAGGCCACTAGCTACACATACGAAGGATATCATTTACTGTCGATTTACCTTCTGGAGTTCCAATAGGAATATATTTCATGCCTTTCCACAATGTTAAGTACCTGTTTAGCCTAGAGTCAAGATGGATGCTTTTACGTCAGGGCTGCCCGGGATCGTACTTACGAGGCTCACTTATCTGAACTCTAGACAAGACATCTAGAATGAAGGAAACTATCAGTACATATAACGTAGGCTCTCGTAGTTAACCTAGATTTCCTCACGGAACAGCAAAGTTGTTTCCTTGATTCTTGCTCTACCTCATGATATCGACCGGGGGGTTACCCTGGGATATATTAAATATATACCTGTTATATATGTGTTGTTTCAGGGCCCTAGTTAGACCCACTGTCCTTTATATAACTAGAAGCAAACTTGTTTTTCTATCGCTTGATTGCCTTGTAATAATTATCAAGAAAGACGCCGTACTTATTTAGCAACTAGTTACAACTAATAAGAAGTTACCTAGATATGAAGTATAGCGCATATATGGTTACCTTTGACTAGATATAGCTGTAGTATGATTTTATAGCATAAAGAGGAGTCAAAAGTTATGTTAGCTCCCTGGTACTGTTAAGCATAGGAGAGGCCGAGTCCTAACATCATACCACCACAAAAGACCCCAGCGATCATCTATATGTAGAGCCCACACAATAGTCCTCGATACCCCGCTCGACTCCTATATAGTTGCTTTACAATTATATATAGCTATCCCATAGTACTACCTCCTCATATTGAAATAGTAGTCACAAAGTCATGATGTACCAATATCTAATAGAAGCAGCAAAGTCAGAAACCATTAGAAAGTTCGCAGGGAGACTACCTATTGCAATATCTAAATAGATGAATGGTTATTTTATCAGTGGTCCCGTTTTAGATAGGGTTATAATCTCTATCGTATGTTCGCATCATTACCGAAGCCAAAGTGAGCATCTAAGTAATAGGTAGACTAAGGGCACCTACGATCTAGTTGGAGGCGATATACTACGAACACAAAAGGACCTAAAATACCAAAAAGAAACTTCACAGAATGTTAGCTACCTGTTCAACCTAGGTACTTTTGAGGTTATGTAAATAAGCCTAGTTGATGATCTAGTATATCGATGTCTACTTAAGCTACCTGGCGAGCCACCATGCGCCCTGACCACCCATACTAGATTCAAATTACTTGATTATAAGAAACTTCTACCATCTTTCTAAACTTGTCATTATATCTTAAGTTATCATCATTATTGCCGTCATTTTATAAAAGCATCCCAGATACCGCATCATCACACCAATAACATCACATGCGCTATTAGTGAAGGGAGAGTATCCGTAGCACCTTGGTACAAGATCTGTGTATCCAAAGCAATAATAACTCACGAAAACGATATTCGGGTGGTGGCATGGTGGTGTCATAGGAATGACAATGCGCCCGACCTTGCCGTTAGCGCTGGCATCGTTGTCGTCACTTTATGATCTGCGGCGGTGTAGTTGTTGTTGGCCACAGCCGCATTGAAGTTAAGTTGGATACGAAGCAAAAGCTGAGTTACGCAGCGTTTCGCTTACTATTCCCCAAGAGATATATTGGTTGGGAGTTCGGCCCGCCATATGCTGTGTCCCGTGACAGCCTCGGGTTATCGAAATGACCTGTCTTGTTCTCCTCTCCCTCGGCAGCAAACATGACCCTGTGGCGCTGGATATAACCATGTTAATGGGAATAGAGAACCTACTCCGGTCACCGAAGACCTAGAAATATTAGCCGAGTTGCAGCATTGCTGCCTTACCAGGCCTATTTCGATGCTTGGGTCCTATACGGCGTCCCCCACGCTCGCGCCAGCCCTATACGTCAACGCGCTGGGAATACAGAGTCCCAAGGACACATACATACCTCGAGTAGGAATGTGGGCGCACGTGCATATGCGTAAAGTATCAGATAGAGATATAAAGTGCTTGTCCTAAGGCTGGGATAAACTACCCACCCAACAACCTGTATGTATGTATGTAGGTATGTATGTATGTAAATCTGTACGTTACCCGCCTGATGGTAAGCTTACGCAATACCTACTGCATATAGAGCTATCATTCAAACATCCACCTAACCCCGACTCTCGCAACCGGATAGGTATACAAAGTGGGACGACGAAATGCAAGACATGAAGATCGTATTGGTTGCTGGGAGCGAACTGCTCCGGGCCGATCCAGTAATTGGTTTCTATCGCCTGCATCGGAGGGCGTGCGTTAGCGCTCATCCTCCCCATGCAGATCTGACGAGGAGCTCGGGACCTCTCACCCCCCTCGCCAGCTTTTAGCGAGTTGGATCCAGACTGTCGGTTGCATCTTACTAAGTTCCCGTGAGTAGGAGGTGGTATTGGAACGTTCGAAATGCAGCAAAGGCCCGCGGCCCGATCCCGCTTCTCTTCTCTAGTGGTCCGAAAAAGAAAAGAACACATGCATAACACCTTTTCTTATTCCCGCTCCTTTCATCTTGACGATCATGTGGCTCGGGTTTTTACAATACGAGGTCGAATCTATACTCTATTGAGAAATGGTAGAGCGACGAACCCGGTTCTATAGCAATCGATGTAGGATTTTTCATAGTGTTGGTAACGATGCCATGCCTTAACAGCCCTTGTCATGCCTATCTCTGGTCAGAAGTATAACTTACAAGTGCTCCATACGCCCGAGGATTGTTATTCGATTACTCAGATGACATTCTGGACTCCGTCAGCCCAGATGCTCTAAGTCCTATTGCAGAAGCAAAACTATATGTGACACCAAGTTGACCGGAATCTTATGCCGTATGTGGCTTACGGGCGCCATGGTACGCGAGACGCAACTCGCAAACAGTTGTATACAGCCTTGCGGCCATCAGCTACACTCGGGGTTTGTTACTAACCTCACCATTCCCGAGGAAATGAAGTCTGGTCAGCTTATATCTTGTTTCCGAGCTTCAACTGACTGCACATACCCCACGAGTAGACTACAATAGGCTTGCCCTACCCGCTGCGGGGAAGCAAAGCGGCATTAGCGTAGCCGGGCTGCACGTATTGTCTAGAACTCGCTTCCAGAAGAAGTAGATGATGACCCCGTTCAGGGTTCAATATCATATGGTTGCTGACAGTCGACCCAAAGAAGTCTTCCTACCCGGCCGTCAGCCTTAAGTAGAGCTCAAGTATATACTATGTATCATGAACATCGGCACCGTTATGGCGGTGAAGGTGACATAGCGTCTATAGTGGTACGGGAGGTCGTATTAATGCTCCATGGGTTCGAGGATTTAGGAAGGAAATGTTCGAAGGAACTCGTCATATATCTCACGTAACACTATTAGTTCGTACGTTATTAGAACTGGTGGCCAAAGTAAGTGCCCGTCTCATATAAATACGTATAGTGGAGAATGAGATCTACTAATTCCCCGATAGGATAGTCCTGTACGTGCTATATTACCATTTTCCCGGATCTCGGTACAAGCCGATAGCCCCTCTCCACGGAAATAAGAGAAACGATATAGAAAATAATACTTGATTAAGTTATTGTTTGCCTTATTAAACTTGTACATATTAACCAAGTCTTTTGCGAAGACTCAAGGATTTAATTCCTAAGAAGATGGGTGATTGATTAATTTGTATCTAGCCTCATGTTGTGCCATATTCTTTTACTACCCACGCACCCAAGACACACACTCGAAATATAAACCAACAGAATAGAGCGTACTACATATGTAAGATTGAAAGATACCATAAACGTATACCTAATCGTTTTGCACGAGACTTTCTATGTATTGAGTCGTTTTTGAGTATCCGTTGAACCCCACTAACCTATATTACAATTGGTATAGGTATATTAAAATTGACCAGAGGTATCATGCTATTAAGATACTATAGAAGCAATTCCTTTCATAAATCCTATATAGTAGCTGGTGTTTAGAGAAACATGAATTTTAAGTGGTTAACTAGAGTGAGAAGATAATGTGACGTTTGTGATTAATTATAAAGCCTACAATAATCGCTATTTTCGATAAACAACTTACTATTA